TTATTTTTTTTTTTTTTTTTTTTTTTTTTTTCTGTTTTCTGCTTCAATTTGTACATGATACGGCTACTCACAACCCACTAAACAGTTATGGATGTTCAAGAGAAATTGCCCAAAGATGATCCAGAGTATGATTTGCCTCATGCGACTGAACTGAAGCTGGCTTACCCGTATACCATTTTCCACAAATATGAGAAAGTGCAATTAGTCATTATCCTTGGTCTTGTTGGGTTTTGGAGTACAGTTAGTTCGCCAATTTATTTCCCAGCATTACCGACATTAACCTCCTACTTTCATACAACAGAGGACATTTTGAACATTTCAGTCGTGTGCTACTTATTGCTTCAGGGGATAACTCCAACCATATCGTCAAATTTAGCAGACACTTTTGGAAGAAGACCCGTCATATTAGCTAGCATTTTGGTGTTTATTGCTGCATGCATTGCTATTTCGCAGACAAATGTTTATTGGCTACTAGCGGTGCTAAGATGCGTTCAAGCAGCGGGGATAGCACCCGTGATTGCCATAAGTTCTGGTGTCTCTGGTGATGTTTGCACACCGGAAAACCGTGGTGGTATGGTTGGTACAGTGTCGGGATTGCAGTTATTGGGAAACGGCCTTGGAGGATTGATTGGTGCCGCTTTGATTAGTGGGTTCAATACATGGAGGTCGATTTTTGTATTTTTGGCAATCGGTGGAGGTGTCACTTTTGTACTAGCGTTCTTCATACTTGCAGAGACTTCAAGACGTATTGTGGGCAATGGAACGGTTATGCCAAAGAACCCTGTACATAAGTCAATGACAATTTATCTACCTTCGTTCCAAAGGAAAGTGACCAATGATTATCCTACGATAGCCAGCAAGGAGCCGTTTGATATTTTAGGACCATTCCGCATATTCATTGAAAAGGAAGTATTTTTAACACTATTACCCTCAGGCTTACATTTTGCATCTTGGACAATGGTATTGACATCACTTTCAACAGAGCTTGAGTCATCGTCAAAATACAATTATAGTGTATTACACGTCGGTCTCATTTACCTACCGCAGGGTATTGCTTGCCTTGTTGGTTCCTTGTCTGTGGGCAGGTTCATGAACTGGTATTACCGAAAACGCAAGGCTGCATATGACAAGCAAGTGGAGGATCTCCCACTTGATCAAAGACCCCCTTTCAATCAAGTCGCAACAAGACTAACTCTATGCGTGGCCCCCGCTGCGTTAATGATTATAGGGTTAGTTATCTTTGGATGGTGCATCCAATATAACAAGCACATTATTTCAATAATCATTTCCACCGTGCTAATTGCATTTTCGTCATCAGTGTTCATTTCCATTTGTACTACATTGTTGGTGGACTTGCATCCTGGTCGTGGTAGTGCTTCCACCAGTTGCTTGAATTTGATGAGGTGTTGGCTAGCTGCTTTGGGCGTGGGGGTGTTGGACAGAATGATTGCTGCCATGGGCCTAGGAGGCACGTATACTCTAGTGGCTGGTTTCTGCCTCATGTTTGATTTGTGCTTGATATACGTTCTTTACTCAGTCAGTAAAAGAATCAAACTGGGCCAATCCAAGGGTCAGATATAGAATTTCTTATAGACTATACTACAACTGTAACCTGTCGAACTTTTCCCCAGTACTTTCTATCTAGTGACTGTCAATTTCTATATCCATTAGTCAAATGCTATATGTGTATTCAGTATGTCGAGAAGCGACGATAAAGAATGCAGAAAGACTAGAAAAGATGAAAAGAAATAAAAATCTATAAACCACATTTATTGAGAAGCACATTGAACTCCTGGGCCTTGACCTTGACCTTCTTCATCATCCGAATCGTATGAGCCTCTAGTTCTTTGTTGGTGCTTAACAGGATCGAATTTAACCATCTCACATTCATCAACTTCAGCACCTTTTGGAATTTGAACTTCTTTTCTTGGTGGTAAGATGGAAGCCAACTGTTTGAGTTTGTCTTCATCAGCAAAATGATTTTGTGGGAATTTAACGGAAAATTTGATAATCAAATTGCCATGACCACCGTGTCTATAAATTGGCATACCTTGGCCCTCTACTGTCTTCATTTCACCAGGAGAAATAACCTCACCAGGGTTGACATTTATCTTGATCCAGTCACCAGAAATGTGTTTGAAAGCAATTTCTCCACCGGACAATGCGGTCAATAAATCAACTTCGTATTCTCTGTACAAATCATTTCCTTTTCTTTGGTATTCGGCATTTGGTCTCTCATCAACAACAAATACGACATCACCGGGAGTGATACCTGGCTCTTGGTCACCTTCACCGCTGAAAACAATTCTTTGACCATCCTTCATACCAGGATCAATGTGTACTTGCAAAATCTTTCTTTCAGTTTCAGTCTTTTTACCTTTACATTTGGGACATCTATCCTTTGGATCACATATATCACCAGTTCCATTACATTTGTCACATACAGTCTGGAATCTTTGAATCATAGGACCCATCTGTCTAGTGACAAACTTCATACCAGTACCATGACAGTCTGAACATTCCTTGATTTTACCTTCAGCACCACCTCTTCCATCACACTCTTTACACAATACAGTCTTGTTCAAAGCCAACTTGGTGGTCTTACCCTTGTACAAATCTTCCAAAGTACATCCAATACTGTGCTTGATATCTTTACCCCTGGATGGTTTTTGAGGACCACCACCGAAACCGCCACCGAAACCGCCACCAAAGAATTGAGAGAAAATATCATCGGCATTCATGCCTGGACCACCTTGACCGGACAATCCTTCCTCACCATATTGATCATAGATATCCCTCTTTTGTTCGTCAGACAAGATTTCATAGGCGTGGGAAATTTCCTTGAATTTTTCAGCAGCTTCTGGGGTAGAGTTTTTATCCGGGTGGTATTTCAAAGCTGCCTTCCTGTAAGCCTTTTTCAACTCGGTATCACTTGCACTGGGGGATACACCCAAAGTGTCATAGAATTTAGTGTCTTTAACCATTTTGCTTTACTTTGTAATGTGAAAAATGTGTGTGTGTGTGGGAGGGTGTGGGAGGGTGTGTATGATATATGATCTATTACGATATTCTCTAAGTAAGTTCTTTTTGGAAATTAGCTAAACTGATGAGTCCTTTATCAAGAGTTTTGCAGTAGTAAGTGGAAAAGACTAGAATACTTGTTAAAGCCCTCTGTGGTAGACTTGAATTAGGAAAGTGTTGGGGTGTATGTTTTGGTTGTCAAAAAGTGAAGTCTTCTTAAAAAAAAAAAAATAAAAAAATTTCATCTGAGACGCACGATATCGATTTTTGTATTATGTAATATATACTCTCATAAATCTTAACTACACTATTGTTATTACACCACACGCAAAAAAAAAAAAAACAAACAGAAGAGAGAGAGAGAGACACACACACATACACACACACACAGACACACACACACATAGCTGCAGAATCTTCTAGAAAGAAAAAAAAAATAAAATAAGGAAAACTATGCTACCAAGTTACTACACTACTTAGAGCTGCCTAACCAGCATGTTCAACAATTGAGCTGGTCAAAACCCCATTCTTCACTGTAGACACAATTTGCTCTGGCACAGCCAATTCTTTGAAATCATTGTTTGCCTCAGGAACATTCACATTCAATGCTGTAGTTTTACTGGTGTAGATTTGGCAATCATTGTCAATACTCTCTGTGGACAAATATATGGAACCTTCGTCAGATTGGTCAATGCTAATCATTGGCACCAATCCAATTACTTGCAATCCATATTTGTGCGACTTGATGATCTCGACACCAGATATCAAAGAATCAATAACAACACCAACTTTCTTTGTTTCGGAAATTGTTACAGCATTGGCCTTTCCCTTTAATTGAATAGTGATATCACTACAGTTTCCAATAAACACTGATTGGGAGTTTTCAGTGTCGATAACGATGGGTCCTTGCACATCGCCTTGTGTAAAGTTTTGTATAATCCACTTACTTCCATCAATCAATTCTTTCTTAGGTGCCTTTTTAGGAGCAGCAGTAGCGGTGGTTGGGGCAGCGTATGTAGAATGTCCACTTAAAGTTTTTGGTTTCTTTGGGGCAACAGGTGGTTGCTTTCTCAACTCGGGATTCTTGTGTGTCATTTCGGATTTGTCAACCTTCTTCAAACCGGAAGTAACATTGGAACCTTGATTCAATTGAGCAAAAACCGCATTCATTCCACCTTCTGAGGAGGTACCTGTGCTGTTGTTGGAAGGTGTAGATGATTCCTCAAAAAAGGAAGCAGGTGGTGGTGGTGGTGGGACTGGGGCTGGAGCTGGAGCTGGAGGACCAGATGCGGTGCTATTCTTGTTCTGCTGCGTGTCGCCAGCCAACCCTTTAGTCGAAGAGTTAAATTCCTCAACTGCTTCCACAAATGGCTTGCCGTTGGCATTCCAAGCAGCACCCTTGGTGTGGTATTCTTTAACATAGCTCTTTAATGCATCAAAAATTTGCGCAATCTGATTCACCCAATCAACATTGGTTTTGTCCTTATCTTTGTACTCTTTCAAGACCCGATCTGACCAAAATTTGGCACTATCCTTGATGTCAGAAACATACGACACTGGAGTGTCAACCCCAATCCAAAAAAACACTGCCCCACTTTCACTTAAAGTATTCAAGTGATTGAAATAGGATGATCTCCTGTTTTCATCCTTCAAGTTGTTAATCCTTGAAATCTTATCGTTCAAGGGCGCCAAGACTTGACCTAAAAGTGGATCAACCATATCGGGTTTTCTCGACTCTGATACAATTTCCAAAAACTTTGTTTGCTCAACAAAGGCATCAGCAAACAATTTGGCAGACTCGCCAACAACAGGATCGATTTGGTGTGATGTATCAACAAAGGGAACAACATAATCATGAATGAATTGTTCAAATGCGAGAATGGACTTCTTCTTCTTCTTCTTCTCTTGCGGAACCACCTTGACTCGGGTTGTAGTCTCGCCCAAAGAAACACTGGATGCAGAAGCAGTACTATCCAATGTCTCATTTGCACTATTTCCTTGAGGCACATGTGTCGAGTTGGCAGCTTGAGCCTGAGTTCCGTTGCGTTGTTTGTTTGCTTCTTCCAGAAACACAGTAATATCCTCAAGACGAGACGTGGCAGCCTCCAACCTTTTGAGAATGGTAACAATATTGTAACCTTGAACGTTGAATTGACTTTCTTCCGCAGACATATCAGCTAATTGTAGAAATAAGAATCAGGCGAATGGCAATACTTGTCCAAAGAGAAGAAAAAACGAAACGGAGTTTGGAACTGTTGAGGTTTTTCGACTTGCGAGAGAACTTCGGCTAAAGCAAAAGAAAAAAAAAAAGAAAATGAAGCAGCATTCAAGATTGGTAGAAAAAGTCGATACCTTTTATACTCTACGATCAAGAAAGTGTCTACTCCCGACTTCAATGCCATCAAAGTCAAAATCAGAGGATGAATCACTTCCCGCTCAGGAAGTTCATTATTTGAAAGATGTTGTTATAGGGTCTAATAAACCCGAACCCTTTTATGCCAATTATCAAACAGATACTCCCATCGCCATGGATTTGGGTACATCCACATGGAGAATTGGACTTACAAATAGTCCGGAGCCAAACAATATTTTCCCCGCAGTTATATCGAGACATAGAGATCGGAAGCTTTCGAAAACATTGACCATCATTGGGAATGATGTGTTGACTGACTCTGCATTGAAATCAACAACAAAGACTCCATATGACGGTCCATTGATAACAAACTGGGACTATATCGAATTTATGCTTGACTACTCTTTTGAACACTTGTCGGTACAAAGTACAAATGGAAAAGTTAATAACCCCATTATTATGACAGAACCATTAACGTGTCCTTACAATCAACGGAAGACCATGTATGAACTACTATTTGAAGCTTATCAGGTGCCTAAAGTTTCATTTGGTCTTGATTCGTTATTCTCGTATTATGCCAACTCCGATGGAAGGTCTACAGGGTTGGTAATTGGCACTGGCAACGAACTGACATCGATAATCCCTGTACTTGATGGTAACGGAATAATTTCACAAGCCAAGCGCATTGATTGGGGCGGTGACCAATCCCAGCTGTACTTGTCCAAACTTTTGAGTTTAAAGTACCCTTATTTCCCTAATAAATTAAATGTCAATCACACTACAAACTTGTTTAAAGATTTCTGTTATGTCTCAGAGAATTACCAAGAGGAATTGAGACATATACTAGATATGGATGTCTTGGAAAAGAAGGATGTTGTTGTCCAAGCACCAGTTGAGATAGCTGTCAATACTGAAAACAAAAAGAGCGAAGAGGAGTTGGCGAGACAAGCTGAGAAACGTAAGGAGCAAGGTAAGCGATTGCAAAAGCAAGCTCAACAGAAACGAATTGAGAAGCTCGCACAGAAGCAGGAGGAGTGGGATTACTACTCCAAGTTTAAAGAAGAGAACGCAAACTTGTCTGCTTCAGAGTTTGAGGACTTGGTAGTACGTGATGGGTTTGACGATCTTGATGATTTTAAAAAGTACATGGCTTCTTTGGAGAGATCACTTAAAAGGGCAGCCCAGACCGAGGATGGCGGTGGAGAGGGAGATGACGAGGAAGAAGGCGCCGACCCTGCAAAGGCTTGGCCATTAGTTGACATTCCTGATGATCAATTAACCCCAGAGCAAGTGAAGGACAAAAGAAAACAGAAATTGCTCAAGGCAAATGCAGAGGCACGTGAGCGTAATAGGGAATTGAAAAGACAAGAACAAGAAGAACAATTGAAACGCGAGGAAGAGGAAAGGAAATGGAGGGAACGAGATTTGGATGATTGGTGCACTTCAAAGAAACTTGAGTTAGCTGAGCTCATTAGCAGAGTTAGAGATAGACAAAAATTGCTTGAATCAATGAAGGATAGAAAATCAGCCGTTGCACAACAACGTATGAAGAATATTGCCGATTTGGCAAATGACGAAACTGGATCCACCTCTGCAGCATCTAGGAAAAGACGTCGTAATGCCAATGCAACAATTGATAATGATCCGAGTGACACATTCGGAACAAACGACGATGACTGGAATGCGTATAGAGAGATTTCCAATCAATCTGTGGAGGAAGAGCTAAATGAGCTCAACAAAGGAATACTCGCAATCGAGGAGGAGCTTTTGAAGCATGATCCAAACTTCCACCACGAAGATACTTTTGCTGTAGCCAACACTTTTGATTGGAGAAACCTGGTACTTCACAAGTTTGTACACGGTCCTAGACCAAACATCACAATTGAGATGCAAGCCGAGGGATTGGCACCGGAGGAGATTGCAAATCACCCAGAAATCATAAGGAAAAACCACCAAATCCATTTGAATGTTGAACGCATAAGGGTTCCAGAAATATTGTTTCAGCCAACGCTCGGTGGTCTTGATCAAGCTGGAATCACCGAGATTTCCAGTGATTTGCTACGCAGACGTTTGGATGGAATTTTTCAACCTGGAGGCCAATCTTACAACACGGTTCGTGATGTATTTATAACTGGAGGATTGGCTCTCTTGCCAGGATTCCAAAACAGAATTAAAAGAGATTTCACAGAGTTCTTGCCAGTGGAGACTCCACTTCACGTACGGACTGCAAAAGATCCGTTGTTGGATGCATGGCACGGTATGTACAAATGGGCTAATTCTGATGATTCAAAACATGCGTACGTCACTAAAGCTGAATTTGAGGAATATGGACCAGAGTATTTGAAAGAGCACGGGTTGGGAAATGCTTGTATTCTATAGCGGAGAAGTGTCGTATTTCTTTTCTCTTTTTCCGTCATTATATACTTTATCATCTAGCTACACCTTTTTGGCACTTGGGTTGATACCCTTCTTTCTCAAACTGTGCTTCTTTGACTTTTCGATAAGAGCCTCGTCCTCTTCATTGTCAAAGACTGCGAAATCTTCGTGAATGATACCTTCCTCTTCTGCCTCGGCCCTTGCAGCACTTTCCTTCTCCTTTGCTCCTGCCTTGGAGACATCGTGAGGCGAAGATGCAATCTTTTTAAACTTGGCCACGTAGAACCCATCAACATTGTATACATGCGGATAGTACCTCCTTGTCATGCTCAACCTGGGGTTGAAATGTTTACCACGATAAGAAGTAAACCCTTCTTTACCAATGGCCAAACCAGTCTCAACCAACTTGACATTTGGTCTTTTTCTCAATGCGTAATCAACTACTGCTTCATTTTCCTCCACGGCAACGGAACAAGTGGAATAAACAATGACACCACCCGTTGACGAGTTGGCATCCACGGAGTCAATAGCAGACAACAATAACTGCTTTTGCAAATGAGGTATCTGCATGAAATCTTTTTCAGTTCTGCTTACCTTGACACTTTCGTCTTTGGCAATAACACCGGTACCAGAACAAGGGGCATCCAATAGTATTCTATCAAAACCTCCAATAACTTTGGGAAACTCTCTTGCGTCGTAGTTACATACAATTGTATTTTTGCATCCCAAACGATGAATATTTGCAATCAACGACTTGGTTCTTGCCTTATTTGCGTCATTGGCAAACACACACCCCGTGTTCTTCATCAACGCTGAAATATAGGTTGTTTTTCCTCCCGGCGCAGCTGCCATATCCAAGATACGCTCATTTTCTTGAGGGTCCAACGCAATCACCGGTAAGAAGGAAGATGCAGCTTGAAGAATATACTGTCCTGCCAAGTATTCCGGAGTAGCTCCAATTGGTACTTGCGAGTCAAAAATCTGTAACCCCACTTTTGTCCACGAACCAATTGGTTGCAAATTGACACCACGATTGACCAAGCTTTGTGCCAAATCTCTTCTTCTAGTTTTGAGAGTGTTTGTTCTTATAGTGATTGGTCTTGCTGTTTCATTAGCTTCAAAAAATTCAATAGCCTCGGAAGGTGAAAACAAATTGAATAACTTGTCAGCTAGAAATTCGGAATAACCAAAATACTCACAAATGTCCTTCAACAATCTTGTAACATAATCGGTTCTTGATTTCCCTTCTTCTGCTAGCATTTTGAAATTATCCAACACTTTAACAATTTCAAGCATTCTTGTTCTCACCATGGTGACATCTTGGGGACCTTGTTCCATTTGCTCTTCCTCATCCTCGGTTGGTAACACTTTAGCCCGTGGCTGCACAGTCCCTTCCTCGAGCAATTCCTTTTCTGCTTCCTCCGCTTCAAGTTCATCCTCCTCATCAAGCTGTTTCGAATACGCTTCCATATTCTCTGCGTTTAAATCATCCAAATCTTGCTCATCCTCATCGTCATCTGAAAACATATGCTTTACCCGATCTTCTTCATCCGATTCTGCATTTGCCAAGTCGCCATCCTCAAATTCGTCATTGAGTTCATCATCCTCATCTAGATCTTCTTGTTCCTCTTCATCAGACTCATCGAACAAGGACTTTCTTGCTGACGCCAACTCCGCCAAATCTACTTCTGGCAAATCAACATCGTCCGATACTTGCTCTTTGTCTGCGTGTGTACTTTTTGACTTCTTTTGCGACTTGTTTGATTTCTTCAAAGACTCTTCACTTGTATCCTTTGTACTTGATTTGGACTTTTTGTTGTAGGATTTGACTGCTGCATCATCTTCACTAACTTTTCTCTTCTTGTGCTCCTTTTTCTCCTTCAGCGACTGAAACTCATCATACGTAGGTGGTAACCCTTGCTTATTCTTTGCTCTCCTTCCCATATCTGACTATACTAGAGCCTCTCAATGCAAAATGGTTGTTTTTGGAAAAGTCTCAGAGATGAGATGAGGAACAAAACTGTAGAGGAGAGAAAAAAACAAAAAAAAAAAAAAAAAAAAAACTGGTGTAAAAATCCAATGTGCAACAACTGCGTACATCTCTCCATCATGGTTGACGCAAACGATTCCACGATAAGGATAGGTCAGCATGTACTTATACGTCTACCCTCAAAGGGACTCAAGCTTGTACAACTACAAGAATCTGGTCGTATAAGCTTGGGTAAATTTGGATCCTTTGAGGTTTCGAGTATTTTGGGCCATCCCCTCGGGTCTTCATTTGAGATCGTGGATGACAACACCGTCAGAGTGATTAAAAGCATCACTGATGCGGGTGATATTTGGAATGCTGATGAGGATGCGCAAAAACAAGAATTGACGAGGATGTTTAGCAATAGTGCGGAGAACAATCAAAATATCATAGACATTGGAGCCAAGATTCAAACATTGACCAATGACGACATAGACGAGTTGAAGAGAAGTGGAGCATCTTCACAAGTTGGACAGCTAATCATTGAGAAAATGATTGCAAACCACGGTGGATTTGACAAGAAGACTATATTTTCACAAGAAAAGTACTTGAAACGAAAGCAACAAAAATTCCTTCGTCGGTTTACAGTGGAATATCTTGGAGCTGCCGAGCTTTTGGAATACAATGTGGAGAAAGATTCTTCAAAGATTTTAGACTTGAGCGTTGAATCTTTGGGGTTGATGATGACGTATGGAAATATTCGCCCTGGTGGGAAATATCTAGTAATTGATGAAACTGGTGGGTTACTAGTGTATGCGATGATGGAGAGGATGAACGGGAAAGGTACAATTGTTCTTCTTCATGAGAACGAACATGCAAATTCAATCATGTTGAGGCACTCGAATTATGATGAGTCGGTAATTGATACAGTTGTGAAACCTATTAATTGGCTACAGTTTGTTGAACCTGAGAATGAGAAAATACAGCTCAACGATGAAGATTTTGAGCCCAAGAAACCCAAACTCAAGGAGCAGCTTTTGCGAAAACGCGAGAGAGCAAAGAATGTCAATGAAGTGATTGATTTGGTACAAGAAGGGAATTTTGATGGCTTTGTGTCAATGTCCACCTTGTACATGCCCGATGTTCTAACATATGTCATACCAAAAATAGGTGGATCGAGACCATTGGTCATCTATAATCAGTACAAGGAACTTTTGGCAGAGGTTCAGCAGCATTTTACAAATGATCGAAGGATAATCGCATCGTCTGTTTTTGAAACTAGAGCCAGACCATATCAAACTATACCAGGAAGAATGCATCCTTTGATGACCATGAGAAGTGGAGGAGGGTATGTTTTATGGGGCACTAGGGTCTTTCCAGATGAAAGCGTTGTTGCTGTTGGCAAAGGAATGAAGAGAAGAAGGGAGGAGTCGGATGGATCTGCTACCCCCAGTGCTCCAGTTAGTGGTGTAGAGGATACTGTAGAAACTTCTGTGGAGCCTGAGACACTCGCGGTAGAGTCCATTGACAATGACGAGACTATTGAGGAAAATTCAAAATAAGGTATTTATGCACATCGTAATTAAATTATAGCATCACATAGACGTTCTAATATATCAAGGTCTGTATCTAACTTCCAGCCTACAACGCAGCGAACTCTGCCAGCGGAATCGTTCATATATCCTACAGCCCAGCTTCGGTCCAACAACTTACGCACGAAATCAACTTGCTTGTAGTATCCCACTTCAAATATGAAACCACGAGCTTGTGAAGGTTTTACCAAGTTGCATAGCAATTGCTTATAAGGGTCGACATCTCCAATTAAAGCTAGTTGAGGCTCATACTGTCTAACCGATTTTTCCACACCACCACGAATAACAGGCTTTTTATAGTCCAGCAATGGTATGTATGGGGGATTCGCAGTTACCAAATCGATTTTATGTACAGGTAGTTTGCAAACTATATTTGCATCTGAAATGTCCGCTATTTGAAACAGAACTCTATTTGACTCCTCGAACTTGCGGTGCCTGTTGGACAATAAGTTTCGATGTGCCAAATGTATTGCTTCCTTTGATATGTCAAACCCACAAATGTTGTAAATTGTATCAGCAGATGCAAGATTGTCTCTCAAGTATAGTGGAATGCAACCAGACCCTGTACATGCGTCCACAATCACAAGCCTTTTGCATGCATTCTCCAGTATAAGATCGGCCAACCTGGTGCACCATTCTTCCGTTTCCCATCTAGGAATTAATACCCCTTGTTCGCAAATGATGTTGAGGTCTCCGAACGGTTGATTTCCTAATATGTACTGTAATGGCTCTAGCTTCAAACGTCTGTTCACTGCGGAGTGCCATTGGTCTTTGGGTAGCTCATCCTTGATCCATTTGAGTTCCAAAAGTGCCCTTTCTATGCTTCGGTTGGCAGGTAGTAGTGGCGGCAACAAAGCGGATATTTTCTTTGCCTGACGGACAACCTTCCCGTCTAGTCGCGGCATCGAAAGTCAGTATACCTTGGGGTATGTTTTCATGGAGCTGAATATTTTTTCTACTCTTCCCTTTATCCGTTTTTCTACAAAAGTGTCAATTTAAAAAACTGTGAGTAGTATTGATAATCTATGTACAAACTATGACATTCCCTTCTTGATGTAATACATGTAAGCTCTTTCGTGAACATGTTCTGGGAAAGGAGAGATGACTTCGGAATGACCTGGTCTAGCCACCGGGTCTCTCAAATACACAGCATGGCAAGTGTCAAACGAAATTTCAATGTGAGAAGGTAAAATTGCAAAAGCACCAAGGAATGGTCTAGGCGTCCATGGAGTAAAATATGGCTTTGAGGCATCTTTACGTCCAAACAAGTGTCTTTGCCATGGCAAGTTCACTTTTGCCTTTGCTTCGTCCTCCAAAATTTCTTCCTTATTTAAGGACTTGACGGGGATTAATTTTTCAGCATACGACGGATCATAAAATGCTGCTCCAGTACCCAAATTTTCAAACTCCAAACGTATTCTTTCCCATTCGCTTTTTTCTAGTTCCCTCAACAAATTGTTGACATGTCTCAATGAAGCCTTCTCTTCTGGCGTTCTCTCGGTATCTTTTGAAAAATATGCATCTAGAGACTCTGAAGAACTATCAGTCAAAAGACGGGATTTCTGCAGTGCTAGTGATTCATAAACTTGCAAACATTTTCCCTTGGCAAGTTTATCTCCGTATTTTTCAAAAGCACCTGCCGCGAGATTTGCGCCTGCTGCATTACCTAACTTTACAATATCACTCAATATCGACTTTCTTGTGACCTTTTTTTGTTGGGCTTTCATGATGGTTTCTCCACTATGCTGCTTGTCCTGTTTCCTCTTCCTTGCTTCGATGTTGGCGAGAGAATTCAAAGACTCGGGCTTATTTTGTTGCATTTCCCAAACTTTCTGAGGGTTCTTGCGAGCCATTTTAACGTAATGATTCCAGTACCTTATCTGTTTGTTGTCTGTATCAATAGCTTTACTTAAACTTGGTTTTGCTTTGCCCAAGGCGTATAGTACTCTCCCAGGATCGACTGAAAACACGTCACCACTTTTCAAGGGAAAAGATGGGTGCTTGATCACCACTCCATTCACTTTCACATATCCCCCCATGATATATTGTCTTGATTGCCTAATAGACGAAGCAAACATACTTCTAAACAACGCAAACTCAAGTCTTTTCTCCAACGTGGCATAAGTTTGCAAGGTGATGGGTGTTGGCGCAACTTCTTGTGACTTTAGCGACGCATCAAGTTGAGAATATGTCTTCAACTCAGGTTCAAACAAAACCTTTTTGAACCTCTTTTCTTTCAAATGCTCTCCATGGTATGCTCTAGTCTCTGCTTTAGCAGCCCATTTTTGTTGATATAGAGTTTTCCCAACATAATTCAATGGAACTTTTCTTTGGAGGTTGAACAAATTGAGCCGGTTCATGGACATACCGATGCGACCTCGCACCATGCGAGAGACATTGTCCAACTTTCTCGGCATAGTTCAAGCAACGAGTGTTTGTGAATATAACCTTTAGTACAGTAATAGAAAATCAATTGAAAAAAATTTTTTTTTTTTTTTTTTTTTTTTTTTTGTTTGTTTTTCGCTTCTCAGTTTTTTTCCCAACCTGTGTATAGATGTTTTTTGGGTTTGCACTGGAGTAATAAGCAAGAGAGGACAACCAAACTTCCCCAATGTCAGAGGTAGAGACCACACTGAATGAAAAGAAATTGCTACCGAGCAGGTCTTGGTCTATTGACGAGGAGATAAAGCTATTCAGCCTAGTGTGCGATTATAAGCCAGCAGGTCCAAAAAAGCACGAGAATATGGCTATCATAATAGGTAAAATTAATGAAGACATACAACCACAGGAAACTCCTCTAAGCGAGTCTGATATATGGGAAAAATTGCAACAATTGTATAATCTTCCGAAAATTGACCTTCTTGAGGGGCTCAGCAGTGACGAAGTTGCAAACAATGACAACCTCGAGAATGGCAGTGACGATTCAACCGTAAGCGAGGAAATTCCAAAAACAAGAGCGCAACGAAGAAAGCCTCCCGTGAAAATTGCAAAAGAGAAAGACTCTAACAATATTGCTAATTCAGACAGCGAGGACGAGGAGACCAATAGTCAAGGTGAGGTGGTTGCTGTGAAACCAGAGAAACAGGGCAACGCAGAAAATACAGCCAAGAGCAGAAAAGTCTCCCACGAACAAGACTTCCCAACCCGAAGACGATTGAGAAACTCTGTTGTTGACGACTCTACCAACAAGGATCAACTGTCTGATAAGATTCACGATAAGTTTAAAGACGAGACCAAGGACAATGAACTGGACGATGATGATTCTCTTAAAGAAGAGGTTGATAATTCAGCTGAAAAGACGACAGTAACTGTTGATGCAGCAGAAGCTGGCGTGGATGAAGATGCTACAGACGCAGCCCCTGCAAGACGAACCAGAGGCAGAAGACATAACGCCGATAACGATAATACCTCAGCAGAACCTCCTCGCAAAAAGCTAAGATCCAGTGTCAAGGCTGAGGACTCTCTGGACGAGCTAGCAGTTGAGCCATCTTCAAATAAAGGCAAATCCACAACGCGCGCTTCCTCGCCGCCACCTGCGAGAAGAAGAACCAGATCAGAAGCACATATTGAGCATGACAACGAAACTGGTCATGATGACAAACATGAATTGGGCAAAGGTAAAGAAAACGAAGCTGTTGAGCAGGAGGATGACTCTGAAGAAGATACGCTTGATAAGAAGAAGCTGATCAAAGCCGAAAAGGCTAGCGACAAAACCAAAAAGGAAATTGTCGAATCTTCCAAAACAGCAACTAGAAGGTCAAGTCGTGCAGGTAATACTACTCACACTTCAAATCGACAGACCCCTCCCGTTAGACGTAGTTCCAGGAAAAGATAATGTGTTAAGTCAAATGAAAAAAAACTTGCTTCAGTATTGAAAATTCTACACTATTTCTTGCATAGCCTCGAAAGTGAAGAACTGAGACAAGGAATCATTGCCCAAATCTGCAGATGTACCCGTCTCTACTTTACGAATGATCACAAGTGCACAACACAACTCGTTTCAAAACATTTGTAAAATATTTCTTCTGAAACCACTTAAATTGCAAAACGCGTTTCACATCCACTTTTTTCATTTTTTTCAGCTCTTTCACACACACACACACTCTCTCTCTCTCTCTCTCTCTCTATTCATCATTTTAAATCATTTGAATGAGGCTACTAATTCATGGAACTAGACTTGCTCGACAGACTGGTATCCTCAACATTAGAGGTCTCACTACTACTAAGAAATGTCCAAAGCGCCTACCTAAATGGGACAGAGGAGGTAGGACAGATAGAGTTTCGGGAGAGGTGCGTGGAACCGAGGCGATGGGTGCTTTGCATACCTATATCAAACGCATGATTGACGAGCATCCAAAGTACGTGTTCCTTACTCAAGTGGGAGGTTTCTACGAATTATACTTCCACCAAGCTGTGAATTTTGGTCCCAAATTAGGGTTGAGTGTTGCTTTCAAGAAAACCAGTAACCATTCTATACCAATGGCCGGATTTCCCTTGTCCCAGGTTACAAAGTATACAGAGATGTTGGTCCAAGAATGTGGCGAAATCGTTGCGATTGTTGATCAAGATAAGAGTATGGACAAAACGAATCAGAATTTGATTCACAGGTCGATATCCAAAATAATTACCCCGGGAACCTTGGTGGATGAATCTTTCCTAAACCACAGCAGAAGCAATTATTTGGTTGCTATTTCTTTTCCTTCAGGGGCCACCAATATTCCCGCAAATCCGGACATGTCCGTGGGGTTGACTTGGGTAGACGTTTCAGTGGGGGAAACTTTTGTACAGCAAACAACACTTGGAAGTCTAATATCAGACTTGGCAAGGATAAATCCCAGTGAAATTTTAATTTCAGAAGAGTACAATGAGTCTAGTATACCATTGGTAAAATGGCACCCGCCTTTGCAAGTGCTTCAAAGATATTGCGTGCGGTATCACAAATCACAAAGTTCTGGTTTGAAACCTCAATTCAGGGCCAGTGTGCAAGCTGTGAGAAAAGCGTTCGAAGACTTGAGTATGCAAGAGCAGTCGGCATTGGTTATGGCTTTGTCATATATAAGCAAGAACTTGCCCAAAGCTGACTCACTTTTGGATTTACCTACAAGGTACTACAATGCATCAACCCTTCAAATGGATTCAAGAACTAGAGAAGCTTTGGAGCTTACAGATAGAGTGACATCGGGTCGAATTTCAGTTGTTGGGACTTTGCTTTCGTCAATAAGGAGAACTTGCACCACTTCGGGTGCTAGGTTGTTGGCACAGTGGTTAAAGTCGCCGTTGTTGGACATCGAGGAGATAGAGAAGAGACAAAAATATGTCAAAACCTTCATTAAGAATCAGCATTTGAGAATTGGGGTCCAGCAACGTCTACAGAAACTTTCCGATTTTGTGAGGATTGCTCAAAGGCTATCAGCTGGAAGGGGCGATGACGTTGCGAATTTGAAACTAGTCGCCGATGCGTTGAACGAACTCCAGCAGCTAAAGGATTTCTTGTGTGAAGTATGTCGCGACAAAGAGATGGCATACAAGGTGATTTCAGATTTTGTCGGTGATTTCCACGTACCTCGCGATGTGGCTGAGTCAATATCGAATGCCATTGTTGAAGACGAGACAATTATGCTGGAAGTAGTAGAGGACACTGACTCAGATGCTGGGATTGCTGATCCCGGCGACTCTTTTGAGAGCTACAAATTAGAGGAGAGTCCAGAACGAGTGCCGACTTTTGGCATTAGAAAAGATTACAACTCAAACTTGTCTGTGTTGCATAGAGACCTTGCACAGTTGCTAGAAAAGGAACAACAATATATGAGTTCTTTACAGAGCACTCTTTCAACGTACAACCCAAAGGTGAGTGTTGTGAAGAAGGATAAGTATAACAGCTATACCAATATCCTACATATCAGCGCAAACAAACAAATTGCACAGATTGCTGATGTTTTGGAGTCTGATATTTCACACCGTTTCGCCAAATCCTTTCTTTATCATCCTCCCAATTGGACTGCATTACAAAGCAAAATTGAAGATACGAGGGCGGCCATTAAGCAGAGAGAAGACGAAGTGGTTCAGAAGTTGAAAGCGAAGATGCTCAATGAACTACCTTCAATACGGTCCCTTTCAAAATCCGTCGACTTTTTGGATGTCACGGCATCATTTGCCGTCATTGCCGATGAAAACAACTGGGTGTGCCCAAAAGTAGTAAAAACACCAAAACTTGAAATAACAAGGGGAAGACATGTTACTGTTGAGTCGAGCTTAAAAGGGTCAGGCGAGATGTTCACCCCCAACGATACAAAGCTTGGGCTGAGCTCCAAATTATGGGTCATTTCTGGCCCCAACATGGGCGGTAAAAGTACTTATTTACGGCAAAATGCGTTGATAATAATTTTAGCGCAAATTGGATCATATGTACCTGCCGATAGTGCCACTATTGGAGTTGTGGACAAGATTTTCACCCGAATTGGTGCATCTGACGATTTGTTCAATGATTTGAGCACTTTTATGGTTGAAATGATCGAGACAAGTAATATTTTGCTCAATGGTACAAAGCATTCTTTCGCGATAGTTGATGAAGTGGGAAGGGGTACAAGTGGTAAGGAAGGTTTGGCAATTGCATACGCAGTATTGGTGCATCTCTTGACTAAAACTAAATGTCGAACTCTTTTTGCAACACATTTTGGCAATGAGCTACGCGATATTCTTCAAACGAGAAACGTGGACCAGAAGTGTCTCGAGTTTTACAAAACTACGGCTTTCAAGTTTGATTGCAATTCGCCACTTCGTATCGACCATACATTGGTGCCTGGCATAAGTGACCGCTCCTATGCAATTGAGGTTGCTCGTAATGCCGGGTTCCCCGTAGAGACTTTGGAGGAGAGTGAAGAAGTTTTAGATTTGCTTTTAGCTACTTAGTGGTGTATATATAAAGGATAAGTTATTTGTCATTCATTACGGTGGTGGAGGATGCTGTTGTTGCTGTTGATTTTGCATTTGTAGAATCAATAACTCTTGTAGACGTGCTAATTGAGCAGGATCAGCACTTTGATGTGGAGTCTGTGGGAGAACCTGATTAGGATTCGGCATGTATTGTTGAAACTGGTTTTGGGGAGGTTGTTGGTAGGGTATGTGCCCATATGGGGAGAATGTTTGTGGCGATTGAGCATAAGGAATTTGTCCAAACTGACTTGATTGTGGGGCCGTCCCAAAACTTTGTACACTTTGCTGATATTGGGGTTGTGGATTGCTGTACATATTGTTTTGGTGGTAAGGAGATGGCGCGGCGAACTGGTTTGGCTGTGGAATATAAGGCTGAGATTGTGGATACGTATGAGATGAGGTTGGCAAATGTGGCGAGTATGACAGAACAGGACCGGGCCTGTGATGTTGCGTCCGCCTGGCAGAGTCAGAGCCTGGTCTTGAAGTGGTGATGGGTGAATATGCTGGAATATGCGCCTTGTGTGCGCTAATACTTGAATGCTCTCTGTCTTTGACAACTTTGTTCTTGTTCTTTTTCCTCTTCTTTGCTTGCTTTGCAGCTAATTCTTGCTCATCATCAGAAAATTCTTGCTCTTCTTCAGGCAACTCTTCGTCATGACAATTGCTGGCATCGGTTCCTTTGATATGCTTTATTGTATCAGTGTACAAGAATTGAGATTCGGGGACCACGTAAAACACGGTTTTGCCTTTGCTGTCCTTAAACTTCTGGAAATCCTCATCCAGGTTGAATTTGACAGTATAAACAGGTTGCTGCACTCTGCCAAATATCTCGTATAGCAATCCGATAGGTGTCTTATCTTCCAAACACAAAACAGAACCTTCTTTCAAAATACGAAATTCTCCCGATGTTTTTGCCTTGATGATGACCGCTTTGTCAACTAGCCCGGTAACTTCACCAATTTCTTCAATGGGTGCGTTGTAAGGTACAGTGTAACCCTCGGGGAGCGAAGGCACTTTCTCATCGGTAACCTCATTTATAGATTTTATTGGACCATCTATAACCTCCTCCTCCTCCTCATCACCTTCGAAACCAGTCTCGTTCATCTCTTGCTCATCTTCATTCTCATCTTCTTCCTCACTCAGATCCGTGTCGCTATTACCTGAGTTACTATCATCCTCACTGCTAGAATCATCAGATGAAACATCCTTCACATCGATCTCATCATCAGAAAGAACATCAACTTTGATGTCTCCGCTTTGGCCTTGAGTAATGAAAGAAGCTATTTGATCCGGAGTTTCCTCTTTTCGTTCTTCTTGTTCTTCATTTGAGGAACTCTTGAGTTGTGAATCATTTTCAGGTGTGACTGCCACCTCATTGAGCTGGGAGTTTGTAAAATCACCCTTCGACAGCCCTTGCTCGGCATGCGTTTCTGTAATTTGCTGCTGCATATCCTGTGACTTGTTTTCCTCCGAGTCATTCACGGATAGTGGTTGTTCTGTTGCGAATTCATTCTTTGGCGTAATGTCATTATTTTGTATGCCTTGGCTGTGTGCATTTTCAATCGGCACCACTGAAGAGTTTGTTACCGGTACTACTTCCTCAAATGTATCACTGCCATTATTTTTGGGTGTTATTTCTTCACTCATGATGGGTTCTAAATAGTTGCCTAGCAGAACAGTTGTTTTGATGTGATGAGCATCGGGGAATTTTCTGGAGTCCTCTGTCGCGTTGGTGACACAAAGATGAACTCTACAACGCCCCCATGCTCATCACATCAAAACACGCTAGAGTGCATTCCTTTGATCGAAATGAGTATATAATAGTATACTGTACTAGAGACATTGTTATTTTTTAGTAGTGAAGGAATGCATTAGACGCATTCATCGGTACATCCCACATCTAACTCCTAATTATTTTTGTAATTTGAGTACAAATAATTTGTAAACCTCCTCAACTTTGAACAAGAAGCACATATTGCAAGTAGACAACCAGCAGAGCAGTTCTAGAAGTATAATACTCACTTATTCAAAGCTTTCTTTTCCTCTTTTTTTTTTTTTTTTTTTTTTTTACAAAGGGTATTCCATCTTAATCAATTGAGACTTGCTACGGACGTAATACAAAATGGGAATTGTTCATGTAAAAATTGCTACAGTGACTATTCAAACCATATTCCATGCATTTCTAAGCTTGAAGAACAAAGCACAAGCCCTGTGAAGCCCAAGGGATACGGTAGTATGTTAAAGAACTGACTACTGTAATCCAGCATTATTTACAATTAAATTGCAACCGGTAGCGTTACAGGGCTAAAGCCCTACACGTAGTAAAATATGTCTCCTCAAACAAGTGCCTGTTGGCAGGCCACAAAGTCGTACTAGCTACATTTGGGGCTATTTATGTACACCTCCTACGTAGTACACATTGGACCACACGTCTTTGCTGTTGCAACTCTCGAAGGGTTTCTAGACTGCTCCATCATTTACCTCCTACTTGAGAAATTCAATTTCGTGTTTGATTGAATTTTTTTTTTTTTTCATAGTTGTGCGAAACAAACAACGAACCGACAATTGTAAAAGAAAAAAAAAAAAAACTGGAAAATCATCTCAAGACTATTTCCTCTTTTGAACTTGGTTACTACCACACCGTCACTTCAAGTCGAAACTATTATCAATTATGGGTGCCTACAAATATTTGGAAGAATTGCAAAGAAAGAAGCAATCCGACGTCATGAGATTCCTTTACAGAGTCAGATGTTGGGAATACAGACAAAAGAATGTCATTCACAGAGCTTCTAGACCATCTAGACCAGACAAGGCTAGAAGATTGGGTTACAAGGCCAAGCAAGGTTTTGTTATCTACAGAATCAGAGTCAGAAGAGGTGGTAGAAAGAGACCAGTTCCAAAGGGTGCTACTTACGGTAAGCCAACCAACCAAGGTGTCAACCACTTGAAATACCAAAGATCTTTGAGATCTACTGCCGAAGAAAGAGTTGGTAGAAGAGCTGCTAACTTGAGAGTCTTGAACTCCTACTGGGTTAACCAAGACTCAACCTACAAGTACTACGAAGTTATCTTGGTTGATCCTCAACACAAGGCCATCAGAAGAGACCCAAGATACAACTGGATTGCCAACGCTGTCCACAAACACAGAGAATCTAGAGGTCTCACTTCAGCTGGTAAGAAATCCAGAGGTATTAACAAGGGACACTTGTACAACAAGACCAGAGCTGGTAGAAGACACACCTGGAAGAAGCACAACACCTTGTCCTTGTGGAGATACAGACATTAAGCTTGATCCCTTGGATGCGGTGCTTTGCTTCATGGTTCCGAGTGTTGCATGTATAGTTAATAGTTTAAAACGTAGAGTTTATTTTTTGTGAGTACGTTTTAATGCATACTTGAGAGCTAGAAACAATGGAATGTAGAGAGTGCGTTACTTGGTTTTTCTTTTGTTTCGAATGTGTGTACGGAACAGCACCCGTCCGCCCGTGGATTCATAATCACACTTCAGTCTAGAGCGGTTGTGAAATTATGTTAAAACAGAGTCAATCGTGTGTTAATTGAATTAATTTAGTCGCCATACACAAAAAATTATTCATGCGACATCCGTCCGTAAAAAAAAAAAGGACCAAGATTGAGACTGAGACTGAGACTGAGACTGAGAGAAGAAGAAGCCAAAAAAAAAACAACAAAAAATAAAGTCAATTGCCTTGGCTATCAGATTTCGATCCCTTTTAAAAATTCAAATTGGCACACAATTTGCTTCACTTTGCTACAACAGCCTACTTGTATTTGCCATAAAAAAAAAGGCATTGACGGGTATTGTTATCAGACTCCAATACAATCTTTCACTATTCTAGCATCCAGTTGAGAAATTTTTCGCCAACATGACTGAACACAAGCAAACAGCAATATTATCCGTTTACGACAAAACTGGGCTTTTGGACCTTGCAAAAGGGTTGGTTGATGCCAATGTCCGTATTTTAGCTTCAGGTGGTACTGCAAGATTGGTACGTGAGGCCGGATTCCCAGTGGAGGATGTGTCATCGATCACCCATGCCCCAGAAATGCTCGGTGGAAGAGTCAAGACGTTACATCCTGCTGTCCATGGTGGTATTTTAGCAAGAAATATGGACAGTGATGAAAAGGACTTGGAGCAACAAGGAATTGAAAAAGTTGATTATGTTGTTTGCAATTTGTACCCTTTCAAAGAGACAGTTTCCAAGATTGCAGTCACCGTTGACGAAGCTATTGAGGAAATTGATATTGGCGGTGTTACATTGTTGAGGGCAGCAGCCAAGAACCACCAAAGGGTTACTATTTTGTCAGATCCAAAGGATTACTCCAGTTTCCTCAAGGAATTAAGAGAGGGTCAAATTACCTCAGAAACTAGAAACAGATTGGCGTTGAAAGCTTTTGAGCATACCGCTGACTACGATGTTGCTATCTCAGACTTTTTCAGGAAACAATATGCTGAAGGTGTGTCACAATTGCCATTGAGATATGGTGCTAATCCACATCAAAAGCCAGCCCAAGCTTTTGTTTCTGAAGGTGAATTGCCATTCAAGGTTTTGAACGGATCTCCAGGTTATATCAATTTGTTGGATGCTTTGAACTCGTGGCCATTGGTTAAAGAATTGTCTGCGTCATTGAACTTGCCCGCTGCCGCATCCTTCAAGCACGTTTCACCAGCTGGTGCTGCCGTTGGGTTGCCTTTATCCGATGTCGAAAAGAAGATTTACTTTGTTGAGGATATTGAGAATTTGTCACCATTGGCCAATGCATATGCTAGAGCTAGAGGAGCTGACAGAATGTCATCGTTTGGAGATTTTATTGCTCTTTCCAACATTGTCGACAAGCCAACCGCACAAATTATTTCCAAGGAAGTCTCAGATGGTGTTATTGCTCCAGGATTTTCCGATGAAGCTTTGGAGCTTTTAAAGAAGAAGAAAGGTGGTAAATACTGCATCTTGCAAATTGACCCCAATTTCACTCCAGCCAACTTGGAGAATAGACAAGTTTTTGGAGTCACTTTGCAGCAAAAGAGAAATGATGCCATCATCAAGGGATCTTCTTTCAAGGAAATTGTATCAAAGAACAAGGACTTGACTGAGCAGGGTGCCCTCGACTTGACCATTGCCACCATTGCATTAAAATACACACAATCAAACTCAGTTTGTTACGCCAAGAATGGTATGGTTATCGGTTTGGGTGCGGGTCAACAATCCAGGATCCATTGTACCAGACTTGCTGGAGACAAGGCAGATAACTGGTGGTTGAGACAACACCCAAGAGTTTTGGGTTTCAAGTGGGCCAAAGGTGTAAAGAGACCAGAAAAGTCCAATGCTATCGATTTGTATGTTTCTAACCAAATCCCAACTGAAGAGCCTGAAAAATCTGAATACGAATCCAAATTCGAAGAAGTTCCAAAACCACTAACTCCAGAAGAGAGAAAGGAATGGTTGAACAAGTTGAACAATGTGGCATTATCGTCAGACGCTTTCTTCCCATTCCCAGACAATGTCTACAGAGCTGCAAGATCTGGTGTCAAGTTTATTGCAGCACCAAGCGGCTCTGTCATGGACAAAGCCGTATTCAATGCTGCTGATGCCAACGACATTGTTTACGTTGAAAACCCAATCCGTTTGTTCCACCATTAATCGTTTACGTAGTGTGCTACATGTATGTTTGTACATGTATATATTCAATATCAAGTTTCTATTTATAAGAGGCTGTGTAATGTTATACTGTAGATATGAGGTGCAAGAGGGAAGGTGCAAATGTGTTTCTCTCTAACACGTCAACCGAAAGAAAGAGAGAACATAAAAAAACAATGTTTGGCTAGAAAAAAAAAAAAAACCAGTGGAAAATGGCGAAGTGGATATAAAGCTAGCTAGTTTCACACACTGAAGTTTGATTACACATTTTTCACTTAAAAGATGGCTTCGTCAGAGTACAATTATGACGAGGAAGGTGAGACCTGGCCATTCTTTGTCTTGGCATTGTTGAGCTTTGTCTTGATACCTTTCACCATTAGGTATGCAACCAGGTTGACCGCTTCTGATCCCGCAAAGGTGAATGCTAATGTCGTGGGTTCAATCAAAGAAAATGCAGAAACAGTAGAAGTCCCCACTTTAAAGAGCCTCAATGAGTATAAGAAGAAGCAAAGCTCTCTGAGGATCTTCAACAAAACCCTTTTGGTGTTGATTATTGGTTGGAGTGCAGTCTTTGTCATTGGCAAGTACTTGACCAAGGAGACGGATATGTCAGGCTTGTTCGATCCTTACACCATATTGGACGTCTCATTCACAGCTAGTGAGAGGGAGATAAAAAGTCATTACAGAAAGTTGTCTTTGAAATACCATCCTGATAAATTGCCAAGAGATCTTACAGAAGAAGCAAGATTGAAAATGGAACAAGAGTACATCAGGTTGACCAGTGCTTATAAGGCATTAACTGACGAAACTACAAGGGAAAATTTCATCAAGTACGGACATCCAGATGGTGAGCAACCAACGACTCATGGTATTGCCCTCCCTAAATTCCTTGTCGAAGGAAAATATTCATCCTTGGTTGTGATTTTTTACTTTGCTCTCATTGGGGTTTTGTTGCCATTGGTTGTTGGTAAATGGTGGAACAATGTTAAGAATTATACAAAGCAAGGGTTACATGTCAAGACCGCCGCTAGTATTGTTCGCAAATTTGCAGATAAGGACCCAGCAAAAGTTTTCACTCCTGATGTGATCCTTGAACATGTTTTGGACAGTCAAGATGTTGATAATCTTTTGCCCGACTTGTCTTTGCAAGAAAGAAAGGAGTTGGTGTATGAACATTTCAATCGTCATGTTTCTAGCGATGCAAAGAGAGAAAAGAACAAGACTGAGTTGATTGCAATTTTGCCGCTTTTGATTGATGGTCTTGTTGATATAGCTCTTGTGTTCAGATTACAGGATGCGGTTATTGCTGCAGAGGATTTGAAAAAGGCTGTTTTGCAAGCTGTTAGTCCAAATGGCAAATATCAAGAGCTTTTGCAATTGCCATTTGTCGACGAGGATGTAGTCAAGGCACAACCAGTGAAGAAGCTTGGGAAGATTTTTGCGCTAGAGCAAGCTGAGGCTCAAAAGGTATTGGGAATCAAAGATGACGACAAGTTTAAACGAACCATGTCTGTTGCTGCTCTGATCCCATCGCTTAGGATCATTGAGGCCGAGGTCAAAGTTCCAGGAGAAGAGACTGTGACCCCCAATTCCAATGGGCACATTTCCGTCAAATTTCTTGTAAAATCACCAAGGTTGAAATCTTGTCCTGAAATTGACGATGACAGATTGCAAGATGAAGAGACGTTGGAGTATATGAAAAATCCATTCAGTGTGAATGACTTGGCACCGAAATTACCTTATGCTTTTACGCCTTATTTCCCTCAACCAGTTCGTTGTAGCTGGACATGTTACGTCATTGCGCAAAGAGAAAACAAGTTGGTGGAAAATAGCAAAGCATACGTTTTGGAGAATGTTAACCTTTCAAATTTGAACTTAACACAAGAAGAGTGGATAGATGGTAAAAAGGTTGTTGTCAGTACTTTCAAGATTCCCTTGCCTGCCGCTGTGGGCAACGTTGGCACATACTACTACAGATTGATAATGAAGAGTAACGCATATTATGGGTCAGATGTCGATGTTCCAGTTGATTTGGAGGTTGTTGCACCATCACCAGAAAAGAGTTTGGCAGGAGTCAAGAAGTTGATGGAAAAAAGCAAGAGAGAGAAAGCAGGTGATTCAGACGAAGAAGAGGATGAAGATTCGGAAAGTGATATTTCAGACCCCGAGGAGGATAGTTTGGCAGGCGCTCTTGCAGCATTAAGAGGAGAAACAACGTCAAAGAAGTCAGGTAAAGTTGAGGAAGTTGACGATGAGGAGGAAGAAGATGAAGATGTGTTTACCGATATCAATACCGATACAGAAGATGAAGCAGAATAATGTTTTGTTTAATAGAGAGCTCAAATATATACATATAGCTACAAGTACAAAGAAGGAAAGATGAAACCTTGACCGTTGTTAAACCAGGAGCGTTAATATGTACGCGTCTGGCGATTCCAAACCCTGCTCTTTATAGTAATCTTTGACCAAATCTTGCTTTTCAAACCCCTTCTTGAGGTACCAATTGATAGCTTTTTCATTGGTTACTTGAACATGCACAACGATTTCGTGAATGTATCTATTCTTTGTCTCTTCAATCACCCACGAGAGTAATTTTGAACCTATTCCCAAATTTCTATACTTTTCCAACACGGCAAAACTTTCAATATATACGCAATTGGGAGTTTTCTGCAAAACTGTTGAATTTACCGCCTCAGCAAATGACGACCTGATTTGGTTGTTATTGAAGGACCGAGCTCTTATAGCGCCCACAGGCAATTCTGAGTAAAAGGCGAGTTGAACAATCACATCGGAGGAGCTTAACGATGCAGTGTACCACGATTGAGGATACGTGGTGGGAAGACTGACCTCATTGATTTTTTCAAAAACTCCAAGATTGTTGACTGTTAGGTCGTCCAATGCGATTATGCTTCTTCCCATTTGTTATACTAATGGTCAGTGAGTTGGGAAGTAAAGTTTTCGCAGTAAAGAATTTTTTTTTTTTTTCTCCAGTACTGACGGTGTGGATTGCATGGTACGAAAGAATTGTAGCTTCAAGTATGATTTGAACGGTCAATGACTTTAGTTAAACTTGTACGACAAAGCTAGTTGAATGTAAAGCATTCACATTTATATAGAGAGCAAAAGAGGATCAGCACTCAACAAGGAAAAAAAGTGTTGTCAGTAATAGATGAGTCTTTGGAGATCAACACATGTTCACAATAAAGATGCCACAACAGGCGCATACAGCCACACCGCTCAGGCATCCTCAGGTGATACAGATTTAATTTGTAGGTTGCTATATATAGCAGTGGTAGTAGTAGTAGTAGTAGTTTCTTCAACTAAACTATAGTGAAGAAGAGCAATATATTCATATGCAAAAAATAAACTCCGCTACCTCCTCCACTATAGTTTACTCTTTAGAGAAAACTGCGGAGTTTTCACCCAAACTTCAAAAGTTTCACACACACTTTTTCATATCAAGAGGAAACATATTGTCACCCGTCTACAGATTGGAAACAGACTCTTACATTAAAACTACAAATTACTTCTTCTTCTTCTACTACCGCTACTGTGACTCCACTCATCTCCACAATATGATCACCACTATAGTTGTTGTCTTGGTTATCCTCTACTTTGCCAGAAGTATATATAATGACTTTATTGCAAATAACAACGATCCATTGTCGAATCAAGGTCAAGAGGCAACCATTGTGGAGGGTAAATTTACTCCAAAATCATTAGCCAAGTACAATGGGAAGGACCACGCAAAGATATTTATTGCTGTGAAGAACAGAGTGTTTGATGTGAGCCAGGGTGCAGCATTCTATGGACCAGGTGGACCCTACGAGAATTTTGCTGGCAGAGACGCTTCACGAGGCTTGGCTTTGAATTCATTTGACCCTGCTGTTTTGACACCCTTGGACCAGCCAATTGATGATTTGAAGGATTTGTCAAAATTGGAGAAGGAATCTTTAGAACAATGGGAGGAGCATTTCGAAAATAGATACAAAGTTGTGGGCTCCTTACATGAAAACGGAACTGTTCCAGAAGAGGCCCAAAGTCTTTGAATAGGGCTCGTTTAGCTAGAATTATATAAAAAAGGCAAGAAGAGACAGAATTGAATAACCTCTTTCTTGCCAATGTCGAAAGTACAAATATATTTATTGTTTGTTATTAGTGCCTTGAAATATTACGACATCTCTCATTCTCAATAACTGCTAACAGTGATGAATTGAAAAACATAAAAAAAAAAAAAATTATTCAATAGAAGAGTGAATGAAAAGTCACATTAATCGCTTCCATTGATTCAGGATATTTGGAAAAAAAAAAAGCCTCCTCCTTACTGAATATCAAAAGCACTTCACATCCAATTTATAAAGTATGAGTTATCGAGGACGAGGTAGAGGAGGTGGGTACAACAACAATTACCAAAACAGAAATACTTTTGGACACCAGCAGCAAAACGTTGATGCCTTCGTCGCAGCCAATGCATACCCGATTGAAATCGTGGGATGGAATGGTGCAAGCCTGAGTGATTGTATCAGCTTTATATCCAGAAAGTGCAGAATCGTTGTTAGCAACTATTCAGTCGATCAAAATACTGGGGTTTTGAAAGGTTACGTCAGGAATGAGTCTCAGGCAAACGAACTACTTAATTGGTCGGGAGTGAAGTTTGCCGGGCAGTCATTGAGATTCTCCAAAGGTCCTTCATCTATATCCAACCAAATGGGCGGCTCTGCTGCGGGAGCTGGTAGTACAATCGAAACAATAACCAATTTCTTGAAAGGGCGATATCAACCTGACATCAAGATGTTGAATTTAAGTGGAGTGAAACAGGACGCCAATCTCAATGCCCAAGGCTTTTTTGCATCGGTTTCGGTAACATCAAAGTTTTTTCCTGCATTAATGAAGATTGCTAGTGATTTAAAACTCGACGTCGAGAGCGTCGATTTGTCCAACAATGAACTCAGCGACTTGCAAGCAATCTCGTCCATGACTCAAACATTTCCAAAGTTAAAGAACTTGTCCCTTCAAGGTAACAACCTTTCCAGAACAAAAGTTTTCGAAACCTGGAAGTATAAGCTCAACTTTTTGCGGGAATTGATCTTGTTCAATAATCCTATTGTGCAAACCACCAACCCAACTGAGATCCAAGATATCAAATTGGAGTTGATGAGATATTTCCCTAGATTGGTGGTGTTGAATGGAGAGGTTTTGAGGAACGAACCAGCCTTGGAAGCTAACACCACGTCTCCATTTGGATCTCAAGCATTGTTTTTCCAAGACGAGGACACCAAGAACTTGGCTACCAATTTTGTCACAAACTATTTGAATTTGTGGGATACCAACAGAGCTAATTTGATGGTGTTATATCAAAATGAATCACAGTTTTCAATGCAATTGGATACATCGCACCCACATTTGATTGCAGACGGAAATAGCAGTTCAAACATTGATTTTGGAAACTACATGCCAAATTCAAGAAACCTTACCCGTATCTCATCCGGTAAGGCGAGAATGAGTAAAGTTGCAGTTGGGGCAGAACAGATTTACAAAAGTTTCCAGCAACTACCCAAGACCAAACACAATTTAGTCGAAGATCCAACATCATTTAGCATGGAGTGCTATAAGTACGCGCCACTCAATGGAATTGTAATCTCCGTGCATGGGTCTTTCGAAGAGGCTGCGCAGCCCGAAGTTTCGGATAACAGCACCTCACAAAGCTCTCGTGGTGGAAGATTCCACTCTCAAAGTCGAAACAAGAAGCCCAATTTATGCAAAAAGAGCTTTGATAGAACCTTCATTGTTTTACCTGGTCCCAATGGAAGCATGGTTGTCGCAAGTGATCTTTTGCTCATTCGTCCTTTTACTATCGATATCCCTTGGACCAATTCACACCCACCAACTCAACCAAGTTCGCAATCTCCATCAACTGCGACTAGCGTTTCCGGTCAACAACAAACACCAAATGTTTTACAAGGAGCAAACCCATTGACAGCACCGGGAGCAGCACAATTAGCACCAGCACCAGCACCAGCACCACCGCCAGTGGCAGAATTGCCTCCGGAAATAAAATCAAATCTTCAAGTACCACAGCAAGAACTTCTTGTGAAAATAGTGATGGAAACCAAGCTCAATCTACAATATGCATTAATGCTTTGCGAACAAAGCCAGTGGGATTACAACCAAAGCTTGACAAATTTCAAAAACTCCGCTTCGTCGTTGCCACGAGAAGCCTTTTTATAGACATTATGTATTTGAATAAACAGAGAAAAGTTGTGCTAACTTAGGTAACTCTCTCATCTTCGTGTAGTAGATGGAAAAAAAAAAAAATAAAAAAATAAGGTAGTAGAAGCAGAACCTTTTTCAACACCACCAACTACATACAAGAAGAAAAAACAATGAACCAAAACAGTTCTACGAAATGGGATATAATATAGCAATGGTTACTGACTTTTTCTACCCCCAGCCAGGCGGGGTCGAATTTCATGTATATCATCTCTCTCAAAAGTTGATTGATTTGGGCCACTCAGTAATCATCATAACTCACAACTACAACGGCCGAAATGGAATACGGTATCTCACCAATGGACTAAAAGTGTACTATGTACCCTTTTGGGTACTCTACAGGTCCTCCGCTTTTCCAACTGTCTTTTCAGCGTTCCCCATCCTACGCAACATATTCATTAGGGAGAGCATTGATATAGTACACGGACACGGATCCTTGAGCACGTTCGGTCACGAGGCGATATTCCATGGGAGAACCATGGGCATGAAGACAGTGTTTACGGATCACTCGTTGTTTGGGTTTGCTGATTTCGGGTCGATTTGGGGCAATAAAGTTTTGAAGTTTGCCATTGGTGACGTGGGCCATGTGATTTGTGTCAGTCACACGTGTAAGGAGAATACGGTGTTGCGGGGGAGCGTTGAGCCGTGGAGAGTGTCGGTGATACCCAACGCAGTCATTTCCAAGGACTTCCAACCTGAACCTTCAATTAAAAAGAAGAGAAAAGACGACGTGATTACAATTGTCGTTATTACCAGACTATTCCCAAATAAGGGAGCAGACTTGTTGACGGCCATCATTCCAAGAATCTGCCTTTCTAATCCAAAAGTGAAGTTCATAATTGCTGGAGACGGGCCCAAATTTTTGGATTTGGAGCAAATGAGGGAGAAATACTTTTTACAAGAGCGGGTCGAGCTAATCGGAGCCGTTAAACACGAAGAAGTTAGGAATGTGATGACACAGGGTGAAATATATCTACATCCGTCACTAACTGAGGCTTTTGGTACTGTTATCGTTGAAGCTGCGTCTTGTGGACTTTATGTGGTGACGACCAAAGTAGGAGGGATACCAGAGGTGCTACCCTCCAACATGACAAGCTTTGCTGAGCCAGAGGAAGATTCACTCGTTGAAACGACTTTGGCAGCAATTGATAAGATACAATCGGGTGAAGTCGATACCTCGAATTTCCACGAGAGTGTATCCAAGATGTATAGCTGGAGCGATATAGCTCAAAGAACAGAAGCTGTTTATGACAGTTTGGATTTGGATGAATTGAATCCACCTTTGATAGAGAGACTACTGAAGTTTTACAATTGTGGATTGATTGCCGGTAAGTTATTCGTCTTGAATTTGATTGTCGACATATTTATATACACCATCCTTGAGTGGTTGTATCCTAGGGATCATATTGATCTAGCGACCAAATGGCCAAAGCAGAGGAAACCTCGACCTAGCAGGAGCCATTAATAATGTTATTTGGTGAGGGGGAGTGTCGTATAGTCAACTCACTTGTCTCGAGTACACGACTCCGAAGTGTGACTTTCAAGTGCAAAGTTAAACACACACGGGAATATCATTAAATTGGAATACCTCTAGATAATCATAAGTGTAAAATCAGTCTAAATGTAACCAACTGACTTACTTAAGATGATTGAATGTGCAAAATAACAATAACAACGTCGTATGTGTATGCTTCCTCAGTGATCGCGACTCACTGCCTTTTACCAGCAATACGTTGTATATCAATGTGAAATAATATAAAGTCAATATATTAGATAATTCTATAAAAACTGATAAAACTCAAGAGAAGGAAACAAGCCTCATATTTATAGCATTCAAGGATCCGTCTTGAGTGTAATGATCACTTTTCATGGTAAAAGCTTAAAAAGTCGTGTCGCACTCAATATTCACATAATTCCAATCAGCGTAAAACATCTCAAGTTAAGCTGACTATGCGACAGGGAGTGCTTTTTTTTTTTTTTTTTTCTCTTTTTTTAGTTTGTAGCGAGTAAATTGCTCGTCAATGCAAGCATTGATATACCTTGGTGTAGTGTTTTGTGGAGTCCATTTTTGGTTTTCCATTGAATCAATACATATAAACTGAGTTTGTGTAGCTAGGTTTCTGATATCATTAGATAAACACTGTAAGTACGTTCGATTTTGCCAAACTTTGGATCTCTTGGGGAATGGTAACCACGACAAGCTCTCATCGTTTGGCGAATTAGTTGCCCTTTCCCTTAATTCAATCAATCTTTCAATGCGTTCAATCTTTTCATCGAAGGCCCTTTGTGACTCAATGTCATCCAAGTTGACACCATAAAATTGCGACTGATTTCGAAGAGATTGATTTTCTTCTTGAAGTTTGGAAATCTGGCTTGATTTGTCCTCCAGTTCGGCGCTTATGGACAGAACCAGATTTTCGAGTCGTTGGATTTGATCCAATGTTTTTTTAGTAAAAAGTTTCATGTTTTGCTCCAATAATGAGATATTCAACTTCAAATCTGAAATCTCTTTATCTTTCAGTAAGAGGGCCTCCTTCGCATCGAGGTTGTCTGTTCTCGACCCCGTGGAATCAGTTTCCTCTGCAACTAAGCTTGTTTTGACATAGTCATAGATGGATTCGGTTTCTGCGTCAGCAATTGATTGATCGGTGGACACTTCAAGTTCAGTACACTTTTCCCAAGCTTTATGTAGCTCGTCAACTCTTTTGGAATCAATAGTTTTGCTTCCGATTAGTTCAAAAGATACCTCTGTAGTCGAGCTCATCAAATGGGCGATTGAAGGCAGTGGATACTTGATCAGCACATTGTCAAGATGGTGATCAGATAGGGCATGCTGAATCAACTTATCATACGATGACTTGATAGATTTGATAGACTCAATTAACAACAGCAAGCTGCCATCCACACCCCTCAAGGAAGCTAAACCATTCAAATAGCTCAAAAATTTCGTCAAGATAAACTCTATATGCTTGATAAGGGATCCATGCTCACGCAAATACAGTACTTCTGTGTTATCGCGATGTAATTTTGAAACGTATTCATGACACAAATCGAGACCTTGCTTCAAGTGGTCATGGACTGCCTCGAGAAATTGCGAATCTGCAGCATCATGATCCACCAAGAAACTTTTTAACTCTTCGATCAAAACATGAACCTGATTCGAGTAAGCTTGGCTATGGTTAAATAAATATCTTGAACAGTCGTGTGCGTAATTATACTCAAGAATCACAACTACGGTCTGACAAAAATGCCGTATTCTCGCAACCGCATACTTGTAAAATACAAAAGTTTCATCATGACCGGGATATGCGTAAAGATTATCCAAGATTTCGGACTGTGCTTTCATGTCGTAAATGAGATCGATGTAATTTACGTCAACAGAGGTAGGGAAATGAAACTTGACCCGCTCTGCGTATATCTTACTCTTTGATTCGCAAACTTGCAATTCCAAAGCACATTGACGATATTTCTGCTCTGTCTTGCTAAGCTTTAACTCCATTCTCTTCAAATCAGCAGCGTGCTCGGAAGTGGATTGAAAGTTATTTTCCTTCATATCTGGAATGGGTTGTTTCATCGGCGAGCTTAGTTGGCTCTCAAGTTGCTTGATTTTGTCTTTATCCTTAGATATTACGCCTCGTAAGTGCTCAATTTCATGCTTCAAACTTTGTTCATTCTTTTGTAAGCTGGCCTCTATTTTTGCGTCCAACGTGTGCAATTCGTTGAGCTCTTCAAGAGATTGTTCTAAACTCTCGATTTTGGACAATAACTCACCATTTTCCATTGTTAACTGTTCTGTCATTTGCTCAAGGTCAGAAAGGGACTCTAACTTCTCCTTCAAAGCAGAGACTTCTGAAATTTTATTCAGTAAATCTGTGCTTAGGTCATGGAGTTTGGTATTGTAGGTTTGCAACTGGTTCAGCATTTCAGATAATTGAGTATCTTGCGCTCGCACCTTTGTATTCAATTCCTCTTTTATTTTTTCATTTAACCGTCCCCTTTCAATAAGCAATTTGATTTCCCCTGGTGAAAATTCTTCTGCATCAACAAACTGTAGTTCGTTCTCTATCTCTTTACCAATTTCCAACTCCTCTAAAACTACCGCGTAATCCTTTTGTAGTGATTGGTAATTCTTTGTCAATTCAGCGACTTTGGTCTCGAGAGTATCCTTTGCTTCCTGTAGGTACTGATTATCAATCAGTTGCATTTCTAATTTTGATTCCAATTGCTGATGTAAGTGCATTTGGTCCTCCAAACGATTCTCAAGTACTTTCAATTCCTTTTCACATAACGCATTTGCATGGAGGGTAGCTCTCAATTGGCCCTGCAAGTGTTCGACACTATCACCCCTCAATGTTATCGACCTTGAATCAGAGACCTCTAGACGTTCTTCCTTAACAAAGACTCCATACAATCCACTATTCCGGCAGTGGAAATAACGCACTCCCTTTACCGATCCATCATTCTTACCAATCGGCCGTTCCAATTCAACTCCAAACCATGTACCAGGGGCAAATTCAGTGTCTCCTATGTATTTTATAACTCCAAGCTCCCCCTTTACTTTAACATGATCACCTATTTGAAATCGCATTTAGCATAACTACCCAACTTCGAATCGGCTGTTTGGAATCAATGGGATGTCGACGCGTCAGTCAATACACAAAAGAAAAAAAAAAAACAAAGAAACATAAAAGCAGAGAAACCAAAAAAATTGTTTCAATGGAGTGGTTTTGCAGAACCTAGAGACATCTTTGACAGGTTACTCTTGTTTCATCACATCATGTTCAATCGAGCAGAGAGATTATCCTCACTTGGGAACAATCACAATAGTGCTAGCACAAACCATAATGTTGGGAGTGTTTTAACGCCCCCAAAGCGGGGAATGAACACATCAACCAGTAATAGTAGTAACCACAACAACACCACCAACAGCAACAACAACTCCAACAACTCCAACATCAATCTCAAACAAGAGTTGCTTGAAGAACAAAAACTAGAAATCAGAGAGGCTTTTCAATTATTCGACATGAATGGGGATGGATCTTTGGACTATCACGAGACGAAAGTCGCCTTCAAAGCTTTGGGATTTGAGTTGTCAAAGCGTCAAGTCTTGGATATAATTAGAGAATACGACACCGACGACACTAATTTAATAACGTACGACAATTTCTACAAAACTGTCGGGGAGATGATTTTGAAAAGAGATCCTTTGGATGAAATTCGTCGAGCTTTCAAGTTGTTTGATATAGACGGAACCGGCAAGATAAGTGTGAGGAATTTGAGAAAGATTTCAAAGGACTTGGGAGAGAACCTAAGTGACGAGGAGTTACAGGCTATGATTGATGAGTTTGATCTAGACGAAGATGGAGAAAGTACGTATTCAGCGAAGGAAACCTGCACTGAGAAATAGCATGTTACTAACCTACCCTATTTAGTTAATGAGGAAGAGTTCATCAGGATCTGCACAGAGTAAATTAATTTTCGAAAGACGTAGCAGTTGCAATCAAGAAGTTGATGAGGTAGTTGTATAGATGATGTTCAGTTGTGGTTAAAGCACTAGATGCTTTCCCTTTGTATGGATAAATAGATTACAGATTAGTATGTGTGGGTGTGGGTGTGTGTGTGTCTCTCTCTCTCTCTCTCTCCTTCTAAAAATCAAAAAATTTTGATTTTCTTTTTTTGGCAAACAAAAAATTTTCAAGTCAAATATATAGAGTAAGTCTTTGCAAGACACAACTTTACACTTCAATACAAATGTCTTGGGTTGTCAGTCGTTCTCGTTTCAAGCGAGATATCAATAAACTCCCTAGCCACTTTAAACAACAATGGTTGAAACAGCAAGAAGCAACTGCCTTGCCCACATTTAAAGGGTTCTTCCCAGATAGGCTCCCAAGATCGCAACAAAAGACGAGGTTCGAGGCTGGAATAACAGAGGGTGACTTGGCCTACGTTACGGAGGGGAAGCACAAGGGTAAGATTGCCGAGGTCTTGGCCTATAGTCCAGAATTTGATGCCGTATCATTGTCCAACATTTCCACAAAGAAGCTCTTACCAAAACCTTTTTGGCCAGAAGGTCAAACTTCTCATGTTTATGATTTTCCTGATTACATACCAAGAAATAAGGTAAGAGTAGTTGGTAAGAGCAAAGAAGATGGAAGAATATCGTACATGGTTGCGGAAGGAGTGGTGATGGGGAAGCCTTACTACGATGATAGGTACAAAAAATGGATTCCGGAGAGATACATCAAACATCACGACTATGAATTGCCGTGGCCAACTCCACCAAAGATGAATGATGGAGAGTTGTCAACACCAGAAGACAAAGTCACGGAAAGGACGTTTGAGTTCAATACGATAGGGAAATCTTCGATTCCTAAACAATTGGTTAATCAGTTGCGTAACCCATACAGTAAATTCAAAAAGAGAGAACTCAATGGATTGCAAGTTGCAAAACTTAACGGTCCTGAGATGCCATTAACTATTGAACAAAAAATTTGGTTGGCAAAACAGACAGAGAAGCCAGAGAAGAAATTGTACCCATTGTCGGAGGAAGTCAAGGAGTTTATCGGCTCCAAAATGGCTGACCATATGAACAAGATCGAAAGTCCAGAGTTGCGTCACCATTTGGAAGTTTTATCCCAGGTGAGAATACCAGATTTTGAAAAGACTTTGAAGATAATCGAAGAAACAAAGAAAGAAGAGAGTGTGACGGAGGAGGAAGATAGTAGACTTTAAAGTACTGTAAATAGTTATATTGAAAAAAAAAAAGAAATTTAAATTCAGCTTATAGTTTCTCGTAATCCAACTTACCTTCCAACTTCTTGTTGTCTGCCACTTTCCTAACAGCCTTCATGATGTCATTTTGTACAATATACTCCCTGTCATCTCTAATTGCAAAAAACCCAGCTTCAGTAACCACGTTTCTGATATCCGCACCATTGAAACCATCACTCATTTTCACGGCAGCTTCAAAGTCAAACTCTCCATGTTTTGCTATTTTGGCGGTGTGGATTTTGAAAATTTCCAATCTACCAGCTTCGTTGGGTAAGGGAATTTCAATCTTTCTATCCAATCTACCAGCTCTAAGCAATGCGGGATCAAGAGTATCTGGTCTATTTGTGGCCATAATAATCTTTGTCTGTCCCAATGTGTCAAACCCATCCATTTGGTTCAACAACTCCATCAAAGTACGTTGGATTTCACGATCTGCAGAGGTTCCTTCACTGAATCTACGACCTCCAATGGCATCAACTTCATCCATAAAGATAATACATGGCTCGTGTTCTTTAGCGTAAGCAAACATCTCCCTAATCAACCTCGCACTTTCACCAATATACTTGTCCACAATCCCCGAGGCTGGAGAAAAGATAAAGTTTGCTCCGATGGTTGCCGCCACAGCTTTGGCCAACAATGTCTTACCAGTACCGGGGGGACCATACAACAAGACACCTTTGGGTGGTTTGATACCAACCCTTGTGAAAAGTTCTGGATTTTTCAATGGCAATTCAATAACTTCACGTAATTCTCTCACTTGCTCAGTTAAACCACCAATACCGTTGAACGATATTTCACCAGGCTCAAAAGTCGTCATGTTGTAAACCAACGGATCAACTTCCCTAGGCAAAATCCTCATGATAGTGAGAGTGGTCATATCCAACGATACCCTAACACCGTTTTTCAAATTCGACTTTTTGATAGTATTTCGGCAACCCACAATATAACGAGGCCCACTAGATGCCTTGACAATAAATCTTTCATCGTCCAATTGCTTCAATACCTCTCCAATGATTTGACCCACCGATTGTAACGCCTTGATGTCATTCTCAGTTTTTTCATAATCCTTATCCAAGTCTCGTATTCCTAACCGTAATTCTTTCAACCTAGCATCCCATTTTCTATGCTCAAGTAACTTGTCTTTAAACTTCAGAAGTGCCCTCTCTCTTTCTGGATCAATTGGGTCGGATGTTTGCGAATTTGAACTGCCACTGGCTTCTTGACCCGCACCAGATTGGTTGTTGGAATTGTTCTCTCCGGAGTTGCCACCGGGTTGTTCTGCATTTAAAGCTTGCAAAAGAGGATCATTCTCATCTGAACCCATGATTAATTAATGTGGAAAGTTTGAAAACGTGTAAATGAACGTGGATGTCAGTTATATTATCAGAACCTTTGCTTTACTCCAAGTGGCAAAAAAAAAAAAAAAAAAAAGAAAAAATTGTGTATGTGGAATAGTTTTGTTGATTGATCAAATGGTGAGAAACTTCGAACGAAGTATTTGGTAGCCACTCACTGCTGCAGCGCATCAAAATTTTTCTCCATCTCTCTCTCTCTCTCTCTCTCTCTCTACACTGGGCTTTCACAAATTGCCAATTTATATACACGATGGAGTTCACTGCAGTGGTGTTCTGTGGCAGAGGGAAGACTCTTGAGCCGTTCTCGGAAGCTCGTGGTACAGGGTTGCCCAAAGCGTTGTTACCGATTGCCAATGAACCAATGATCAATTATGTACTTGACTGGTGTCAGCGTGCTGTTTTGGCAAAAATTCTCGTTGTGACGCAGGAGGAGACTAGCGAGTCAGTTGAAGCCACTATTGAAAAGTATAAGAAACTGAGGCGTGAACGATTTGCAAAAGAAAGTGATGGTTCAGAGGCTACTAAATATACAACGCCAATCGAGATTATGCCATTTACTGCTGAAAACAGTGCCCAAATAATCTACCAACTTTACAAAAATACTCAATTTAGGTCTCATACTCAGAATATCATGATTTTGCCATGTGACTTCATCACGGATTTGCCACCAGCAGTAATTATCGAAGCCTTTAGGAATCGAAACGAATCCGATGTTGGGGTTTACTTTACGTACAAGAATCAACTTGAAATAGAGGATAAGAAACTGAAAATTTTCGGGAAAAAATATACTGTGTATGACGGTGATGCCGATGACTCATGTTTGCTTGATGTATATGGGAAAGCTGATATTGAGATGTCCAAATTCTTGCGCATTAGGACCCAAATGAGTTGGAGATACCCAAGATCTATCGTGAGCACAAAATTGCTAAACAGTGGGATATTCTTAGCTTCGAATCGGATATTCAATATCATTGACGAATCACCAAGCAAATTTAGTGAACTTTATTTTGAGAGAAGAAACTACGATAAATTTATCCGCGATTTAGCAAGGAGATCTTGGAAACATTCAAAGTCAAAGGAAACGGTGGGACTTTTTGTAGTTCCATCTGAAGCAACATTCATTCGGGTCAACAATCTACCGGTATTGATGGAAGCCAATAGACAATTTATGAAAAAACAAGCTATGATGAAGGGCCAGACACTTCAAGGATTGCAGCTGAAGGATAAGCTTGCTGCTCACGTGGGAAATGATTCAATAGTGGGTGATGGAACTGAATTGGGGGAGAAGACAAACGTAAAACGAAGTGTAGTTGGTCACAACTGTACTATAGGGAAAAAAGTTAGAATAACTGGAAGTTTGATCCTTGACAACGTTACCATTGGTGACGATGTTCAGTTGGAAAACTGCATCATTGGCCATCATGTGAAAATACAGCCAAAGTCGAAATTGATAAATTGCAATGTTGAGTCTACAAATGACGTACCAACAGGGACCCAAGCTAAGGGCGACACTTTACTCTGCTTGAATTTGGAGGCCGTAGAAGATGGGGAAAGCGAGGAAGAGTTTGTTTTGAAAACTGGTCCTCTTAGTGACTCAAGTTCTGATGAAGACGATGACGACGAAGATGACACCTCTGAAGACGAGAGTGAATTTGAAGATGAATATACCGCTAACGACGATGGATTATTTGCATATTAGCAAGTCTACAGGATAAATGATACGTTAAAGACATAAAGCTTCTGTACATACTTCTAGTATTGTATAGCAAAAAAAACAAGAAAGAAAAAAAAAAAATAAGGCACTTCGGCATCTACTTAAACCTTCTTCTTCTTCTTTCTCTTTACAGGACTATCACTAGTGTCTTTGAACAACTTCGCCCGTTTCAAATCATCCGTATCGCTTTCACTGGAATCCTCTGAGGAGTAAAACTTTTTATGCAAATGCTGAAGTTTCTTTTTCTTGATTATGGAATTTCGTTGAGATGCACTATGCTGAACTGAGATTGGAGGTATGCTTGGTCTGAATGCAACAGGTGGCTTCATATCCAGTTCGAACTGGAATACAAAATCTTGCGGTAACTTGGAATCATCCAAAGAGGTTGTGGGAGTAGCGTTTTGAGGATTCGTTACATCTGCCCTGTTCTTCACATTCGTTATTTCCGCTCGCCTTGTTAATGCCCAGTTTTCAACATCCTCATCATTAGTTATAACGTGTAGCAAGTCATCTAGGCACTCTATGTACCCGAGTTCATGAGAAACACTATGCATACTTTGTCCACATTTGTATAAGGCAGCAACAGCTCTTGCAGCATTGGCAAAGTCTGTCTTAATAGTGTGCATTTGTGCGGCATTTACCGTGCTTCCCGATTGGGCATTGATAGATGAGTTGTATAGCGATGCTACTGCTCGTGCAGCGTCTTTGAAATGCGTTGTTAGGTCCGTATTTAAGTCAGCAATGCTGGACTGAGAACTCACTCTTGATTGCGATGACGGGTCATCAGTTTGATCAGCAGCGTCATCTTTCCGTTGTAGTGGTTTCAGCGATGGTAGTGTGTTTGATAAGTTTGATAAGTCCATAACGTAAAGATACTAAGGGGTATATATATAAATCTAGCAAGGTAGTTTCTGTAGTCTAAAATTGTTTGAGATGTTTTGTATGTGATATCTCAGCGCATTCAAGGAGCTGCACAGTATTTTTTTCTTCTCTCTCTCTCTCTCCCCTTTGGCACGTGATTTGACAAGAGCTACCAAGGTTCTTCCCCATTCCAAAACACAAGTTGATGTAAGACGCATTGGGGAACCATATCTACACGGATTTAGCTAAGTATGTAGGTAGGTGTAGACAACGGGTGGGTCTCTATGGAGTTTGCGATATAGAAAAGGGTATTTATTCGACATTTACCTCATTATCTCTCTGTCCATACTATTATCTCCCACTCTCATCGAGTAAGATCAAAAGTTCATGTTCGTATAAAGTTCGGAAGTTACTAATGGCAAGCTATGGCACCTTCAGCAAACTACTTGTCTGTACTACTCTTGTGCGGAGCTGTTCAAAGTTGTAGTTGTGTAGATCTCTGCTCAAGTAACTCAAACAACGCGCGAACAAAGAAAATGGAATTTATTTTGAACAGCAAAGTACCCACATCACCATTGTACACACTTTCTTCATCTCGACTCCTTGTGCAACTTTTTCTACATGGTTGAATCTACATTAATCTACAGATACGATGGTACGGTAAACTCAATCGATTTTATATGCGCCCGCTAATGGCCATTTTGAACACTTGTTTCTAGCTAACTTTTCTTCACTTTTAGCACTTCCATTGTGTGGATCGGTAGACGATGATAACGACACCAACTCACAAGCTTTGCAAGAACAAAAAAAGAAATGCAAAATCTTGATCAGCAGGATAACTCCAAACTCAGAGCCTCAAGCTACAATCGAGTCGGGAGAGTTCAGTATCCATTACTTAATCTCGCAAGGGATCATCTACTTATGCATATGTAAAAAGTCATACCCACGAAAGCTCGTCTTTTCTTACTTGAATGAGATAGCACAGGAGTTTTACAACAGTCATGGACAGGAGGCTTTGAGTCCAACGGCAAGACCTTTTGGATTCACCTCATTTGACAACTTTTTGCACAAGACAAAGAAGATATACCAAGATCAAAGAGCTCAGTCTAATTTGAATAAATTGAATGACGATCTTGCGGATGTGAAAAAAGTCATGACTAAGAATATAGAGGACTTGTTGTACAGAGGAGATTCGTTGGATAAAATGAGTGACCTATCCAGCTCTTTGAAACAAGATTCGCTCAAGTATAGAAGAAGGGCCCAAAGAATTAACTTGGAAGCTTTGATTAAGCAATACGTTCCAATTATAGGAGTTGGTTTAATCTTTTTGTTTATATGCTACTACCTATTGAGGAGATGAAATAGATGATTGTAATCCATACAGAAAACTGTATAGAGTTTTGTAGCCACAGCAAAAAAAAAAAATTGCGACTTCGGATCCAAAAGCCAATTATCCATTATGTTACCCCGATCTCTCTTCCAACTTATTACATGGAACAGCCGCATTTCCTAAAGGTGGCTTCTAAATCCGCTGCCAGCTTATTGTCGACAACTTCAGTTCCACATCCTAGTTCCACCACTGAGGCGACCACAGCAATCAACTATGAGAATGTGAATCTGGAGATACAATCCATCCGAAATGGTTCTCCATTGACACAATTTGACAACAGTAGTATAGCTTCTGAGCTTCACTTGTCGGAGTACATCGAGGACTTGCCTTTTCTTCCGGCGAACCTACGCAACGCACAAGGATCACTGGACGACCGCAGTTACTTCTCAACGTTCAAAAATCCGTTAGGGTTGAGTGAAGAACAATACTTTCGCCAATACATCCTACCGTCCAAAACAAACGACAACAAGCAGTTTCACCTGAAATTAAAGCATTTTTTCATTTTCTCAACGGCCGGCAAACCAATTTATTCAATGAACGGATCGGATGATGTGGTGATCGGCTACATGGGCATTCTCACTACAATTCTTTCGACTTTCCAAGAGGATCTTCATAAAGACCTCAGCAGCATAAAAGTGGGTGACGAGGTAAGAGCAGTTGCCTTGAATCGAGGACCCATAGTGTTATTTGCGATCACAAAGTTAACGCATGAAACTGATAGCCTTCTCAAGTCTCAGCTACATCTCCTATACTCGTATTTGTTGAGTATACTATCGAAATCAGCTATCGATAAGCACTTCAACAATGGATTGAACTACGATTTACGGCGAATTTTGAATGCATTGGATTTTGCAAATTTGGATGAATTATGCATGAAGATTACATATGGACTTCCTAATGGACTCGACTTTTACTTGGGTTTATTGTTTTCATGTCGCCAAAGCATCAAAGTACGATACACATTACGAACCAAGATGAACAGAATACTTAAAACTTACAAGGACGATGATTTGCTATTTACGATCTTGGCCAAGTCTAATGTCGTTACAAATTTGATCCGTAACAAAGCGCATGATCTTTCGGACAAGGATTTGAGATTATTGTTATTTATTGTGAAATCTATGAAGAACAAGGAAGAAGACTTGTGGATGCCGCTATGCATGCCTGAATTCAATAGTCGTGGTTTCTTGTACGTATTTGTTCGTACATGGGGTCAAAAGAGCCTAATACTCATCAGTGGGAATAAGAATTCCTTCTACAAACTAAAAGAGGTGGCAAACGGAATCATACTCACTGCAGAAAGAGCACAGAATGGGGAGTTTTTGAACAACTTTCGACAAGAGTTGCAGACCCCAATTTCGAGCCAAATTCCATTCGCTGTCAAGCATTTTGTGTATGTTAACAAGAGCCTCAACCAGTTTATTTGCAGCGAAACTCCTTATAACAATAGAGATATCGTACTTCAATTGATCGAAGCCTACACTCAGTTGAAGAATAACAAGTCAAATATACAGGTCCAAGATGCCTCGACTAAATACAAGAAACTAAGCTACATGAAGTGGGAGAGTGCGACTGGTTTCATGATCACTGACGATTCATATACGTTTTACTGCGTCGTTAATGATGATCTTGATTCCAGAAAATTGATTGACACCAGTCTCTCCGTAATCAAATGGTGCAAGAAAAATCAATCACGGTTATTTTTAACTACTGGATAGATTAGGTTACTCTATTGCAAGATACGCTTTTCATACTGTTTAAATGACTCTTGTAGTTTATCAACGTACAACTTGTGTAATTTCTCCAACTGAGTCAACTGCTTATTCTCCAAATCCGACAATTTGTGAGTCTTCAAATGTGATTGGAACTTGTGTCTCACATCACCTCTAACGGATGTCAATGAGCCAGTTTTGTTATTTCGCAACTTGTCAAACAACTCCTTCAACAACTTGACGTCATTTTGTTTGGTTTCTAATGTAATTGGAGGTAAGGGAACTTTGATGTTGAACTTGTTTGCTGGATCAACGATTCCGCTCATATTCAATCCAGATCCAATTATTGTGTTGATTATAGCCTGCGCATTCAGTGGGTCAAACATGGTGATGATGAAGTTTCTTCCCTTGACTGAAGTTTGCGCAATTGTGTTAAAGGGCACTTCAACAACTTCCTTCTGGTTACCCACATTCACAAGCAAGTTATCAAATATTTTGGGATTCAATTTCCCCAACTTGATCTCATTTGCTAATTTGTCAAACCTCGATATGATGGATTCAAACCTGGCTGTTGCATCTTTAAAGTCTATTGTAGGTGTCACTACTTCCTCTTCTGCCTCAGCTTGAATCTTGTCGTCTTGAATTTGAATCTTTTGCTGCTTTTGAGCCCTTTTCGATTTGCTGTTCTTCTTCGATGAAGCTAGGAGTGTAGCGCTTGTGTGGAATTGAGGTTGACGCAAAAGTGCCGTCGCTATACGAGTAGTACGCAAAGGCACTACCCGTAACAATCCACATGACCGTGCCGTAGTTACAAGCTTGAGCATAGGTCAGGTGATCCTTTGGAATATCTTTGGTTCAATCTAGAGATTTCATTTGAAAAATTTTGTTGAAAAGTCGAAATTCATGCTGTGCTACTTTGAGAAAAAAAAAAAAAAAAAAAAAAAAGAAAATTTGGCTGCAACTGTCACACCACACTACAATCGCTTCCACCTTACAGAGTTCAATGTATTTCATTGGACAGAATTAGGCTTGCATCAGTACTTTCCCTTACGTGCATGCTGCAATAGCCCTAACTATCTATTTTTTCCAAAATTTGTATACATCGAGTTGATTCGCGGCCAACTTCCCCACCTTCCTTCACTAAACTTGACAAGTTGTGCATCAACTTTTCTTTAAAGAAGCTATTCATGGCATTCACCCGTGTTGATAAATCTTCAGTTGTCAATGTATCCAAGTTTTGCAAATCTTCAAAATTTCCATCTCCCACGTTCATTTCATTAACAAATAATTTCAATGGTGCATAAGCTTGCGGTATAGTGGGTATCAAATACTTATAGGACTGGGTGTGGGTTGCTATTGCATCAGGACTATTCTCAGAGACAGCTTTTTCATTTTGCTCAAACAACGTAGATTGTAAGAAGTTGGCCAACACACTCAAGTGGTCAATGCGTGCTTTCTTTGTGTTTGTCCCAAGTAGAATGGAAGAGCTCGAAGTGATTGACACACTTTTCGATTTCGAGTCATTCTGTAGAGACCACCCCATTAATATAAATATGTTCTTCAAAATCTTGACAAAGTACAGCTTGACATCAGCATACTCAATCACTACATCAAGAAATTTGGTGCTAGTGTTTCTAATATCTGGCAGTATATGAGTCATTGCCGATATTGTGAATAGAATGATTGTACGCTTATGCAAATCCAAGAGCCCTGGTTGCTTTTTGCCGCATTCTTGCAAAAGCTTCAACACTTCCAACCGTACCTGTTTGGATTCGTCTAACATCAATGGCGTAACACTAGTTATAATTTGTTTATAGCTCGAGGGATTTGACGGTAAGTTTTGGGTCAAGCTGATTACCACTTCTTTTCTGGCTGTTGAGGAATGGTGCTTTGTCAAAGACAATTGGTGTTGTAAATCTTTGGATGAGTGGGCATGGGTGATTGATTGACCAGGTAAAGATATCGTCTTTGACTTGAAAGATGTGTCCGTATAGTTGTCTGCCTTTTGTGCTGTTTTCCCAACCTTCAACTTTGCCTTTTTGAAGTCCTTTTGCTTCTCTTTTTGTTTCCTTTTGGAGCCCATCGTTGATGAATTTGGTTTGGGGTATAAAGAGATGGGGTTTTTACGATGAGATCAAAAGAGCCAATTTTTCTTTTTTTTTGCGAAACGATTGATTATCAAATTCTACAACGCTAATACACATACAAATTGGCATTCTCAGCCCATCTTTATAATCGTAATTGGGATCGCGTTGACGATTTGCAATGTCAATCAATGGAAATTTAGCAGACCATGAACTTCTACTTCAGTCGTTGTCCCTAGAGGACAAATCAGAACAAAAATGGTCGACATCCACCTTTGCAAGACATTTGGACGAGGAAGACCACGATGCTATGGACATAGATGACGATCCGATGGATATTGACGATGAACTGGTGGATGAGAAGAGCATAAGTGACCCGATACAGGGGCCAGATGGTGATACTGTCGAGGATACTGCGACAGGGCCCTACACAGGAGAACTGAATCACAATCTACTTGCATTATTGTCGCCAACCATGATGGGAGCGAGATTAGCTGTAACACACAAGCCAAAGCTTTTGATTCCACCTTCGCCGAAGAGCTATAACGGCATGTCAACTGGCTTTCCCACTGGAGTAGAGTCACCACACCCGAGAAGGAGGCAGAGCTCCATTGACTATGAGTTTGATGTGAGTGCTTTCCCAATAATAAAGAACACAAGCCAGTTAGCTTTGAATCGTAACAATCCTTCCTTTCACACTGTGGCAAATTCCGCTCCATTCGAATCGTCGTCACCTGGAAGATATACGAATTTCAAAGATACCGACTATACCACCAACCACACCGTGACTCAACATCAGCCGCAAGCCATTCATCATCACCATTATTACATGAATGCGGTGAATCACCAATCTGAATCAGAACTTATACAAAGAGCCCACGTAAATAAATTAGAGATAAGCAAACTACGCAACGAAGAATTACAGAGATACTGGGCTGAGCTGAGGCAAGATTCGAGTGACTTAACTCCGAGACTGGACTACATTAACCTACCGGCACCTTGGCATCGAGATATACACCCACACGAGAGGATTCCGTACATTGTATCATCGTACTTGCATTTGTTTATCAATTTTATCATCTCGATGTATTTCATCTACCTCGTCTATTATATCGCAACAACCATAAAATCTGATGTGAACCACAAGATTCAGATACAAAAACGTACCATCCAATCGCAAATAGACACGTGCCGGACATTGTTCTACGAAAGTAAATGTGATAATCCAGAATACAACACGTTACCGATCTTACGCAAGAAATGCGAGACTTTGGCATTGGGAATGAACCAGGATCCTAATTCCATTGGAAACTTGTCGACTATCAATGCGCAAATCATTGGATTGATTTTAAACTCTTTAGTCGAGCCATTGGGGTTCAAGTTCTTTATGTTTTTGTTATGGTGTGGAATTGTGGTGTTTGGATGCAATTTTGTGTTTGGATTTGTTCGTGCAAAAACGTATTACGGTAACCAGAGAGATATGGAAATCCTGAGTCGAAAGAATGAATAGAAGAATGTCTCCTAATTCTTAGAAGACTGTGAAAGATAACTGTTGACTTTAGTTCGGACTTAACAGATATTTTTTTTACGACATGACCGTGGATTTTGTGTAATGTTGTTATAGAATTACGGATAAATACAATAAATGGCCTTGGGAGGTCTCTCTGGAGATAAGTAAACTTTCGATGTTTGATACAACAACAATTGGAACCTTCAATGAGAGGTTTGAATTTGAACAAATTGCATATGAGGGATTGGATTACTTTCACTCATTAACACCGACGAAGGAGTGGTACTCAAGCTGTCCTTCTGTATATGTTGTCTCCTGAAACGCAGGACCAACTGTGGCTCCTGAAATTGCCACAGATGCCCTATAACACTAAGGCTGTTATAGCCGGGTTTTTGAAGGAACTGGAGCAATAAAAACGCTACGGTGATTGTAGCAATCGACAGAATAAAGGATATTCGAGTAGCTATGCGATGAGCTGGCAAGAACCAAGACCTATGGAAGAGCAGTGCGGCTGCTTCATTTTCGTATCTGAAGAATATTTTGCAACGTATTACGTTTCATATGATTTACTTAATAGAGATTTGATTAGCTGTATCGCTGTGCATTCACACTCAGAGTAGTTGCAATGGCGTGGCTGAGTTGTCTAATCATTCATACACAGCTCCTCCAAGTAGCATTTTGGTTTCTTTTTATGCGCTCATTGCTGCTGATTAATACAGTTTGTCCTAATCAATTCGTATTCCCTGAGCCCTTCTTGTTGGCACATACTCTGGTTAAGCACTTTCCGGAGTTAAAGTCAAGCTGTGTGTTTTTGTTTTCTTTTTTTTTCTACTTTTGTGATCCGCAAAAAAAAACAGAAAAGTACCCAAAAGGCAGAGAGAACAACCCACGGCTAATAACTTGTGTTGCTTTATTTTTTCTTTTTTTTTTGTACTCTATACAAATTTCTTGTCACAGCGCATAAAATTGATGGACTGACTGACATTGTACCAGAATCAATGTTGTGCTTACAGTTTATTAATATATAAATGTCAAAAGTGCCCCCTGTTGATTAGTTTTTGCATCTTTAGATTAAGCAGGACATTGCTCTTTTTTTCGAATTTCCCTTTTTTAGTTTTTTTTTTTTGGTAACACCTTCGACTTCTTCAGTTGCTAATCATGGGAGTATTTGGCACATCTGAGAAAGAAGAAGCTCAACTAAGAGATGCGGCCTTGTCTGCTCATCAGCAACAAGGGTCGCTAGATCAGTCTGGTAGAAGACCTAGCAACACCTCAAACACTTTGTCACACTACGAAACTGCTTCGGAACATTCAACATCTGCAAACGACAATCACAACTATCCCGAACCCAGCAAAGACTACCAAGACCACTCAGCTGATCCTGAGACCAAAGTTGCGGTAAATCTTAAAGAACCTTCTCAGCCAAGTGAGCAATTTGGCGGACCCCCCGAACACGTTGATAAAGATTTTGATGCTACTGAAACACATCCTGTTCCTCGCCAAGCTTATACCCCTCACAATGAGTCTTACTTGTCCAGCGAAACAGCTTCTGAAGCAGACATCCAGCCTGTTCCTGTGGAGGAGAAATTCACACAGGGTGACAGGGACGAAAACCAATTGAACAGGCAATATACTTTAGAGAGAATCAGAACCCACCGGTCAATTGAAGACGCAGCTTCGGAACAAATAAAACAGGTGCTGGGTGGCCGTGTACTCTCTGTGGACGAGTTGGACTGGGATAGTCCAGATGACAAGGATAACCCTCAAAACTGGTCCAATATTAAAAAGTGGTGGATTACTTGGACAGCTGCTGTGATGTGTCTCGTTTGCTCGTTAGGTTCATCTATGTACACTGCTGGTATACCTGAATTGATGATTCGTTTTGGAGCATCACAAGAATTGTGTCTTTCGGGTTTAACATTTTACTTAATTGGTTTAGCAATTGGTCCAGCTCTTGCTGCGCCATTGTCTGAAACATATGGAAGAAAGCCCCTTTACGTTATTTCCTGGCCTATTGCCATGTTGTTCACCATGGGTGTCGGTTTGTCGCCAAACATTAGAACATTGTTGGTACTCCGTTTCTTTTGCGGGTTCTTTTCTAGTCCAGCTTTATCGATAGCTGGTGGTACTATTAGTGATCTTTGGTCACGAGAACCCTCTGAACAATCATTTGCTGTTGCGATTTTCTGTTTGTGTCCGTTCTTGGGTCCAGTTTTGGGTCCAATCATTGGTGGTTTCTCCGCTGAGTACAAGAATTGGAAGTGGGCAGCAGCATGGGTATTGTTGATGTTTTTTGGTGCAGCTTGGCCATCTGCCATTTTGTGCCCGGAAACTTTCAAAAAAACTATTTTGGCTCGTAGGGCTCGCAAGAGAGGACTCAATGTTGAAACTGAAACAATCAATTGGGCTTATATCAAAAGAATTGTCAAGTTCAACTTGGGAATGCCCTTGGTCTTGTTGGTGAGAGAACCTATTGTGTTTTTCTTGTCTTTATACATTGCCTTTGTCTTTGCAGTCTTGTTTGCATTTTTTGAAGCGTTCCCAGTTATTTTTAGAGGTAAGTATCAAATGGATTTGGGAGTTTCCGGCTTGCCTTTTATTTCTGTTGGTATCGGTCTTATTTTGGGAGTGGCCTTTTATGTTGTTTTGGACAAGACTATCTATTTCCCCAAGAATCCAGATGGTACCAGAGGTAAAAGAGATGAGAATGGTAATTTCATCTGGGATCCACCTGAGACGAAGTTGTTGGTGGCAAAGATTGGAGCTTTCTTTCTCCCGATATCGCTTTTCTGGTTGGGTTGGACTGGTAGAACTGGTAACATCCATTGGCTCGCTCCAACAGCAAGTGGTATTCCGTTCGGTTTTGGTTTGATTTTGGTTTTCTTTGCTGTCGTGTTGTACTTTTCCATGTCGTTCCCACCAATGATTGTTGCCTCTTGTATCGCAGCCAACAACTTGTTGCGTTATACTTTGGCATCCGTTTTCCCACTTTTCACTGTACAGTGTTTCGAGAACTTGGGAATTGGTTGGGCAGGTTCGTTGTTTGGATTCATTGCTGTGGTGATGGTTCCCTTGCCATTTATTTTCTCATACTTTGGTCCACAGTTCAGGGCAAGAAGTAAGTTTGGATATGCAGCTTTCTTTAAAAAGTTGGCAGCAGAGAAAGAGGCCAGAGAAAAAGCCCAAGCAGAATCTGGTGCTAGCTCAGAACCAACAACCAATCTTGAAAAAGATGTTGCCAATGAAGTCTAGGTATATATTATGGGTGTATTAGATTGTTTTTTTAATAGAGATTAATAATTAGTGGCTTTGTAAAGCGTGATACACCAGTAATTGTTACAGTAATGAGGCCCGTTTCTTGAGGTTTTCATAATCGACCCTTTGATTTTTTTTTTTTTCCGTTTAGACATACAATGTAAAACCACCATTCAACCACCAGTTCGAGATTGTCAACACCTTCAATCCATCAAACGTTGTCGTATAGCAAGCATATCCAATCTACTCTACATCCGCATCTACCAAGAGTTGCATTTTCTTGCTTGTACGAGATTTAAAGTTCACACTTGATCAATTTGTAACTAAAATATTAAGAATTATGGTCAACAACAACAACAACAACAACAACAACAACAACAACGGGGTACAAGGCCAACGAGCCAATGGGCAGTTCAACCCAAATTCCAGTAATGGTGTACAGAGTCCGTCTTTACCTGGATCCCAGCAGCAACGCACACAACAACAAGGTCAACCCCAACAACAGAATTTACAGCATATTCCACCTCAACAATTGGCACAACTTGTGCAAGCAATGAAAAATGATTTTGAAATGGCCAAAAATGCCACTGATGAGCAAACAAAACAGCATCACTTGAATCGAGCTGAGAATATAAGAAAGGTGTTGGCAAAGTATCAAGCTCAGAGAAATAGATTGCAGCAGCAACACCAGCAGCAACACCAGCAGCAACGTCAAATGAATTCTCAACTGCCCCAGCTCAGCATGCAACAGTCAGGAATGCAACCACAGCCTTCTGTTCCTGGACAATCTAATCCAATGTCCCAACAGAGTTTCAGCAACAACTATAATCAGTTCCGAGATCCAGTGCAGAATCTGCCTGCAATAAATAATTCACCGGCGATGGGCCATCAGTCACCTTCTATGGGACCAAGCGGTATTCCGACAGCTACTGCGCTTAATCCTAATAATCGTCAGTCTCAGGCCTCGGAGGGTAGCAAAGGTAAACATGATGTAGAGGAGCAAAGTAAACAAAAGCTACAACAGAATCAACTGCAGCAGCTGCTGCAATTGCAACAACAGCCGCAACCACAACAGGTGGGTCCGAATCAAGTGCCAAATTTTAATGCACAGAGTCTGCAACAATATCAAAACATGTTGGGAAGCATGAGTTCGAGTAATTCGAGCGGAGCGGGAAGTGGTACGGCTGGCGGTATAAATCTCCCATCTAATACAATATCGATGGAAAGGTTCAATCAAATTCGACAGAAATTGACGGAGATTCAGAGGAAGATCCAGCTTTTGGAACAAAGTAAAAAAGCGGGCAATGCAACACCAGAACAGGTCTCGATCATTGATAGGGAGTTGGTGGAGTATAAAACCAAGTTTCAACAGTTTCAAAAGATTGGTATTTATATGAGGAATCAGTTGGTGCAGCAAGCGAAGCAACAACAGCAGCAGAGACAGCAAAACCAACAAGTACAACTTGGTCAGTTACCACCAGCACAGCAACCACAACCACAACCACAACCACAACCACAACCACAACCACAACCACAACCACAACCACAACCACAACCACAACCACAACAACAGCAACAGAATCTTCTTCCTCAATCGTCACCACAGATGCCACAAGGCCAGCAACTGCAGCAACAGTTCAATCAATTCCCTCCACAATCACAAGGTAACAACAGCATGCAGTTTTCACCACATATGTCGCCACAATTACAAAACAGCTTTCAGGGCTCACCTCAGTCTCAGTCTCAGTCTCAGTCTCAGCCTCTCCAGCAACAACAAAATCAACAGCAGCAGCAGCAGTCATTAGCACAGCATCATAGAAACATAGCTACAGGCCAACAAGCTGTCCCTTCGCAATTAGCTGCAACGAACATGAATGGAGCTTTGACGAACCAACCACTTGCACACCAATCTAAGCAGCCTTCTCAAGCAGGCAGCCCTGTGTACCGTAGTACTCATCCAACACCGTCTCATCAAGTTCAACAACAGGTACCAATTCAAAACCAGAGACCACCCAGTCGACAAGCATCCGCCACTCCTCAGGCCCAACCTCAATCTCAGCTGTTGCAGCAGTCAAGCAGACAAGGCTCAGCTTCTTCAGAGAAGAAACCGGTAGCTGCTGGACCGGGAGTGCCCAATGGGTCTGCTGCGAAGTCGGCGTCGCCTGGCGCAGAGGGTGGTCGCTCAACCCCTCAAAGGCCCAGATCAGCAATGTCGATGAACCTCGCTGGGATAACCAAGCCCAGTGTTCCCTCGATTCCTATATCGGGTTTGGTAGATATAAAACCACCTACAGTTGTAACTTTTAATCCGGTTACTGATACCCGGCCCACCTTGACTGGTGGCGGTGCAAACTCGTTGAGTATGTTGTGGGACACTCCGGCAATCACAAAATTGCCCACTTTTGACTTGGAGGGTGGAGAGTCCACCACTGAATCGGGTAGAGTTTTGAACAAGAGAAAGTTGCAAGATATCATCAGTACTGTTGGTGTTGATGACGGTGATGGCAAAACCACGATAGATGGTAATGTAGAAGAGTTGTTGTTGGATTTGGCTGATGAGTTTATTTATTCAGTGACTAGTTTCGCCTGTCGGTTGGCCAAGCACAGAAAAGTGGATTCCATTGATGCAAAGGACGTGCAGTTGCATTTGGATCGCAATTGGAATATCAAGATCCCGGGGTATGCTATGGATGAGATAAGGAGCACGAGAAAGTATCAACCTAGTACCTCATATAATCAAAAAGTGCAAGGGATTGAAATTTCCAAAGCGATTAATGACGACATTTGAAAGGAGCATTATGGTTTGTCAACACAATGTGTTGCCGTCGTAACTCGTGTATTTTACGTACAAGGTACATATGCTTTATAAATAGACGTCTACAAAAATGGAAAAAAAAGAAAAAAAAAAGTGCAGAACCGTCAGTTCAATTACTTGTCGACATCATTAGCTTCCTTGTTGCGCTTCCTTATTTGCTTAGCCCAAGCCTTATGGTCCTGATCAAAAACACCTTCAGCAACGCCTTGTAAAAAGCCTTGCTTGTCCTCCAACAACTGCCATGGAGTTTTCCTCTCAGTGTCATTCTTGATCAAGCACGAATCAATAAACTGACAAAGTGACGGATCGTATCTTGACTTGGTTACAGGGTTGACTTTGTTTGTCAAACTTGGCGGTTTTTCATTGACTATGCGTTGCAAAAGATCCAAAATGCCTTCAGGTCCTCTAAATGAGTTGTTGCTGGTATCACTTTTCAAGCTATTGTAAGCACTACTTCCATATTCATCATCGTCATCGTCATGGTCATCGGTCCAAACAGAAACACCGCTGGCCAATTCAATCAACATTAAACCCATTGACCACACATCTGACTTGACACCATAGTTCAATCCTTGTATTCTTTCGGGGGACATGTACATTGAAGTTCCCACAAAAGTATCTGCCATCGCCAACGAATTGGTGAGTTCTCGAGAGACTCCAAAATCGCACAATTTAAACTCCCCTCGATGTGTCATTAAAACATTGTTTGGCTTTACATCACGATGAATGATTCTGTGTTTATTGTAAAGATACGACAATCCAGACAATATGGCAAACGAAAGCTTTCTCAACACATGAAGAGGGAACTGTCGATTGTCACACAATGGCAAAATTTTATCCAAAGAGCCACAATTGCAATACTCCATACAAATCACTATGGTGTTGTTGCTGTTTAAAAATGCGCCATAGAATTCGATAATGTAAGGAGATTGACATTCATGTAGTATTCGTAGCTCTCGAATGATTTGCGTTTGGATAACACTTTTCAGATCAACATGAATAATCTTCTTCGCCATGGTCTTTTGTGTTGGAATATGCAACACTTTGGAGACTGAGCCTGAATTTCCCAGACCCAATTGCTTCAAAGTTAGCAAGTCTCTGTTGCGTAGTTTGAGTTTACTAGTCGTTGCAATAGGTGATTGGGTTTCGTTCAAGGTATCAACTAGTTTGACTTTCGACTCCACCTGTTGGCTAGACATTTTTGTAGGGGAAATGGAAGATATAACAGTTTGACGTTTGCGTGAAGAAGCGTCATTGGGTGTGGATTTGCTTCGCTGCGAGACTCCAGGTCGATCTAATTCAAGATGTGACATTTGATTAAAAAGCATTTCGGTAGATGCTACAGACTCAGGGTCGACGTTCCTATTGCTCTCCTTGAAATCATAATTGGTATGTCCAGCACTACTTGGCCGACTAAGAGTTTGCGTCACAATAACATTTTGCGATGATGATGGCTGCGTAGAATCAGTTGTTATTGATGGGGCTGTCGCCAGTTGTGCCATAACAGGTCGCGATGGCTGTGACAGCAGTGAAGCATTCGGTAGGTTGAGAATGGGTGCTGGTCTTTGTCGTCTTTTCAATGATGTGGGCTCTCGTATTAAATGCAGGTCGTCATCATAATCAGGCTGCGGTTTTGGAGACGATAGTGACAAGTGCTTGAAGTTTTTTCTATTTAGAGTCTTTTTCTCCATAATCTCTGCATCATCCATAGCTGTTGATTGATCAAGCAGCCTGCCTTTGGAAGCGGCAAATGTATTCGGAGTGCTTATGCGAAGTGAGCTTTGATACTTGTTGTCGCGGTCATTCAAGGGTAGTGTTGGAAACTTTGCACCCTTCGACCGCGAAGAATTACCAGCACTAGTCTCGACATTCATTTAAAATGGGGGTCTAGTGGGGAGTGAAGTAAGCGGGTAGTGGTGTATTAGTATATTTTCTGTGTTGGAGGTAAACTTGTCTTGATACAATATACTTCTGATGCAATCAACAATAAAAATTAATTTTGTTGATGTTGCTAAATATAGGATCACTCTAACTTAGTTTGAATTTTTATATTTTTTTTTTTTTTCAGTCGTTGTCACACTCTCAGTTGGGCGCTTTTCCTCCAATGTATACATATTGGGTAGCGTAAGGATATGATTCTTTACCATAATGTAATATCCTATATTTGCAACAGGGGATGATAAGCTGGGAAAATCCGTTGTCCCTTTTTTGCAGGGTGGTGGTATCAATGGTACTTGAAACAGGGAAGTCAGTATTGCAAGGAGTATCGGGCACACGACGAAGTTTCGGACTTGTCCATGTTTAATCAATGCGCATACACACCTGTAATTTAATAGTAGGTAGTCTCAACTCTAGCCTTGGGGAGTGTTAGCCTCTTTCTTTCTATGATGAAATTATTGCAAAGTACTCGATTCCAAAAATGACACGTGAGGAGTATAGAGCGTTATAATTTTGTATCAAATTTGAAACAAAGTTTAAATTAGCCACAATTTGAAACATTTGAAACGTTACATCTTGAAGAAGCATGGATTTATGCTTTCTGAAAATATTTTTTTTTTTTGGAAAGAATCGACACTGTAACAGAGTTGCTTAGTGATTGAAGTGCGTTCTTAAAGCTTTTGGGAGTTTTTGAAAGCCACAACAAAAGGATCTCACGCAGTATATGTATGAAACTTTTAGCTTTGCCAATGAATGCGCCTTGCAAGCGCATACGATATTTACGCTTACAGCAAGATGCATATTCCTTCCTCAAAGGCAGTAACCCATTCGATTCTGAAGACTAAGTTTGCAAACGTTTGCAAGTTTTTTTAATATCCGATTTATTCTGCTTTGTTTAGGATGTGTATCCGCTTAATTTTAAACATGAACAAGAAATGGAATTGATAGTGGCGTTTTGTGCTCGAGTGAGCAACTACGAATTTGGAAGTTGGTGTGTTTGGTCAACTCCTCTGTAAGAAATGTAGCAACCAACTCTCTCCAAGTCTGAAGTCTACCGAGATGTACGTTATAGTTACTACAGCAATCTGGGTACGTTGTCGTTGAAATAAGAACCATGAAACCAGTTGCACTCTCGAATTGGTTTACCCCTTGCATGTGAACAATAGGAAAAGAACTGAGCTAGAAACGCAAATAAACATGAAATAAAAGAGAAATTAGAAAGCAAAAGAAGTAGACTCAATGGTTTTGTGCATTTAAGATGTAAAGCTCAGTTCATAGGACCAAAGGAAGGAAGGGGATGCCTTTCTTTTGTGAAAAAAAAAATATTATTGTTATCTTTCTAAAGTCCGTAGATTGTGTCCCACTAAGCAATTGAGTTATTGTGCATTAAATCCGACAGATACACAAACACAAACACAATTTCTTTTTCTCTTTTGTCTTTATTTGCTTCTTTTTCTAGACTTGTTTCTTATTGTTCAGACTCTTGACAGTTACACCAAGTTCGTTTCACAATAGATGACAAAACTCAGGAGAACAAATCAGAAGCCAAATACAGGAATCAATTTTTATTCTTCACATGCTGTCCTTATTTTATTGTAAAGCTAGACTTTTTTCTTTTCTTTTTTTTTTTTTTTTTTTTGCTATTGACTTCACTAACACCTATTATCCTTTCGAACAAGATATTGATTCATGTGAATTGTGGGCTGTGCCGCAACTACCCGCAATGGTTATGAGTTGGTTTAGCCTTTTAGTAATTTTTTAATGCTTGGAAAAGGATCTCAAGTGCCAAGGGGGTGGTTCAATGGCTCTCAACCATGAAAACGAAATCTCAAAACCCTACCCTTTTTATTTGCGAAAGATAGTAACGACCATGACAATACATAATAAGCCGCTTACAATAGAGAGATTCTGTTCACATGAAGCTGAAGCAAATTGACATGTGACGCTTATATTACTTTGCACTAGATGTCAAACTAAATGTGCATAAAAGGTTGGCCACTGCTTACATGCACACTCCCCTTCCGAGATGTTCTAGATAGAACAAAATCACAGCTTAAATTTGACGAGAAGGAAATTGTTGCCGAATTGACAACAAATTTTATTTTTTGTTTTAATATGTATCTTGCTTTTTACTTTTCTTGCATTAAATCCTTAAGGCCACAACCGTTGTTACATTTGCGACTTGATTTGGAATAGGAAAAAGAAAAAAAAAAAAATAAAAAACAAAAGGAGAAGATGATAAAGTGATAATAACGAGAAAAAAAAAAAATAGAAATAGAATAGAACAAGAGATGAATAAAATAATGTGCTTGTTAATTCCGATAACACAAAAGTAAATGAGCTTAGCGCCTAATTTTGCATACTATTTTAAGAGATCATAGGTTAGTTAATACCGCTGGCACATGACAATTTAACGTCAAATACCAGTTCATTTGAGAAGAGCAATCGATTGAAAGGTGTTCGTGCTACAGTTGGAACATAAAGAATAGAATGGTGAACAATCTCTAATTGTAAAATAATTTCTCGAAGAATTGAAGTGAGTGGGCGGCAGAATCAGCACAGCAGAGACATATGGGCAAACCTTTTTCGATTAGCTAGTGACCATTTTCATATGTCAGCTCTGTCGAGCTATGGGAGAAACAACCTACAGGCGTCTGTCTGAATCATGACTTTCTGTAGCACCGTAAAAATCTTGCCCTTGACCCAGTGTATTCTGATGTTGATCCTCTGCTCTTGGTTCTCGGGGCTGTGGAGGTTCTTGACTAGACGAAGCTTGCATGGAAGGTTGCAATTGCCCTAAATACGAAGACTGGTGTAGTAGTGGCGGGGGTGGTAGTGGTTGCAGGTACCCCATAGGATGTTGTTGTTGTGTGTTTGGCTGAAACAGTTGTGAAGATACATATTGTTGCATATAAGGTCCTGCTTGATGAGCCGGGTATAGTAACTGCACGCTTGAAAGATTGTGATTGTTATGGCTACCGTATTGTGGATAGGGTGTGTAATACTGATTTGCATATGGTTGGGAATGCACAGGGTGTGTAGTATAGCTGTTGTATGATGGTTCCTCATTGCTATTACCCTGCCCTGTCTTCTCCCTTTGGCCATATTGTCTCTTCTTTTCTCTACACTCAGCACAGAGCTTATATTCTCCATATTCATGCGGATCCAATGTCTTGGCACAACGATTGCAAACTCCCATCTGTTCCAATTTGTATCGTCTATGCTTATCCTTTCCCCTGCAATGCAGACACACCCGATGGGTCGGCTTGGATGAGGAGGGTCTAGGGTCTTTAATATCCTTTGGAAACAGTCCATCAGGAGTATTGCTCTCACTGTCCATCAGACTAGAACAATTAATGCATCTACCTTGTAAAGATCGGTCGGATTTCCGTGTTCGTAGATTCAGTCTGCAATTAGCACAAAGGACAAAGTTTTGGTCCTTTACTGGAATTTCAGTGCCACATCTTCGGCAAAACCCTTTTCTATCCTTTGTTTTCATTTGCCATCTTCTAGACCTTTGGCGTTGAAGTTCACGACAATGGGCACACATTTTGAACAACTTTGTTTGGCCACCACCGGCAGCTTTACCATTCATATCATTGCCACCTTCAGTTGGAATGTTGACTATTTGAACAAAGTCCTTCTTGCATCTAGTGCATTGAGATACAACAGATTTCTGATTTGCATTGAGAATTCCAGAGTCAAATGGAGTTAAGAATGAGGAGGTTGAGCCTCTACTGGAAATTGCGAATGGGTGAATTGCATTATGAGTATAAGCTCCAGTGGTATTAGAGCCACCTGTAGTCAAGGATGAGTTTTCAGTCCCTAAGTTGTGCTCTCCTTGCTCATAAGAAACAATGCCCGGGTGTTGATGCGTCGTGCTCAATGAAGTTGTTGAGGATGATGGCCCCCTCTCATGATTGTAACTTAAAGGTGTGCCGGTACTGCCTTGACTGTCACCAAGCTTAGAATCCAAGGAGTGACGACTTCTCGGTTGAGGCAACCCGTGGGTTGTGAACAGACCAAAGTGTGGTGGTTGAGCGATGGAGGCATATGGACTCTGTATATGGAATGGTTGGTAAGAATTGGGTACATAATTTGGTGTTTGCAATGGTGCCAAATGAGGTTGTGGTTGAGGAATAGGAATTGAAAACAGTACAGATTGTGAAACCGGTGGTTGACGTGGTTTTAAATCGTGTTGTGAGGCGGAGTAAGTTTGCAGCTGTTGTTGCGGTTGCAAAAATTGTTGTTGTGGGAGTACCAGATTCAACGATAAATGTGGTTGGAATTTACCATAGTCAGCGTATTGGTTTTGTGGCTGTTGTGGCTGTTGTTGAGGTAGTAGCAGCTGCTGTTGTTGCTGGTGTTGTGATTCTTGAATATTGGCAAATGGTGGTATTCTATCACTTTGGCGGTTTTGTGTCTTTTGAAGGTGTGGAACGTTTTGATTGGAATTGATGGATTCAGAAGTTTCTGGATGTGTATCTTCTGTGTCTCTATTTTCACCCAGTTGAGAGTTGGAATCCATATAAGGTTGGTCCATAGCAAAAGGTCTCAATTGCAGAACAATATTTTGAGCTGTGGTCGTCAACGTGATTGTGAATGTTTGAGAAAGCCAATGGGGGAAAAAATGTAATTGAAATGACAAACAGTGTAGAATGTGGTTAGATATGCTTGTTGTTCTAGATGATTAGCACTGTTTCAACTTTACTAGACCTGGATGAATTAGTTTTCAACTTTAAACTAAAATTGGTATTATTTTTTGTTGACTAGGTGGATTTTTTGAGTTCTGCGAAGTTGTTTGATCCGTTGGCAATGAAACGGAAGATTGCTCTATTTGATATTGAGGAAAAAGCTGTTGAACTTGAGTTAGCTGCAATGTACTTTTCTACATTTTGAACAGTGAGTGGGTATATCCTAGGTATTTTATATAAAACTCCTATGCTAAGTAGATTTAAATGTAGAGTGAAAAATAAAAAAAAAAAAATAGAAATCTCACATTAAATGTTTTGGTTTTGTACACATATATGCAACACCGCTTATTGTCTTAACAACAAAATAAATATTTTTTAACTTTTTATTAATTTGCTTTTTTTTTTTTTTTTTTTTTTTTTTTTTTTTTTTTTTTTTTTTTTTTTTTTTTTGGTTTTAATTTTTTTCTTAATCTTTCGTTATATTGTGTGTTTATTGATTTTTCTGATTTCTCTGTATGAGAATTCACACATTTCAGAAACACATACTATTGTTATCGTTTCTATTGTATTTTACTTAGTCAACAATTGGGTTTTGTTCCCACACTCTCATCCTCGATTCCACTTCAGTCATTACAAATCTTAGTAATGAGAATAGTCATACATTGCTCGCTTTGTTTCTCCATTTTCAGCGGAGGGGAACGGCTTTAAATTTCAAAAATTTCAAAAATATCAAGAAAATGTAGCGAAAGCTCCTATCTACCACCTACTCTACTACAGAGTCTAACAAGGAGACACTAGCATAAGCAGGCACACCGGAATACGATTTATGTCAGATACAATGTAACCCAGCCCACTGCAAACCAAGAAGAATTTCTTGCTCATGGTTCCTTCGGGCGGTTATAACAACAAAAGGCGGTTATAACAACAATTTTATTAAATAAGTAGTCCTTAACGCATAGTCTTAAATCTCTTACTACCATCGATATAACCTAAACTACTAGTAACCACAACCACGCAGAAGTTAGTAAAAAAATAAAAACACGCACACACACACACACACACACACACACACACACACACACACACACACACACACACATTAGTTGATACATTTTAGAATATTCTATTACACGAGCTTCGTACCTTTTCTGGACTTTGTAATCATGCTTCTCATACGTTATGCTTGAACGTTGAGAATTCGGTTGCTTCTCATAGAAGTGAAATCTTCATTTAGTTTGTTCTTTTGTGATGGAAAGTATATGTCAAAGTATGGATGGGGTTCGCCTAATCGAACGAATGGGCTGACGCATGCATCACTCAAAGTAAACGAGACAAAAAATAAAAAAAAATGTGCAGGTAGTGCATAGTTGTCCAATTCAAGCAAAACTTGAATCTTCGTAAACTCAATTTTAACTTTTTTTTTTTTTTTATTTTATCTTCTTTTTGTGCTTGTAATCTAAATTGCTATTTTACATAAGTTTTGTTCACACTATGAAACACTTAAAGCATGTCTTCTGAATAAGTTATTGCTCAAATGTAAATAAATTAGAATACAAAACCATCACATATTCTCTACTATATCCCGAGAACGCTGCTATTTCTCCCATCAAGAAATTAAAAAAAAAAAAGGCTTGAAAACCAGAACATAGCTAGAGCTCTAATTGCAGTTTTGTGCTCTTTTTTTACGTGCAAATCCTAAAGTAACTTTGTAACCGAAGAAAGAAATTATTTTTTTTTTAAAAAAAAAAAGAACAACAAAAAACACTTGTGAACGCTTCGGTATTAAAAATGGACTAAGTATTGTGTTTAGGCGTTTAGAAAAATTTTGCGGCTATTGTCCTAATCACCGATCACCTGTTTTATTGAGGTTGGTACACAAATGGTTTGACGATAATCGGTTTTAATTTTGTAATTGACTAAACACATAAAGCGTGCTTGTAGAGACAGAACCCCCTCGTCTGTGTATCTGATTGCCCAGATCACGAATGCAGCTTGAATACCCTGAACCCCGCAACAAGGGCAAGGGGAAAACCTGTCTGTTCGTTTTCAATATTTTTGCCTTCACAGGCACTTAGTAACCAATACTTATTTCTCTCCCAGAGTCAAACTTTATAATTTTGTTCCCGTTACCATTGAGCCAGCAGAGTCACATATCTTCATGCGAGAGGCATGGGTTTCGATACAACAATAGCAATAGGGGCGGAAAAACTGGGAACAATAGGAGGAGGCCGATTGTGATGGTCAAGATAAACAGATTGCGGAAAAGAAAAAATTAGAAAAAAAAAAATTGCAAAATGACTTTGGTTATGAGAGATAACTCAAAACCTTACACAACTGAGAGATCAAATGCATCAACTGTATGTATACCGGGCCAAGGTTATTAGTAATTTTGATTACTAAATTTTTGGTAATCTGTGGAGCTGCATGATGAAAATGAGCACGAAGGAGCCATTTTAGTCTTTGCAGGTTGCGTGTCGTAACCAAATTTAGATGACAAGTAGATGGTGGTGCGTACAGTTCTGCTGTTTGCATGGTCACAGGCACAAACACGCTTCTCGCCCCTCATCTCACTACATCACAAAGTGGCTTATAGATGCCATTTCATTTCATGTAACACACGGAACAACGTCTTTTAGCAAACGGATAAATTCACAACAGAGTTCCAAAATATTTGATTCTAAAAATAAATCACACTGTTTTAGTTTTGTGCTTGAAACCTAATCCCGATTACGCTCCGAAAGTTCGTTATTGTCTTTTTTTTCTTTTTTTTTTTTTTTTTTCTGCGGTTTTTTTTTCTTCACTTTCAACTATTGTATATTATGAATAAACTCTTTTGGTCCTCCAAGTTCTCCGAAACTAGTCACCATCCTACCCAACATAGCATCCGGAACACAATGCGGCAATAGACTGATGGAAATGGAAATGAAAATTAAGCTTAAATTTTTTTGCACGACTTCTGTCACCGGCAAAAAGATAATCCGCTATAGTCGCATTGAGAGAGAGAGAGAAAAGATGTCACTTTCAATCCAGAGTGTATAGAAGACAAGCCAAATTGGTATCCCCTACTCCAATTCTTGGTCGTTAAATTTGTGATACGGTTCATTAACACACTTTTTAAACGAAGGATATCTTCTGTGAGTGGCAAATTTGTTGTCTTACGGTACAGCAACTTGCATTGCACAAACAGCTGTGGCTATTCCATCGCCACCGCCCCCTTTTTTTTCGAGTACCCGGTGAACATTGTGCTCAGGTAATATATCGATTGTTGCTGGTTTTTTATTGTGTGTGTGTGCGTGTGCATAGATACTGGAATACTTTTGTATCCGATATTGTGCAACAGAATTGTTAGTGTATTATTTTATTCTATTTTATTTTGTTTTATTTTTTCATCGATTTCTTTGCAGTTTAAAGGGATTGGTAAGTGGGGAACGAACAAAGTACTAAAAAAGGCAAAATTCATAACGATGAGACGTTGAGTACACAAATTTTAGCAGAATAGTAAATTTTCCAATGCATACTAAACTTAATTGTTCTTTTGTTCATAGGTAGTTAGTTTGTCTTTTCCTTTCTACTATTGTTGAATTTCTTAGTGGCGTGATGTTTTTTTTTTTATCTTCTTTAGTTGTTGTAACACAACAACTCAGTACCAATAAAGTTCATAACCATACGGTACATAACCCACCCTTGAATTGTTTTTCCACTACTTTTGTTGCTAAGTTTACTTAACTAGTTTCATAACCAGCAACGCCCCCTCTCCTCCTCCTTTAACTGAACTCCCCGTAAATGACACAAAAGTATCGGCAAAGGTCCACCGTGAGGCGTTATATTGCACCGGCGCAATTCGAAAGCCTCTTCGTTAATTATCGTCGTCAATGTGCCGCATTCACGTCAACACTCACTGCCGCATATGCCACCAAATATCTAAGCCTCTAATTTGAAGCTTAGTGAGGATTTGCACAAATATTTTCAAAACTTAGCTCTTGTATTGAAGGATTAGTTGGTTGCTGCGTGCACTTTCAACCCTCCCCTCACTGGACAAGCAAAGCATGACAAAGTTTAAACCTTCGTTCGAATTACACAATCATTGAGAGGAAGGTTTGTTTTAGTTTTAATGTTGTTTATCCGGAAGTTTTTTTCTGTTCCGGAACTACAGAAATAATTTCGTAACATGTGGTGCTCTTTTGTGCACAGAAACAATGATATGGATTTTCCATTTCAGGAAATGCTTGTAATACCCAGGTCAACTCAAGTGGGGAATAAGACCAAAGGAAAACAACTTGCTAAGACCTTGAAAGATGAAGCGTCTTCTTTTATTTGGTACTTTGTACAATCTGAGTCGATTGTCAAAAGACTTGTAACTGTCTCGGACTAGTCCCTTATCAATGTACAATAACATACGTTGATTCAGCCGTTTACGATCTATACGACTAATTGTGTTCCACAGAGTCTGAATTTCTGTGTTGGTTTGCAATGAGGCAAAAGTACATTACACTTGCTTGGGACTGTATAAGACTCAAAACACAACAAAAAGCATGCACAATATTGAATGCATTGGGATCGACGCCGACTAAGAGAACTTTCTTGGCAAAGAAACAAAAGTGGCACCTTTTGTAGATTCGTTAGTTACGCAAAATAGAGACTAGCTTTCAGCGTACAGAGTATGCCGCCCTTAACCTTAAAGCTATTGGATCAGCATTTAGGGCCCACTTTCGCCATTAGGGTTTCTTCTCTTTGTCATGAGAGAAGAAAAGTTTGTCTAATATTCCCCAGTTATTTTAGTGCTCTCCACAAAGTCTATTGAATTTGTGTAGCATCAGTTTTTAAATTTTCTGAGCTTTCGACCCATTACGTAAAAATAGTAATGGAATTATTAAGCAAAATCAATCAACAGGATTTCCTATTGCAAAATGTGCATCATTTCAAATACTTCCTCTTTATCCAACAAATTCTTGAGGAATCACCTCCCTAGTAATTTCCCAGTGTGGCACTTTGTAACCACTCTGCAACAAAAGAATGAATATCACGTTTTGGTTTTTGAGCAATTTGGTTACATTTCCATATTACGTAACCGTAACAACGCCTCATTTCCCACCACCCTGTAGCAAATTTGTGGCACATGATGGTCAGATCCTTCAACTGTGAGTTGTTCAACATCACTAAAAACGCAATAGTCAAAGCGAGGATCTCTCTGGATTATTGTTGGGCAAGGGCTCAATGTGGCACTAAAGATGCAATGCCCCTTGCATTCCATACGACAGGTGACCGTTTGATTGCACATAGCCACTTCTAACAAAGACACATTGTTCAAGATTATGCGTGTGACCTGATTAAGCATGGAGTCAAAAATTAACGTATTGGGAAAAACTTAGCGATGTGAAATTCAAGGGTTGGCAGAGTCAAATACTCCGGAATTATTCCAAACAGTTTGTGTGCACAAAATCGGAGAAACTATTGACAGAGTACCAACCACCATAAAATAAAAGAAGATACCTTTGGGAAAGCAAACGTGCTCCTCAACGCAAAGTAAGTGTTACTAAATATAGAATGTTGGGAAATAAAGCGAGCCGTAGTGGCAAACAAGGCATCAGCGTAAAAACGCACACACATGCACGTTTTTCTTTCTCCAAGCTCTGTATAATCGTACGAACTACAAACGTGTTCATAACCTACAGATTGTAGATCAATCTTGCTTGGATAACCCCACGAAATGCATTTTTTTTTAAAAAAAAGGCGTACGTAATCTAGTGGCTCACCAAATTCAAAATAGTAGCCATTTGTCAACTATGGTCTATATACAATACCAATGATAGAGTAACTAAAACACCAGCTCTCTCCTGAAGGTATAATTTTTCTTATTTAGAACAGTCTCCACTCAAGTGGCAGCTCGTGACAGGGTACAAGCTCCTTCGACACAAGATGAAGCTCGCTGTGGGGACCATTTCAAATACCGATTCGGCCCACCTCTAGCATATACACCCCGCCACCTTCAATGTTAGCCCAGGTTAAACAACGTGTTCCAATGCCAACTCAAAAAGTTATACAAAATGTCAACAACTCCTTCCACTACCCATTCATCCTTACTTCATTGCGGCTCAAAACTTCTTTTGATAAACAGCTTGTACAACCTCACCAGCACGATAAGCACCCAACGCCAATAGAATAACCCCAGCACTTCGCACAGACCGCTGCCACCAAAGCGGATTCTTGACAAGATCGATTTTGCCAGTGGTGGAATCCTTGAATTGATTGGGGGAACTAAGCACAGATCCAAGACCTATCCCCACTGCCGACTGAATTGCAGTGCATGGTAGGCAATACTTGTACTCTTTCTCCGGTATGTCTCTTGGTGGAGGAGGGTTGAAAACTGATAGGATGTTTGACATATTGAAGATGGCGGAAGTGTTGCGTTGCAAACGATTGCTTCCTTTGGTGAAAAATTGTCAGTCTCAAATCTTCGCACTCACGACTCTTTGGAAAAAAAGTGACCATACATGGGGCATTGTCACCAATACACTGTCCACTATAGAATATATACATTACTCATGATTCGTCGAATAAACATACCACAGCGTGCCAACAGGTTAAAGCACACCGCTACTCACCGTACAACTTCAACCCCCATACTACCATTCCGCGCCTATTCTCAATACAATTACAACCAAACTTATGCAAACTACAATCCCCCGTCGTCCCCGAAATCATCATGGTTTAGAAAATTCCTTTATGCAACACTCGGAATCTCCGTGATTTCAGGCTATGCGTACTACATGTGGTGGCCAAAACATACGTTTCCCAGCTCAGTGGCGAAAATATTGCGAAAAGGATTATGGGCCGAAAGTGACCGTGGCGAGCATGATTATCAATTGGCATTGAAGTACTATCTTGAAGCGTTGGAGCATTGTAAAGAGATTGGAATGGATCCGTTGAGTGACGAGTATACTGGTGTGCAATTAAAGATTGGCGAAATGTTTGAACGGTTGGGCATGATGAGCGATGCGGCATTTGTGTATAATGAAATTGCCACTTTGTACTTGAGTGTGTTGACAGCAAAACCAGCGGGTGCCAACACTTCGGCAAGGCTTATAGGTAGGGATTTGAGACGGCATTTGATTCAAAAGGATTTGAGAATTGCTATAAAGTTGGTTGAGTTGAATAAGAACAATCCTGCATTGTGTAAAGCCATCTTGGTTACTCATTTGATAATTGCTCAGGATGAAGTCAACAAGTTGGGCGGGTCAGTGGGGAAGTTGAACTTGGTTACGAAAGTCGGTTCTAATGATGTTGATAACAAGGGTCCGCAACAGCAGCTGCAGCACCAAGAACCGAATAAGTTTACGGCCACTTTAGATAAGGATACCATCTTTATCAATGATGAGTCAGGGACAGAGGTCGCCGCTATTAGAAAGACTCCCGAGGTGTGGGAGCCATTCACTGATGAGTTCTTCAATGCAATGGATCTTCTAAGTGCAATTTGCATCTCAACTGGAGATTTAGCCATGGCTTCAAAAGTCAAGATCGCCATGACTGAATCGATGCTTTTAGCCGATGTCGAACCGGGCAAATTGCTCCTCTCCCAATGCAACTTGGGCTCGTTGTTGTACATGCAAGCAGAGGAATTAGAAGCACAAGAAATTGCAATGAAGAAGAAGTTTGCCGAAATTGCCAATATTGATTATACCAGATTGGCCAACGACGCCAAGTTGAGCCAAGATCAAGCAACACAATCGCTTTTGAAGGAGAAGATACCATCCAATGATCAAGCTACATTCACCAAGTTGTTGCAATCACGTAAAATCTGCATTCAATTAGCCATCAAATCATACGAGTCCGTGTTGCAATTTGCAAAATCGATCCCCCCAGAAATCACAAAACAACACAACGAAATCAATGAAACTGTAGCGTTGGCCACTTATGGGTTAGGAGTGGTGAATCTCCACTTGTCAAATTACGATAAAGCTGAACGGTTGTTGCGTGAGTCGCGGGTGCGATCGAGATCGTGTGATTACGAGTTTCTCTTACCGGAAATTGAACGTGAGTTGAAAAAGTTGTTTGAGGAGCGGAAATTGATTCAGCTGGGGAAACCAGTAGAGAAGGATCTGCAGAAAAGTATTGAAATGGATATTCGGATGCAATAGACTGCTACAAGTGATTTACACGATTCATTTGAGTAGCCCCTTCTAAAATAGCTCTTTTTGTTTAGGTCTTATTTATACAACTAATCTATACTGTATGTATGTATATATATATATATATATATACGATCTCTTCTATTGCAATAGTCTACTTTCTTCATCATTGGCACCCTTTTGTTTCTTCTTTTGCAAACCGGTAAACCACTCAATGAAAAAAAATGGTCGACTTTGTTCTTGAACTTTAAACATCAAGATATCTTCAAATGCAGGAGGTTCAATTTCTTGAATCACAGTGTCGGGCACACCGCCGTTGGCTGACCCGTCGATTGACGCAGTCGATGCATTATCCGATTTGACTGGCTTTATTGACGACGACGACGAAGGTCCAGCTACTGTGGACAAGTGGGCTGCACTACTAGCGCCAGCAATTATATTATCATCCAATTCAGGACGCATGGTAGCTGGGTTTCTCGCCATTGAAGCTGCCGTTTGCACTGAATCAGACACGAATTCAGCATTGGATAATCTTCGTTCTTGGGTTGAGCCATAGTTGGAGTTGGAATGGATGCTAGTGCTGCTGCTGCTGTTGATGGAACCATTGCCATTGGAACCTGCTCCGTGATAGGAAAAGATGGACGACTTGTCATCAAATACTGATCCCATTTCCTCTAAAGACAATCCTTTAGTTTCGGGGAACAAGTACCATACGGCAAAAAAGGACAAGATACAAAACGATGCTGGAATCAAGTAGGTTTTCCATTTAATCTGATCCAACAAGATTGGAGAAGCCAATCCAACGATAAAGTTGGAAAGCCAGTTTGTAGCCGTTGCAATAGCAGCCCCCTTTGATCTGACTGGCAAAGGCAAGATTTCCGAAGGCAAGAGCCATCCAATACCTCCCCATGAGTATCCAAAAGCTGCATTTGCAATGATGATGCATGTAACCACCACTGCTGCAGTATAATCGTTGTTCAAGTACAATGAATAACCCGCCAAGTATAAGGGAATACCCATCAAGAGTGCACCCAGCATCAACAATGGCTTTCTACCCCATGAATCAACTAAATACCAAGGTGGAATTGTACTCAAGATGTAAATGATGGCATTGATACCAGTCATGAATATGGCTTTTCTACCTACCCAACCAGCACTTTCAAAAATCATTGGCGCATAATAGGAAATCAAGTTGATACCGTTTAATTGACTGAAAAGTAACCCAAAGCACGCAACCGACAATCTCTTGGCGTACCTCTTGAACAAGTATTGATATGATCTTTCTCCACCTTCAATACGATCAATCAATACACTTTCCTTGATGTTTCTATACTCATTTCTTGCATGTTCATCTTCAACATCGCCATCGGCATACATATCGGCAATAACAATCATACCTTCCAAATCATGGTCGTGATTCAACAACCAACGTGGAGTTTCAACAATAACAAACGTTCCCAACCAAAGCAACACACCCATGCCAAATTGGACGAAAAGTGGACTTCTCCAACTAGCGTCACTTTCCAAAAATGAAAAACCGTAATCCACCCAGATACTAGCACCGTATCCGATAATGTTTCCCGTGAATTCAGCGCATGCATAAAACCCCCTATCGGTAGGTGGACTAATCTCGGATTGGTAACAAGGGACAATTGTCGTTAGGAACCCGATAGCTACACCTCCAATTAATCTTCCACCACTTAAAATAAGGATATTTGGAGACAAGAATTGAATCAATGCTCCAACAACAAAGATGAAAGATCCATACCGGATGGTTTTCTTTCTACCTACTAAATCACCCACTCTTCCTGCAACGAATGATGAGAATAGAGCACCGATTTCAAGGATGGCGATCATGATACCAATTTCTGCTGGCGATGGATCATGGTAGTATAATTTAAAGTAGTTGTTTGTAATCAATGATGACATTAACCCTTGCTCAAACCCAAACAAAAACACTCCGAGAGAAACAAACACGGATGTAAAGTTCAAAAGGGCTTTCCCAACAAGAAAGGACTCTTTGATTTGTATGTGTTCGTGAGGTTGCATAGTTTATTGATCTTAGTAGCTATATTTTGTATGACCTGATAAGATAATCAACGTGCCCTTGTTGATAATAAAGTGTAATATACGCAAGTGTGAGATCTGTCTATATTATGCTCATTAACCAACGATATGCTATCTGGTTGTGTTTGAAGAATCAACCGTGATAAATGTAGTCGAGTTCGAAGGTCTATACTTTAAATCTTTGGGTTTGTCTATGACGTCTAGAGAATTGGTGAAAAAAAAAAAAAATAAAAATACAATTGTTTTATAATATGGAGATTTGGATTGGTAAAGAAAAAGATCTAGAAAAATTCCTGGCATACATTTCTTACATTCTTGGGCAAATTAACACGACTGGGTTTATAACAAACATTTTATGCGAGGCTGTATACAACACCAAGATGATGACAAACTTTTATGAGGGGAACAGGAATTCCACCAAGTTTGACAACCACCTTCTGGATTTGGATTTTTTTGTAAAAAAAAGCAAAATGACTAAGTTTGGAATCGAATGACGCGTGCCCAAGTTCCTCTCGGTTTGTTGTCGTGAAGGAGCTACATCAACTTGCTTTGCGCTGCTGCTAAGATAAGAAGAAGGAGAAAAAAATGGATGTGTAATGGTTACGCTAGATCTGTAGAGTACACCTTCCATTACGGCAGGAGACTGTGTGATCCTCGAAGGAACCGCCACGAATACTGTTATTTTTATATCATGCGGCTCATTTGCGACAAGTTTGATTATTTCCTCTTTAGACACAAAGAGAAGAAGAAAAGAGAGCAGCACGTGCTGAGGGGAGAAGATCTAACAAAGTAATTAAATTAGAATTTAGTCGTTAACTGTGCCCAGTCACAGAAAACGAGTGGGTTCTTAAGGGAAGTCTCTTTCTATTCTCAAAGTCTAATGCTTGAGGGAAGGAGAGAACAACATCTTAGGTGGAGATTTGGAGGCAGAAACATTGAGTGAAAGAGAGGTGATGGCGAATAACTGACTTGATTGTATTAACTGGTTCAAATCTGGGATCCAAGGAAAAAGAAGAGAGATACAGATGTGTTTATTACAGTGGATGTAAACAAGCCAAAGTGGAAAGGAGAAGGTGGGGGATAGAAGTTTAAACAGTTGAGCCACCCACGTTGTGTTTTTCCAATTTTGTTACTTCTCTCCCTCTCTCCCTCAACAAAAGTAAACAAAAAAAAAACAAAAAAAAAAAAAACTCCGAGAGAACAGAACAAATTACCAAAAAAAAAATAAAAAATTTTTTTTATCCCCCAAATTCAAACACATCTTTTATCACAAATTTACATTTAATACGGAACGTATAATCCCATATGTATAAGTACCACTCAAATTCATCCTCCTTTGCTGTTGTTACATCACAGAAACCAGACTTTTTTTCTAAGAACACACATAAACTAGAGGATTCTTCTTCTGTATTTGAATCAGAACAAAAGAGACCAAAGTTACTGCAAACACAATCACCACTCGTCACAATGTCATCTCAACAACAACGAAGCTCTGCCATCACTACTAATGCTTCAGGCGCAACATCTAATACAATGTACCACGACTCAAAAAGGGGTACTTTTACTCCCTTGACCACAACCAACTCATACGATGGGTTGAATCATAAAATGACTGCAGTTTCAATGATTAGTGAACAGCATTTTGCAAATGCAGTCAATGAACAAGACCGGCCACAGTTGAGTCATACCGAATCGAAACAACAACAAATCACCATCACCAGCAGTTTCGATTGTCCTTGTGGACACTTGCATGGCCCAGGACAAGGACATCACGAAGACATTGGTGCTATTGGCTTTGCTGATTTCCCTTTGCTCAGAGGACCAGATTAGAGGGTCTACTGTCTTGGATGACAAGAGACAGATTGCGCTTTTGGTGGATGTTTTAAGAATTTTTGCTTTCTACTTTGGGATGTGAGAGATGTTTTTAGTTTATACTTTTTTAATTTTTTGGGATAGATGGGGTTTATATATAGTGTATTTGATTGTAATTTTATAGAAAGGGGTATCAAAATATATATATACGATTTGTATTGGTTTTCTTTACATTCACAACAAGGAGAACAACCACCCACACATTCTCTATCACCAAAATGAAGCTCGCTTCGGTTCGGCTGTCCACTTAATTTGAGAGTCGGAAACTCGGCCACCTTGCCAGCAAACCTCTCTTCAAAACCGAAAAAGAGCAACTGTGAATGCTTAACGAAAGACGGTTTCAATCTTGATGGATGACTATGTTTGCAATTTGATGCGGTCAAGTGCTACTCACATGATTGTACACGCATTTTTTTTTTTTCTTCAATTAATTCCCAATTGGGAAATGCAATTGATATATATATATATATATCTATATCATACATATATTTGTATACGCGTCTGTGTCTCCTGTCTCATAAAAATTTTAATTCGTTTGAAATAGAAAAAAAAAAAATAAAAAAAAGACAACCACCACCACCACCACCTATATTTCTTTCCTTTCTATCGCAAATTGCTTATTCCTTTGCTTGCTAATAACATTGTACACTAGTCAACATGTCTAGTCCACCATACAATAGCAAAAGTTCACGTAACTCAAGAAAGAGACAGAATGACGATGGTGATGCAAATATAGAGGACCACCACCGGTCATCCCCAGTACACCAACCATCTTCACCTCCTGTCGCGTCTTCACCAGAGCACCATCAAGAACAGCACTTGCCCTCATCCCCAGCTATCCCATTTGATGCTGGTTTAGATGACGATGAAGATGAGGAAATTCAAAATGATATTGCTGATTTGAATCCATCAGACGAGGAGGATGGTGACGATTTAATGGAAAATTTAGAAAATGATTATCGTGCTAATCCAGAACAAGATCAATATGACTTGGGAGATGGTAATATTGATGATACTCAAGAATACGATGAAATGGATGCTGCAACAAGAAGAAGAATTGATGAACAGTTGAACAGACGTGATGCTATTTTGAACAATGCGAATAGATCGAGAAGTGGTGCGTTTTTGGATGATGAAGATGAGGATGGAGAAGGAGTGGACGGATTGGAGGGAATTGATCAATATGGATTGCCCATTCAAAGGAGAAGGAGAAGACAACAACAACAGCACGATGAAGAGCATGATGATATGATGGATGATATTGAAATTGACCCTTTTAGTGAAGAATTGTCGTTGGAGAGTTTGACCGATGTTAAAGCACCAAGTATTACCGAGTGGATCTTGCAACCAGCAGTGAGCAGATCTATTGCTCGTGAGTTGAAATCTTTCTTTTTGGAATATACTGATGTCAATGGTGAATCGGTATATGGTAATAAAATGAGAACGTTGGGTGAAGTCAATGCTGAATCTTTGGAGGTTAGCTATAAAGATTTGGCTGATTCGAAAGCTATATTGGCCATTTTCTTGGCCACGAGTCCCGAGGAAATGTTGAAAATATTTGACATTGTTGCCATGGAAGCGGTTGAGTTGCACTACCCAAACTATTCCCAGATTCATCAAGAAGTTCATGTTAGAATTATTGAGTATCCTACCTTATTGAACTTGCGCGATTTAAGAGAAACCAATTTAAATCAATTGGTTAAAGTATCTGGCGTGGTTACTAGAAGAACTGGAGTTTTCCCTCAATTGAAATACGTCAAATTTGATTGTCTCAAATGTGGTGTTGTTTTGGGTCCGTTTATTCAAGATTCCAACAGTGAATTGAAAATTTCATTCTGCACCAATTGTCAAAGCAAAGGTCCATTCAAGATGAACTCGGAAAAGACATTGTATAGAAACTACCAACGTGTGACATTGCAAGAAGCTCCAGGTACCGTTCCAGCTGGTAGGTTGCCAAGACATAGAGAGGTGATTTTGTTGTCTGATTTGGTTGATGTTGCCAAACCAGGAGAGGAGATTGAAGTAACCGGTATTTACAAAAACAATTACGATGGTAATTTGAATGCCAAGAATGGGTTCCCGGTTTTTGCCACAATTATTGAGGCAAACTCAATCAGAAGAAAAGAAAGCAGTGCGTTCATGGGAGGGAACAACTTGGTCAACATTTGGACTGAAGAAGAAGAGCGTGAATTCCGCAAATTATCTCGTGAGCGTGGCTTAATTGATAAAATCATTTCATCGATGGCACCATCAATCTATGGTCACAAAGATATCAAGACTGCCATTGCGTGTTCATTGTTTGGTGGTGTTTCCAAAAATGTTAATGGAAAACTATCCATCAGAGGTGACATCAATGTTTTGTTACTAGGTGATCCAGGTACTGCCAAATCACAAATTTTGAAGTATGTTGAAAAAACTGCTAGTCGTGCCGTTTTCGCAACTGGACAAGGTGCTTCTGCGGTAGGGTTGACTGCGTCAGTTAGAAAAGACCCCATAACACGTGAATGGACATTGGAAGGGGGTGCTTTGGTGCTTGCTGATAAAGGAACATGTATGATTGATGAATTTGACAAGATGAATGATCAAGATCGTACTTCAATTCATGAAGCTATGGAACAGCAAAGTATTTCCGTCTCCAAGGCTGGTATTGTCACCACTTTACAGGCACGTTGTGCCATTATTGCTGCTGCTAACCCGAATGGAGGTAGGTACAATTCCACTTTGCCATTGTCGCAAAATGTCAATTTAACTGAACCCATCTTGTCTCGTTTTGACATCTTGTGTGTTGTTCGTGATTTAGTCAATCCTGAATCAGATGAAAGATTGGCCAGTTTTGTCATTGATTCACATATGAGGTCGCATCCTGCCCATGCCGATGGAGTTATTGATGAGAATGACGATGATGAAGTTGACCTAGATGGTGAGGGTGCTGCCGAACTGGGTGGCGGTGCCTCAGCCAAAACCAGAACTGAAAAATTGGCTGAATTGAAACAACGAAAAGAACAAGAGATCTCGCCCATCCCACAAGACTTGTTGATCAAGTACATCCAATACGCTCGTGTTAAAGTACAACCGAAATTGCATCAAATGGATATGGACAAAGTTGCTAAAGTATATGCTGATTTGAGAAAAGAGAGTATATCGACTGGATCTTTCCCCATTACTGTGCGTCATTTGGAGAGTATCTTGAGAATTGCTGAGTCGTTCGCCAAGATGAGATTGAGCGACTTTGTGAGTCAGAATGACTTGAATAGGGCAATCAAGGTGAGTATTGATAGTTTTGTTGGTGCTCAAAAGGTTACTGTGAAGAAGCAATTGCAGGCCAAGTTCCAAAAGTATACTTTGCCCACGAGGACCAGGTGAGAGTTGGAAGTGGGGACATTGTCAAGTTGTGGTGGCGTGTTCTTCAGGTACTTCTTTACTTTCTTGTTTTTTTTTTAAATTCAGTTCTATAGAATAGTGTGTGTTTTAATCTTTGAAAATTGTGTTTGTATCAAAACCGGAGTAGATGTTCCAAAGAAGGAAAAAAAAATAATCACGTCTCCCATATCACGTCTTAGAACCTCGTCTTATCAGGACAACCGCTACATACAAAACAACCCTTCAGAGTCACACTATGTTAGATCTAGACCAGTATGTCACTCTACCCACGCCACCATCTTCTTTCTTCCGAGCACCTACTAACCAATCAACCGCCCTTAGAACAATAGAGAACATCAAACAATGCAAACTAATACCCGAATCCGACATTGAGGAAATCTGCACGCTCCTAATCGACATTCTCATTGACGAATCCAACATCCAGCACCTACATACCCCAGTCACCATATGTGGAGATATACATGGCCAACTACACGATCTCATTACGATTTTCGCCATAGGTGGCGAATTGCCGCAGACTCAATATGTGTTTTTGGGCGATTTCGTTGATCGTGGCTTCAACTCGTTAGAGACTTGGTTGTTGCTCATGACTTACAAGTTGAAGTATCCTTCGAAAATCACTTTAATACGGGGCAATCACGAGTCGAGGCAGATTACGACAGTGTATGGGTTTTATGATGAGTGTTTGAGAAAGTATGGGCTGGTTAATGTGTGGAGGTATTGTTGCGAGGTTTTTGATTATTTGAGCTTGGGCGCGGTCATCAACGGACGTACTGAGGGAGGTAAAGGTGAAAAAGAGGGTGGAGGTGGCAGTGGCAGTGGCAGTGGCGTGTTTTGCGTGCATGGGGGACTAAGTCCCGAGATTGACTCTATTGACCAAATACGTATCCTAGATAGGAAACAAGAGGTTCCACATGAGGGGGGCATGTGTGATCTACTATGGAGCGACCCCGAGGAAGATGTGAAGGGGTGGAGCATATCCCCACGTGGTGCGGGTTTCTTATTTGGCGAATCTGAAGTCGACAAGTTTCTTCATTTGAACAATGTGGGCTTGATTGCTCGCGCGCACCAGTTGGTGATGGAGGGGTATAGAGAGATGTTTGATCTGAAGTTGGTTACCGTTTGGTCAGCTCCGAATTATTGTTATCGGTGTGGGAATGTTGCTAGTGTGTTGAGGATTGATGATGGTTTGAATAGGGATTATAAGGTGTTTGAAGCAGTTGAGTTTGATGAAGAGGTAGCTGGAGGTAAGAGAGATGGGGGTGGTGGTGCGTTGGGCAAGAAGCCCGTAGTAGAGTACTTTTTGTAGAAATAGAGAGAGAGAGAGAGTGTGTGTGTGTGTTTGTGGTCTTTAGATTTGTATTACTCGTTTGTATTATTAATGAATTGATGTTGAATCTTGAGAGTGGAAAAGTAGGGTAAGCTGGCCAGGACTTCGAGTGGAGCAGAAATAGCTCAGTATGTGTATTTGGCACCATGTGCCTAGTACATCCATTCACATATCAGACTTTGAGTATTTTGTATCATAACTACAAATGGAAAAACCGTTTCCTATTTGGGATAGGCTTGATTGTTGTCTCAATTTGTAGCTAGAGAATGCGCCGGAGAGAGCCAAATAAAGCACAAAGTTTATTAATCTTTGGCTCCTATCTATTAAACCACGAAGAGGGTTTAAACTATAAAAGCTGTTAATGTGTCAATGGTAAAACGCGGTGTTTGAGAAAAAAAGTGCCAATGTCGCAAAAACACGAAAATTAGAGAATCTGCTCATACGCGTCTTTGTAGCATCACACACAAAATGAGAAATTACTTCAATAAGCTAGAGTCAAGGGTCTCGTGTAACCGTGATAAGTGCTAGGAGTTAAAATTTCGGCTACGTCTAACTATTGCCTTTAGTGCAATGGCAGAACAAAAATGCTGCGCGTTTCATTGGTCCTGGAATGTAACGGTGAGCCCGAAGATAGGATATGATGGACAGGAGAAGGGATATAGCTATATGCCTGTGTGTGTGTTCCATATACATTGCATATCCTTGAAATACTATATGCCTTTGTTTCAGAGCTATATTAGAAAGAATTGCTCAATTACAACCAGAAACATATCCGACGGAAGAGCTTATATCCGCTTGTGCGTTGATTTAGTTTCACAAATTAATAATTTTTCAAAAATTTCTTCCCAAATCCGATTCTCTACTGGCTCGTGATTACACCATTCAAATCAAATGTATTTTCATAAGCCCCGTAATCACCAAAACTGAGTGCTTGTCACGCTTGTCATCGCTGACAGTGTGTGATATACAATTTTTGTTGTGGCTTACACCGAGACATTCGGACCGACGTTTCTTGGGTTTATGCGTGCAAGCCCTTCTCGACCAAGCAAACAATAAAGACTCGGTCTCAGTAGCACAAACAGAATACAACAATAAGAGTATTCAAAATGTTGGTTTAAGCTAGCCCCTTTCACTCTCCAGAGAAATCACAGTACAGGTGAGTCGAAATTTCACTAAGGGAGTCTGGTTGATGCTCAATCTTGACATACTAAAGGCGGCACGTGCAAAATGCTGCGGACATAAAGAGTATCTGGCTGCCTCAAAACACATTTAGTTCCAGTTTTACAGTTTTGTGTTCACTTGTTTTTGATTTTCACGAAATTTCTTTTTTTTTTTTGTCTTTTCTTGGTTGTTGTTGTTGTTGTTATTGTTGTTGTTAACAAATGTAATTATCACACAAACCTCGAATAAAGGGAACATCTTGGGATCTTCATCAACAGGGGATCTTATCAACGTGTCCTATCTCTAAATATGGCTTCAATAGACAAATATCTTTTGAGCTGAGATGAGATACAGTTGCTTGTCTTTAAAAGGTGAGATTATTCTCTATCTGTTGTCCTCTTTACCCCAACGAAGTAAAGGGGTCGTGTATAAAAGACTGCAGGAGTGAAACAGTTGGTAAATAAAATTTGAATTTCTTTATTATCTCAATGCTTCATACAGTAAGAGGCTTTTGCTTCAATTTGTACATCTTTTATTATTTTTTTTCTCTAAAAAACTCAAATATTTTTTTTTTGTGTTTGCTCTGCTCGTAAGCAATTAGTAATTAGTAAAAGACTTGGGTTGCACTATAAATAGAAGAAATGTTATTAGTAAACAACAGAACAACAAAACAACAGATAAACATAGCACAGGGTGCTTGCTATACAACAAGGCTTGGTGTTTAATTTACGTGAATGACATTTGGCGTAGGTTCAATTATCTTTGATCTGTATTGGCGCTTCAACAACAACGCGTCTTCTTGCTCTGAGATCCTCGGATCCTCGTTGTAAATGTCTTGTCCATGAGTTGAAGAGGCTTTAGTGCCAGTCCACAAGAAAGTGTGCAAAGACATTTTTATTCTGTTTTTTTTTTTTTTGTTTTTTTTTTGGGGATTTGCCTACTTAGTTTGTAGAATTTCTCAGACGGACAACAAAAACTCGCTTGCACTTAGTATATACAGTCCTTTCTCATCGTAAACACAAGTCTGCGTAATATGGGCGAAAGAAACAATAAAGACAAACAATACACTCGAGAACAACACAATTCAGTTGCACATCACTCGCTGGATCGCTCGCCCTAATTGAAACAAAACAATTCAATTGGCTATGCAATATTGCGTAAACAGTACAAACAACAAACCTTGCTTGTCGTGTTTTTCTTTCATCATTCTTTCTTTTGCTGCATTTATTCATGAAATAAACAATAGGTATTGTTTTCATGGGCGGTTATGAGAGGATAATATCCGCAACTGCCAAAAGAAGCGTTGCTACTACGATTGATTATCCTCACAAACTCCTTTTAAGCCAATACAACTTTAGTGCAACACTACATCCAAGCCTTGGCAATTTATGCTACTTTTCTAGTTGCCTTGCAAAGATTCCCTTCCTTCCCCCCCTTTTATTTTTTTTTCCTCATGAAGGGTGTTGCAAACAAAGTGTTTAAGAAGAAAATTATGAAATAAATCTGTGACGTATTTGAAATTCTTGAATGTAGTACAAAAATGGCTAATTGATGTAGCAAAGTTTGGAAATTGAGCATTTGGAAGATTTTCTTATTTCACGGATTACACTCACAGCTCTATTTAAGTTTTTGTAACATTCGTAATGGGATGAGCACAACAGTATAAGGAGAGATCAACAAAAAGATTACAAAACTGATATATACCCTCTTAGTGATCGGGAAATATTTTTTTTTTCTTCTAAACAAGTATATATTGATTCTAAGAGAACCCTTTTTCGAAATTTCAAAGGAAATTTTGCTGTTGTTTCTGCTGAACCATACATTAATCAGCTTAATTGCATTAACTCATCCATTCATTAATTCATTCATTCTTCTACCACGTCGTATTACTATTCAGAAGCTCAACGCTTAACCCAGTCGTCGCATTTAATATCCACATCTTCACCACATAGACTCCCATACAGTCCCCATTCCATTACATTTTCCTTTTCCTTTTCCTTTTCCCTTTTTTTTTTTTTCTTCCTTCCCCATTTTACACTTCACAAAGCATATACACAACTACAATGAACTTTGTCGGACTTATATACAGCTTCTTCCTATTCATAGCATTCACAGCTGCAGAAACTACATCATCGTCATCATCATCTGCTACTACCACTACAACTACAAGCTCACAAAGTAAAACTTCTGTCTGGGTGACAGGAACTGATGCTAACGGAATAACAAGAACGACGCAAAGTGTATATTACCAATCGTTCAAAAGTGCATACACAGAGGCTATAGAAACTCCTTCTTCGGGCTCAGCTGGGCTTGGTAGTCTCTCGGGAAGTGTTGGCCACCTTCGCACATACGATATGACTACAATTTCACTGGGTGGTGCAGCTGCTGCTGTTGACGACGTTGCTGTTGGTCGTACTTTCATGACTTTTAACAGTCTCTTTGCATTGCTTTGTTTAATTCTTTAATAGACAAACTTATATTTCGTCATTGAAATTTTTGATGTTGCTGTAGTATCTGCCAAGCAGGTCTTTCTCTCTTTTTGCTCTTTTATAATTTCTTGGTTCTTCTCCTTATAAGAAAAGATATTTTCTTTTTGTGTACTGTTTACAACTCCTTTTGTGTAGTTTATGCTACGCTACCTGTTTATTTTGCATTCATTTCGAATTTCTTTTTTCTTTCTTTTTTTGTTTTGTTTCGTATTGGAAAGATCACGAGAGAGAGAGAGAAAGAGAAAACCATTGGTAGATCTTAGATAAAAAATCTGCTTTTGCAACAGAATGCTAACCATCTTTGGGAGTTGCTTGTTTAATAGCTCTTTTGTAGCTTAAAGCAGTTAAGCAACACAGATTTTCAAAGCTCGGGTATTACGTTCAAACTTCTATTTAGGCAGGGTGCCATGATCAAGCTCTCACTTCATGTTGAATTTGTCAAAGTCTTTGCACAAATTACCGAGCAAAAGATTTAAACACTCTCCAGCTTTACAATTTGCCGTTTATCTATACCTGTAGACTAGTCTGTAAAGCATAAGGCTGACTTCACCATCTCTTGCAAAACGGTTACCTAATAACTACTAGAACTGTGGCTCTGTGTCACGAGCAATAGCATAAAAATTGCGCTACCTTAATTTTAATTTTTTGAATCAACTCTCATTTGTCGCGACTTAGGCACAAGTATTGATCACGTATTGGACTTATCAACAACGGACAACTACATCTATCGTCCTTCATGTCGTTTGATTCTACTTGAAGATAATCGCCAATTAAACATAAAGCACACTAACACATCCTTCATACACTCAGTAGGATACTGTAATGTCCAACAGAACAGCTAAATCACCGTCGCCTAATACGACAATAATGCATAATGACGACCAGGGAATTGAAATCACCACCGAGTCATCACTTCAAAGACAAAGACTGCATCATCTGCAACAGCAACAGCAACAGCAGCTGCAGCCGAGTAACAGTTCCAACGGTAAACCTACACCCTCCAACTCAGACCCCTCGATCAACTTCAACACCTCCTTTGATCTACTCGATTACAAATCCATAACTTTAGAAAACAAAGGGTCAGTAGCCCGTGACCATATGGCCAATGAACGTACATTCCTCGCGTGGTTACGTACATCACTCGCATTTATAACCATTGGAATTGGGGTCACTCAATTGTTTCGATTAGAGAAACAAGGAACAAAAGTACACACAACGGATCGAATACTCGACCTTTCTTTAGACCACAAGAGCGATGATTTGAAACGATATGGTAAACCATTGGGATCCATATTCATAGTGTTGGGTATCCTAACTTTAATTATGGGGTTTAGACGGTATTTTCATGTTCAACGATTATTGACAAAGTCGTATTACCCAGCCGCGAGATTGGGTATTGGAATTTTATTATTTTTGATCTTGAGTGTTGTTTTGGTGACTTTGGCCTTGGTTTTGCAAACATCGTTAGTGTAGAGCTGATACTAGAATTAGGAATTTAGGAGGGAAACAATGCAGTGTAGAAGAATGGCATGAGTTTAGAGATATTGGCTTATTGAAACATAGTATTCGATTTAGCTATTGCGCTCTTTTCTTTGCTTTTCTTTTCTTTTTTTTTTGTCCCTTGATGTCTTTTTGCCATACCTGATCGATATATATAATAGAACGCACACTGTGAGCATTGTACTGATCCATTCAAGACCAATAATATCAGCGTATGCCGATATCTCTGCCAATTGAAATGCCTTCAAATAGTAGTTTGACTTGAGCTTCAAATTTAGTTCTTGGGGGCAAGCTTTTTGGCTCTTCGTGACGTCCAAAGTCAGTAGTGTAATGTTTCAATAACGCCATACCTGCACTTCTTACGTAATCTCGCAGATTCATTAAGATGAAACTTGATACGAGGAATGCCAAAACTCTACCAACGTCCACTTTTGGTTGCATTGCACACAACTTCTTGATTGTCCTGTAACAAAAGAAGAGTGACAAAGCGGAGTAAATGTCGTCAGATAGCTTTCCAAAAACTGGTAAAAATATACCAGATTTTGGACTGTTTTCAATTTGCCCTAGCATGGGAAGGTCACTTCCTTGCGAATTACTCACTTGCAAAAAATCTGTAACACTTATGACCATTGCTTGAAGCACAAAAATTGTACTTGTTCTGTACCACCACTTGACGGGGAATTTTTCGTAATTTGGCGACCGTTGGTCATAACAGTAGGCGACACCTAGTCCCATTGAAAACAAAAGTTTCACATGTGACTTCCACACGAGTTCAAGATGCCTTGCTAAGAGGCCAGCAAGCTCAAAAGGCCAGATGTGGTCTGGTTTTTCATAAGTTGCAAACAGACACTTCTGCAAAGCTAATCTCATAAACTCAATTGAGTAAGCAAAGATGAAAGGAATCAAGGTCAAGTAGATTACCGATTTCGTCACACCTTCGACAAAGCTTAAGTGGTGAGATCTACCCTGCCTGTTTCTTCTTTGCGAATAGAGCAACATGGCACCTAGAGTTGTGATCGCAATTGCAAGAGCTGTTTTCACTCCTGTGTAATATACGTATTTTGCATGGTTCAAGTTTCCGTAATGCTGTTTAAACTCCACTCGCAATTCAAAATCACTCCAATGTTCGCTATCCGGTACAATATAGACACAATAGAATCCTGAAACCGGTACCAAGAAGCGCACTTCTTTATCGATTATTCCATTCCAATAAATTACAGTGTCCCCATTATGCGTAGCTGCACTATCGATATTGAACTTGCCATTCATGTCCAACATTTTCAGATACAATGCTGTTTTTCTTGAAGCAAACAACATATTGTATTGTTCGTGCACTGGAATCGACGTGAAGTTGACAATATCGGGGTAATGTAAGGTCAAACCGGGCATATTGTGCTTGGTTATGGAATCATCAGCAAGTAGCCGGATATAGGAGCTGTTGGAATTCGTAGGATCTTTTTTCGACGTAACGACATACTACACCTTTGAGTGTAATTTAATACTGTTGGTTCTTGTTCAAATGCAAGCACAACTGCAATGAATGAAACGAATACAATGTAATTGAATGTGACCAGGTACATGCTTCAACTGGGTGCTTTAAGAAAGTCGCTGCTTCTGGAAACAGGACCCATGTGTGTGTGTGTGAGTGTGTGGGTGAGTGTGTGGGTGTGTGTGTGGGTGTGTGTGTGTGTGTGTGTGTGTGTGTGTGTGTCTGTGTGTGTGTGTCTGTGTGTGTGTGTCTGGGTGAGATGTGAATCTTTCAGTGACAATCGATGCCAATGGTACAATTCGTGTAGCTCAATTGGTGAAGTTCACTATCGCCAGGTATCCTGGGGAAACATTTTCATGGTTAGAAACTGGAGATCATTTGAGAGATACACAAAATCGTAAATTATTGGCTCGCGATAATTTCTGTTGCACACAATACTTGAACTACTTTGTACGTTCATCAACCCCATACTCCCCAACTACAAACGTACCTGTTGTATGCGTATGCTGCAATCTGCTGAAACAAGTAGCCGTGTTACACACTTTAAAACACTCGAGTGTTCAAGAGTTGCACATTTGACATTCTACTTGCACATTTTGCATTTGAAGTGGCAACATAGAGGGTTGTAGCATGTAGAGATATAGTATATAATGTTAGCACAGGACCTGGGTAGTCACTTCTAGGGGCCCCTGTAAGTTCAGAGTGTTTCAGTGCTAGTGCTTTTGTATAATCCGAGAATCGAAATTTCACATTGGCAGTTGCAATGAAGGACAGCGTTTGAACCTGCATCAACCTCTCGGATCGAAATGAGGTTGGGTAAAGTCTCATCCAAACAGAATCGATGCCGCACTGACCAGTAACAGAGAACTTATCCAATGAAGCCATTGCTTTTGCAACCTACAGAGGCATTATTTTCTATCACGTGCATCAGGGCTTTTGACCTATATTTTGCTTTTCTGTGCAAAAGTACACGTACAAATACAATTGTGTGTTGTTGTGTGCGTCACTGAAGAGGAAAAAAAAAAAAATTTGAGGATTGGAAAGCTTCAACAGATTGCCATAGTCTATATCCATATACATCAAATCACATCAAAATGGTATGTCAAAGGATGCCTCAATGGGATACGGGTAGATGATAGATATTAGAAGAACAACAGGGGGAAACTACAGAGTACGATCGATGAGGGGATCAACTCAAAGAGATATTTAATGTGAATGGCAACTTGAAATATCCAACCACAACATTCCAATCAATCATGCAGTGTCAAGAACCGCAGTCAAGGGAACGTGTTGTAAAACGCAACCTCCAGTCGCAAGACTGTGTCAACCGTCGACACCCCTGGCCGTAGCTTCAAGTATCAGCACTATCAAGTACCACCAAACTCGATTACACCTTCTGCAATGTTATACTCCAATATCTATCGCACCGATCCGCAAGAAATTCTTTCTCAACATTGATTACTAACAATTCATCTTTTTAGGGAAAAGTTCACGGTTCATTAGCTCGTGCTGGTAAAGTTAAGTCACAAACTCCAAAAGTTGAAAAACAAGATAAGCCAAAGAGACCTCAAGGAAGAGCTTTCATGAGATTGAAGTACACTAGAAGATTTGTCAACGTTACCTTGACCAACGGTAAGAGAAAGATGAATGCTCAATCTGCTTAAGTTAAAGTCAATGCGTTGAAATCTGTTGTATTTTATATATATAAATTGGTTTAATGGGTTCGATGAGTTAATACATATACATAAATTTTGAATAATGAAGTGGGAAGCCTCCTTGTAGTGGAAAAGCCTTATGGTTTGCTGTTGTACAAATGTCTATGTTCTATAAGCTTTCTATTTGCCATTTTGGAATCAAGAAATACGAATACACTCTTGACCTCACTTCAGCCGTCTCTTCATCTTCAACAAACATTGGCGTCATATTTATCATATCAATCTTATCGGCCTCAAAATCGTATTGTTTACAAGTTTCAAAAAATTTCAAGTCTTCATTTAGCAAGTGGGCTCGATGAGGACTGAAGACAACGAGACATCTTCCGGTAGATTTTAGTGATTGACGGCATGCAGAAAGTAACTTGTGGTGTTCAGTATGATTGAAAATCAAGTCTGATAGTATAATTAAATCAAACTTTTCGTCCTCTTGCAATTCCCCTGTCTTATCATCTCCGTAAATCAGTTCTTTCACATTGTTACCCCAAATGTATCCCTTCACCTTGTAATCAGATATCTGGGGTGCATTATTCTCCAATTCACTAAAACTGTATTCAATGTGGTTAATCAAATCAGGATCGGGGTAATCAGTAGCTATTACTTCCTTTGCTCCATTCACAGCACATACCAATGAAGGTAGGGCTGCTGCTGCACCCAACTCCAAAATCCTTTTCCCTTGAACAAGTTCAGTAGCATGTTTATCCAAGTAGTCAGCAGTGTAAATACCCGCATTCCATAACATGTGGCCCCATAAGGGTGATTTCCCGACCAATTTCATCCGAATCTGTTTCGGTTGGGCATGGGTAACTTTACGGTCGTATGTAGCAAAGTGTGACTCAGGTGGTGGTGGTAAAAAACCTTCTGGTTCTTCGAATATGTTTGCATCTATAGATAGCTCGTCATCGGACATGATATAAGTTTTAGCTCAGTGTTTGTGAATAAAAGAGATCTGGCTCTGGGTTAGACCGATGATGGTGAAAAAATAATAAAAGAAAAAAAAAGTTAACAAGTGAATCAGTAGTGTGTAATACACACAGACAAACCATTGGTAAAAGCACATCGCGTAATATCCATCACCACGACAATTCCTCATGTCACGACCCAAGAAATGGACAGACGTATCTATAGAATTGATTAAAGATCCAGACAATTTCGAATTATGGCAGCAACTAATTACCTCAGCGGAATACAATGACAAGAACGGGATATCTAAATCAACACCACAATCTCAATTACAAACACTACGAACTTCGTATGACAGATTTTTAGCAAAATATCCCTTCATGTACAAGTACTGGATACGATATGCTGAATGGGAATTCAAACTAACTGATCTCGATGCAGCTATCAAGATCTATGACGATGCATTTCAACACTTGGAGTGTTGCATTGAATTATGGGTCAATTATCTACAATTTCGTATCAACACAATCACCAACAACGTTGATCAAGTGTTGAATCTATTTGAAAAGGCAAGAAGGTTGATTGGATGTCATTTCTACAGCTATGAGTTTTACACTCTTTACTTGTCATTTCTAGAAAGTTATGCAACAGACACAAATCAATTCAAAAGGAAATACTACACATTGTTGAGAATAATTCTTGAGGTTCCATTGTACCATTATGAATACTTTTACAAGAAATATTTCGAATTGATTTCACGTATTGGAAATGACGCTAAACTTCAACTGGACTTACCGTACATTGTTCCTGCAAAAGAATTACAACGACAAACAAAGAACTTGTCTCAAGAGTTGAAAAAAACTTTTACTGATGCTTACATTACCATCCAACACAAAGTATACGAGCTTTACCATTTTGAAAAACGGTTCAAACGGCATCACAATGACATAAGACTCATTTCACGACAACAATTGGATGCGTGGCTACAGTATTTCGATTTCTTGCAATTGCAGAAATACCCTCAACTGTATATTGAGATGAATTACTGGCGATATCTATATATCGCTGCAAACTATCCTGAGTCGTGGCAAAAATTTGCTGATTATTTCGTGTTTTACAAGAAATTTAATCTGGCGAGACACATTTTGATCCGAGGATGGAAGTATCTTGGAAACCATCAAATATTAATCAAGTTGATAGATTTGGAAATTTTCCTCAAACAATATCTTCGAGCCAAAGAATTGATTGTTGAGTATGTAAAGTATAATGTGTCAATTCCAGTTGCAATTCACGAGAAACTAATTAGTATTGAACGGATATTCAACGAGAATGACGACGATCATATGCTCAATATATTCAAGCTGATTATTCAAGACACACAAAACGATTGGTTTTTCAATGTATTGAATTATTATTCCATTGATAAGGACAAGAAGATGGTATTTCTTGCAGAGATGAAGGAGTTCAAGGGTCAAAAGTATTACGACACAGCCATGAAATTGGTCCTGGAGAAGGGCAAGGAAGATCAGGAAAAGTCGCCCAATTTCAATCAACTTTACAAACAGCTACTATATTCATCGTCGTAACGTGTACTATTTTCTACTCCAAGTATAGATTGATCAGGGCAACTAATAAATACCAACTAACCAAAGCAACTCCCAAAGTTCGATCAAACCTCCATTTCTTTGCTGGTAGATACACCAAAATGAATGCTACAGTAACGATCAATGCAGTGGTGCTCAAAATCACACTTGGCTTCAAATCAAACTTGATTGAAGTCACACCCGACTTTTCTATAACCAAGAGCCCGTTGAATCCCACGCCTAACAATATAATCAACAACGGAGTGCCCAAACAGGAGTTTATACCCAATATGGGATTGATCTTTGTCGCCAACGTTATATTAGTAATCACGTCATTGATTGAATTACTGATGGAAAACACAAGTAGTCCAAGAATGTAGTCGGAGATTTTCCAAATCAAACCCAAATTCTTGAGGATTTGTAAAATGTAGATGGAAATGTTTGAAATGATGATTAAACTGTTCAATGTACCCACAATTGATACAAGTACAATTTTGGTGTTCATGTTGATGAACCTTTTCAAATATAGTGTAATTAGGATCGATATAACAACGACTGGTAGAAACAACTGTAAATCGAAACGAATGAATTGGTAATTGTAAAGTAATGGCGTTTCAAATAGATACCACACAGGTAGATACTTGTGTTGACGTAATTGAGTCTTCCATTGAGAATCTTCAAACTCAATACAGCGATGGAATGGAATTAGGAATATGAAAACAAACTCAATCAAATTGCAAATGTATTGGAAAGTTAATGTCAACAATCGTTTGGGGAAAGGCTGGTGATGGCTATGTTGTCGGTGTGATTGCAGACGATACAGCGATTGTCTTGAGTTTGAGTGATATTGGGGTCGTGATGGAACTGGTGGCAGGGTGTTGTGATCCTTAGGGATATAATGTACTGACAAGTAATCAACAGCTTCATCAATAACGTCATTATTGTGGTGCTCTTCATCGCCGTGGTTTTGACCCTGGCCCTGGCCCTGGCCCTCCACTGTACCAATATTTGGTAAACTTTGACTTGGTGCAATTGAAGATACAGGTAGTGGTGAAGTTAATGGACTAACATGTGCAGGAGAAGCAACTTTTGAACCCAAGGGACTTGAAACGGGGGAATTCCTTGGCGAGTTAAGTGGCGACACGCTTCTTGAAATGCTTCTAACTGATCCATAACTATGCTCATCATTCGATATGATTTCCAATGCGTCTTCGACATTATAAGGTTGTTCCAATATGCGCGGGTACCCATACCCTTCACCATACTCACCTTGTTCGGCATTATCCTCACCATCTTGATGTTCAATCAACAACTCTTCATCGTAGTCTCGCAACTTCTCCTTATCAAATATACTTAAAAAAACAACATAACTGACATAAACGCAACACATAATAATACATTCCAACTGATTAATCTTGCCATCGGATAAAATGTACGCGAAAAGGACAAGCACCGCCAATATCCAGCCCAAGTCAATGATCAAAATCTTGGGGTGCTCCACTTTAAATCCCCGGGTTAGGACCGCTATCGATCCGATGATGACAGTAAACATAATCAAGATACTACCCATTAATTGGCCAATGACCAAGTTGCTGCTTCCTTGATCCAAGGCAATGTGGTAATTGATCAAGTCGGCTAGTGAATTCGTCAACGGAATCAAAATGAAACTCAAGATTTGATTATTCAAACCTAGCTTGATCGTCAATTCATTCAAGTTCCGGAACAAGTAGTTGGAAACTAGGATACTCAATGACAATAGTATCAAACATAGCGAAAACAAAATAGACGATGAGATGAAGATCAATGAAGCAACATTGTGGAATTGGCAGTAGTACAATTGAGCTAGCTTGAAATACGACACATTGCAATTCTGCTCAATGTATGAACAGTAATTTAAATGAGCTTTTGGTGGGAATGAACATTGATTTAAGTCATCGTCTGAGTCAGAAGATCTGGTTGTAAAGACTTCAAACGCTGATGCAGGACCAACAAGACTTGCTGTGGTAAGTAGAAGTAGTATGATTTTCAGTTGATGTGTGTTCTGAGGTAGTGGTATTTTCATTTTTTCTTTTTTTTTTGGCGGCTAATTTTGGTTGCTATGGGGTCCTCTTAAAATAGTTGCATGCTTCCTCACTGTGTGAATTGCTTGGGTGTATACGAAACGTTGTGTTGGTTGGACTGAACTAGTAAAAAGGGGTCTCCTTCCCTTTTCTCTTATCTCATTGTCTTGTGCCAGTGCCCTCTTTTATATCAGCAGCTATTTTCAAAATTTTTGAATGATGGTAACAAAGGGCAAAAGAAAAAAAAAAAAAGAATGCAACTTGTGTTAAAAACAATTGCGAGTGTTGCTATCGGATCGATCATATCGCAGAACCAATTATGAACTCTCCCAGCGCAATTTCGTGTCGTTTGATGTTAGTTTCTAAAAAAGGCCAAAGTGTGAAGTGTCACAATCTAGCCCATTCGTAAGGGACTTGCACGGAAATTAGAATCTATTTTAAAAAACGCTTTGTAGAGAGATGTTAAAAATAGAAACAAAAGCAAAAGAAGGAGGACGATTTTGTAATTTAACAACAAACACTGCACGTGATCCTTAAAAATTTTCCCACTACTTACATGCAACTGTTCCCTCCTCCTTCTTTAGATCCCTTCTATTCCAACTCATGTTCATACTTGGCATACTCCTCTCTCTTCAAAATATCCTTAGCAATACTTATATCCAATTCAATATCCTTAATCAATGCTTCCTTCGTGGTATAATTCAATTCTGGTCTTATATACCCCAATACAACATATTCCAAATCAGCACCATAAAAATTAGAACTAAACTTATTGATGATATGTATTTCGGCGGCTTTGGTCTTGTTATGATAGAATGGATTCCATCCAATCGACATAACCATAGGCCATACAGTAGATAAATCAGTCTTGCACAAATTGTTACCATGATTGAATAGGACATCCTGTCCATCGGGTCTCTTATCAGTAGTGTCTGATTCCTGTGGGTGCGGGTATATCTTACACCACCCATAGTAGATCCCAGTAGGTAAGTTGTTGAGTTCGTCGTGGACGGGGATGTTGGCGGTGGGGATTCCTAATTCGCTTGAGCCTCGACCAAAGCCGGATATGATTTGAGATTTGTGTCTTATTGGGTATGGCGGTTGTGGAGTCTCGGGGACTATCGTCTCTGGTCTAGTCATTCGTTATGATGTGCGTGTGTGCGTGGGTGCGTGGATCTGTGCAATACTGTGGATTTTGATCTGAAGATTGAACAATTTGTTCTGTTTCCAGTTTTCAGTTTTTTCTCTTTTTCCGTTAAACAGTTTGGTGTGAGAGGTTAGTCGATTACTACATAAGCCCTACTCAACAATATTCTTTGCAACAAAGTCACATTAAAAGCTATACACTAACTACTTCCTCCCTCTAAGAAAACTTCTTTTCCAATTGTTCTAATAAAGTAGCAGCATCCTTACCAAAAGATCTAATACCTTGAGATAATTTTTCAGTAGCCATAGCATCTTCATTCAATGCCAATCTGAAAGCAGGCTCATCGTTAATGAATGAAACTTTCTCAATTGGATCACTCTTGGCTTGAGCAGCATCCAATACTTTTGGAACGTCTTCATTCGAGTTGTACAATTCCTCCAATAATTTAGGAGCAATGGTCAAGAAATCAACACCAGCCAATGCCTTGATTTCACCAGTGTTTCTGAATGAAGCACCCATGACAATGGTCTTGTAACCGTATTTCTTGTAGTAGTTGTAGATTTCTTTAACTGACTTGACACCTGGGTCAGTTTCAGCAGTATAAGTTTCACCAGTGGAAGCCTTGTACCAGTCCAAGATTCTACCAACAAATGGGGAGATCAAAGTGACTTGGGCTTCAGCACATGCAACCGCTTGTGGGAAAGAAAACAACAAGGTCAAGTTACAGTGCACACCATGTTCTTTTTCCAACTCTCTAGCAGCTTGAATACCTTCCCAAGTAGAAGCAATCTTGATCAAAATTCTCTCCTTGTCAATACCTTGTGATTTGTACAAGTCAATCAACGACAATGCCTTCTTGATGGTGGCTTCCTTGTTGAAAGACAATCTGGCGTCTACTTCAGTGGAAACTCTACCTGGAACAATGTCCAAAATTCTCTTACCAAATTCAATCAATAATCTGTCCAAGGCAATTTCGGCTTTTTCCTTTGGGTTAGAACCCTTGTCTTCAGCGTATTTGACAGCGACGTCTATGACATCAGCATAGTCTGGGTTCTTGGTGGCAGCAAGAATCAAAGATGGGTTGGTGGTGGCATCTTGTGGCTTGTACTTGGCTATTTGTTCAAATTCACCAGTGTCGGTAACAATGGTGGTGCCGGTAGCTTTCAATTGTTCTAATGAGTTTGACATTGTCGATTTCTGTAGTATAGTTTGATTCTGTAATTGAATTTGTAAGCTGAAATCAATTGAAAGTTAAAAAAAAATGAACCGGTTGTTGAATTTTCAAATGGGTATTTATATATGCTTAAATTTGCTGGATGACTGCGTGCCCTTTCTCTCTCTCTCTCTCTCTCTCTCTCTCCCTGTAAACCGAAATCATTTTAAATTTATTTCTTTTTTTTTTTTTTATCCTTCTTTTTTATTTTTTTTTTTTTTTGCTCTCTATTATGTTGGACTACTCCGGAGATAAATAATAGTAACTTATAATCCTCCGGTATTTGTAAAGACAAAGAAGGGCCCTCTCAAATTACAGCAAATGCAAGTGCAGCTACATGGAACTGTTCTGTCAGTACAGTGTTACTTGTTCGCTAAGATATCTCGCTATAAAGTCGCCACGACTCAAGCGGTTAGGTCGGAGATTTTTTTTCCATAACTACTAAGAAATGATTATGTCATATTACAGGTCACATATTCTAAACCATATAGTAGTAAGGACCACACTCTCATAATATAAAGTTGCTACTAAATGTCCATGAACTATGCGTTGCACAAAGGAAAGCAAATCTGAGACAACTTAGCGTGCAGTTGCACAGCACTAATACGATGACCCCTTGTTTAGCAGATCCATCAATGAACCTCGTAGACAAATTCCTTCAATTCTCCCCCCCCCCCCACTATAGATCTCTGCGTGCCCGTCCTTCTCCCCCCTTCTCCCCCAAAAAAACAAAAAACAAAAATTTAAAAAACAAAATAAAGTAAGTGACAAAAGTTCGGAAAATCAAGCCGCCCGTCAACGGAAAAAGAAAAAGCGTTGGGAAAACAGAGGGTACTGTAAGTTGTACAACACTTAATTGTTCTTTTGTTTTTGTTTTTTTCTAAATTTTCATTGTGTCACGTGAATACGGAGAATTAACTCCGATTGATATTGCAAAAAAAAAAATCCCCCCCAAAAAAAATTTCAGTTTATTTCAGCCTTGGCATGTGATAATAATATTTTAAACCTTATGTGTTTCTGTTTCATGATACATACTCTACTTTGCTCTTCTCACCATTCCTCCTTCTTCTTCTTCTTCTTCTTCTTCTTCTAACTTTGGATAAATAAGCAACACATATATTCTACTCATCAGCTGAATACAAGTCAACATCGTTGATAGAAGAAAAAGTGTCGTTGCTTCAACACTTTGGATCGGGGTCAAAGCAAAGGCAACCTTTGGTCTTTTAATTTTTGCAACACAATTTTTGACTTTGTTTTGTTTTGTTTTGTTTTGTTTTATTTGTTTCTTTCCTATTTACCCCAACATCAGTTTAAAAGCACAACAAATACCAGCCATCAACCAACGGGCAAACAACAAACACCGGCCATCAACCAGCAAAGAGGATAAACACAACGTTGAGAACAATCTACTGCGGAGTATACACTGCATTCAAGAGATGGTTGTGAGATCTTTGATTTATGGGGTTATCGACAGAGTCCCAGTTGTCAACAATATCAATCGATTTATCCAAGAACGACTGCTGGTATCGGACGTATCAAGTACTAGCTCTTCGTCAAATAGTGACTTGGAGTCTGATGACGCAACAGAAGAAGAATATTTACAAGAAGTTGTACTCCCACAGTCACCAAAGCAAAAGATTCATGCAAAAATCATTAAAAACAGAGCAACTTCACCTTCACCAGTACCAAATGAGCGAGGAGAACTAAGTGTACTATTCGACTCTCCAACAAAATCTAAAGTATCTGCGATTGACAAGAGTCATATTAAACCAGTTTCTGCTAGATTGTCAAAACGCAATATTGAGAAAGTTGACAAAATCGAAGCTCCAGATTTGAATACTTTGACCAGTCCTACTTTGGTTGACGATAGTGATCTGTCATTGACTCCGAAGCAAATTGGGTTTGCGTCATTTGGTGCATACGAGAGCGGGTCAACAAAAGAAGCCAGGAAAATTCACGTTGAACAATATGTAAATGATCAGAATAACAAGTTTAACGAGTTGATCTCCAACAACTTAGAAGCAGTGTTGAAGGAGGATAAAACAGATGATGAGGAACAGGAAAATATTGTGTTCAACTACAACAAAGATTCGAATCCTGGTGTTGCATTGTTATCGATGATGTATGACAATCGAAGAGTCATAGCGTCTTCCGTCTACAAGTATGGAAAACAACAAGTATTTTCACGATTGCCGTACATTCCATTAATCAACCCCAAGCAGCAAGTATCGCAAGATGAGACCGATCAATACCTTATTGGAGGTAAACGAGAGAACCAGAACTTGTCGAGTCCATTTGCATCGCCAATTTTAGGAAGAGCTTTGATGACACTTGATAATTCACAATCAGCGGCCAGGTCAGACCAGCAAGACGAGGAGATTAGTGTGGACTTGAGCCAGCAAGATGTTGTAGATCAAAGAAAATTTGATCAGCTCATGTCCAATCTAGACGATGAGGTTAAAATAGACATCTTTTTGGATTCTTTGGATGAAAAGACTAAAATCAACTTGTTGCATCTGTTGCGCAAAGATTTAAACATGTACAATCAGCAAGATGCAAAGCTATCACCTCAAGCAGCAGTTCACAATCTATACTACAATGAAAACATCTCCACCATAGACAAGATCCAAATTTTCATCATCATATCAGTCAAGTTGTTCATTACCGGGATCAAACTTTTCATTCCAATCACCAAATATTTCATACACAAGTTTCAACAAAATCAAATGTACATATTCAATGCCAAAAACATGAATAAATTTTTCAACTTTTTGATTAAATTTATGAATTATCTTGATTTGAAATTGAATGATAATGAACAATTGATTGATCAATTGTCCAAGCAGGATTATGTCAAGACTGAAGAAAACATTGAAGAAATGTTCAATGAGTTCAATGAAAGGACAAAGCTGTATTTTAAGCCAAAGTATTTAAAGGAGAAATTTATTGCCAAAGATGATCATGTCAAACGCAGTGTGTATGACATGGTTGTAAAGAATTTCCTCAGCGAGGGGGATGAGGAAGAAGGAGATGATGACGATTACGAGGGCAAGGTAGTGAGGCATTACCAGGAAGATCCCAATTACGCAATGTACTTCACTGGTAGATCAATTGATTCATCTGCTAGAGAAAGTGAAAGTGGAAGTTTCATTGAAGAAGAGGATGAGGTGGACATTTATGAAGAAGAGGAAGAAGATAATGAAGCTTATGCTACTGCTGCGAGTAAAAGGACAAGTACGTTCTCTGATACTAGCAGAAGATCAAGTTTCACACGTCGAAGAAGGAGAAAACCACACGCCAAATGCTAAACAAGGTCTAGTTCGACTCTTGGGGAAAGAGGTGGGAGTGAAGGGGGGGGGAATTCCATGTTGTTTTGTTTAGAGAATAAGGTTTTGGGTGAGGTTTTGCGCATATGTTATTACGGTTTGATGAAAGAGGTCATGTTACTCTATTCTCGGGTTATTGTTTTGTTTTTTTTTTTTGCTACTGGTTTAGTAAGGCGTGGATAGGGAGGAGGGACTATTATATTTAGTACAGTTAGAGTATATTTCTATTTAGAACTTTGTAAAAGAGTTATGTATTTGTTTCTAGAAGTGGTTTGGTAGTTCTCTTTGGTACTTTGTTGCTTCCCCCGCCTTGGTTATAGACCAGGTTTTAATAGAACTTCACTTGAAGTAGACTTTTCTTTTGTCTTCATTTGCGTTGGAATTGTTGCAAAAAAAAAAACAGAAATAGATGAAATTTTGGGGAATCTTCTATATTTGGGAAACGTTTCATTAAATCTTTAAAAAGAAATCAATTAGCAACTTAGGGGAGCTTCTATGACAGATTGGACGTAGACGGTACCCCCCCCACTCCCCACTCCCCACTCCCCTGTCAATGTTGCATGCTCCATTTCTCTCTGTATTGAGAATTCTACTGTATTAGTTGATCAAAATGGTCTGGACAGAGACAGACATTTAGCTTCGTACCCCCCTTTTTTTCACTCTCTATTCTTTGGATCTACGAATATGTCACAAAGCCCTAATCACAGACAAAAACCAAATCAAGTGATATTAGTGGACAAACTGTATGCTTTTCAAATTGTAGAGTAACTGTCCGTTCGAGTTATGCTCAAACAGATCCAATTGGGATACTATTGTTGACACTTGGGCGTTGATAGAAGGGCAATTGCGATTACCCTCTCTAACATCATACGTTACTGTGTTGAACGCAACTTGTAAATTGCTTTTTCCTTTTTTTTTTTTTTTGGGTTGACGCAGCACTAACCTCGATAGACAGACAAAACAATTTCTAGAAAGATTACAATAGTCTCTCCGACAAATTAAAGATAGTGGTTGAAATGAGGACACAACAGCGCTTAAAAAGGTGGGTATGTTGATTTTGCAGAAAAGATATAAGGTTTGGGGCAGTGCATATCTCTATATTCTTCTTGACTATGCTGTGAAATCGCTCCCTTAGTAGCGCCAATACAGCACGCTCTACTATACTGAGTGTGTGCTTGTCAAAAGATAAATTGAAACGTGTCCTCTGTATCTATAATTCTTTTTTTTTTGTCTGCCAGGCATACTACAAATTTAACTGCTTTTGGAATGTTCTGTAGAATCTTGCACTACCTCTAGGCAGACACAGATACATGCACACATACAATTGGCAACCCCTATTTTCAAAACAATTTTATTGTTGCTTTTCTATTGATCAACTTACACTACCTTATCACATAGTTAAGAAAAATGTCTGCATAAATTACAAGCATTATATTTCTTTTCTTCTATCACTTCCAATTTTCATTTATAAAAAGACACAAATATCCCCACCCTGGACTTTCTGCTTTTAAATTTTTGGTCATTCAAATTGGTATTTTTCGCCTTCCTTCTTTTATTTCTTTCTTTCTTCAACAAATTCAAAGTCAGCCATTTTTTTTTTTCTCATTTGTTGGTTTTTTTTTTTTTTGTTCTTACTCATAACAACAAAACACACACACATATACAACAAATACCAACACCAACTCCAACACACCCTTAGTTCAACATATATACACCTGTGTTCATTACATTAGTTGTATCGTGTTAGCTTCATCCCACCCACCATCAAAATACTACAAACTACTCGGGCCATCCTTTACTACAAGAGTTTGTACAGGTCATTTTTTTTTTGTTGGATTTTGAACAAAAATTTTTCCTCTTTTTTTTGGTATTCCCGCTTCTGATTGGCTGATTGCTTCATTTTTGGGGATTTTTTTTTTTTATTTTTAATTTTGCCTTCCAGAAGTTTCCAAAGGAGAGAAAGTTTTTAATTTTTCTGACGCCTTGATTGGTTGATTAGAGAGAATTTTTTATTTTTATTTTTATTCCTTTTTTTTTTCCAATAATTTTTTGTTGGTTATTATTACACGACCTACATTTTTGTTTTCTGTCTGTTGTGAGGAATAAATTGGCTGTCATCACACGACCCTTTTTTTTCAAGACAGAGTTCAGAGATAATTTCATTTGGTGTCCGCCTTGTTTACGCTACCACACAGTTTTGTACATAATTTATTTTTACACATCATCAAACATGGCTTTGTGTCCTAAACCATACAGCTTTGAGAAGCATTTTGCAGCTGCTTCTAAACCATCTTCACAAATAAACAGCAGAGGCGCTGGGAAGCGTAGTTGCAACGATTCTTTGTATCCATCCACACCAAACAAGAAAATCTGTTTGCAACAATTGAAGAGAAATGATTTTCAATTGAACAACAACAACAACAACAACAACAACAACAGCTACTACTCATCTTCATCTGAAGATGATGATTCTGAGGATGAGCAGTCGTGCTACTACGCTGACCAAATAAGGGCTAAAAGAAGAGCTTCAACACGTGCATCGTTCTCAGTTGACCCAAAATTGTCGAGGGCAATTTCACAATATAGCGACGATGAAGACGAAGGTGAAGAAGAGCAACAAAACTTGCACTGCAACACAAGAGTAAGAAGCCCATGCAACTCACGCCGCACATCTAATAGTTCAATCAAAATTTTGGGATCTGAAGATGAGATTGACAATTTGGATTGCAAGTTGGCATCAAGTCCTGTCAACAGCAACTTGTGTTTGAAAAAGATGCTCGTTAGTGGTGGTAATGAATGTGGTGATGATGATGATGTCGAAGAAGAGGAAGAAGAAAGCGACTCGAATAATCAATCCGTTGCTGCTGCTGATCGTAATGCAAGAGCCAGGTGTTTCGAGTACTTGGTTGGAGCTATTGATGAAGCATGGGCTAGATATTGCGATGCCACTGCGTATGTCGAGGATGATTTGCATGGCTACATCACTCCAGCTTCGCTTGCATCTGGAGAGGATGAAGATGACGACGATAAGGAATTGATGAATGTCAAGTCTCGTCTTTTGAAGTCAAAAGATTTTCTCCAAGATCACATTGAGTCATTTGACATAACTGATGTTAAAAAGTTCTGGCATCGTTGGGATATAACCAAGTATCAAATGTTGGATGTTATGGAAGACGAAGATGATGTTTTGGAAGAACTTGAATTTGGTCGCAGAATCTTTTGATTTTGAGGATTTTTATTCTTCTTCACTCAACTATTGAGGGTGGTGCTATATTATTTGGCATTAAACTATTATTATTATTTTTCAATTGGGGTTTCAAGTTTTATTTCAATTTCAAGGGTTTAGTTTTTACTGTTTTTGTTTCATATTCGAATTATGCTGTATCATTAAAATAAGGGGAGAAGGAAGAGGAGAAGGAAAGAGAAGTAAGGAGAAGAAGAGGAGATTGCTGGAGGTAAGTAGGTATTTCATCAGAATACTATTCTTGTATAATAAAGAGATCACTTTGTACATATATATATAACTTTTGATTTTGAGGTTTTTTTTTTTTTTTCTTGTAGAGACTGAATGGATGCAACGTGTCAGAGAATGCTTTTTTGATAAACACAAAGGAAATAGCGTCCACCAATTATTCACTTTCCACTGAGCTTCCTCCACCCAATTATGAAGTTCACCACTCTTTACATTGCTCTTTCAACACTTGTTGCATCATCATCGTCATTATCACCACCATCATCAGATGAGTTAAAGATTGGTACGTTTAGATAACGATGATTCTCTTTGAATCAACACACCCCGATACATACTAACATTACCTAGATATCCTCAAGCAAGTTGAATGTAAGCGTAAATCGCAAAAAGGCGACGCCATATCCGTCCATTACAAGGGTACATTGGAAGATGGGACAAAATTTGATAGTTCATGGGATAGAGGAACTCCATTACCTTTTGTCATTGGCCAGAATCAAGTCATTACATGTTGGGAAGAAGGATTGTTGGATATGTGCATTGGCGAGAAGAGAAAGCTTTGGTGTGCTCCAAGCATTGCTTATGGTGAGCGTGGTATTGGACCTATTCCGCCTAATGCTGCTTTGATTTTTGAGACCGAGTTGGTTGATATTGCTGGAGTTAAGAAGGAAGAGAGTGGAGGTGATGATGCTGATGATGGCGAGGATGTTCTTGAGAAGGATGAATTGTAAGTAGACTCAGGTCAAAGGAATCTATATCTCGAAAGTGTTTGTAACCCGGATTGATTTGTTTTTGGTGGTCTTTCAATGTATCTGATCTGGTATAGTCTACTCTCGAGAAAATCGACTTTTCTTCAAATGCAGAAGGTGCCTTCTACTGTTGAAACCACTATACGTGTCGCAGATACAAGATCAGAGTTGCTACAAATATGATTGTTCTCGGCGGGTATGTATTGTTCAATGCCTTCTCCATGACACACCACACCACGCCGCGCATCGCCATGTCCTGCTGCTTCTCTCTCCCTCCTTCCCTCACTAATCTTTTTTTTTTTTTTACTTCCGCCGTAGCGCAAAAATAATCTAAATAGGGAAACGATCACGCACAAAGGGGGTAAGCAGAAGAAATTTATCATGCAATTGCTCAATATATATATATATATATATATCGTCCTTTGCTATCCACACTTCCTACATAGTTCCTTCCCACGTTTCTGTTTTTTTTTTTTTTTTCAACGATTCAGAAGGGAAATGTCTAGATTTCTAAAGCCATTACAAGAGTTCGTTGCCTCCAAGGCAGATTTCAGGATTGTATACTCCACTGCCTCATCATCATCATCCTCAGATACCCCTGAGTTTGTCAACAATTCTACGCAACGTATTTGCGTGCTTGACTCATCATTTAATCCTCCACATTTAGCACATTATGCTATCATCGAAGAGCTGTTAAAGTCAAACTACGATGGAATCCCAATCAAGAATAAAGTGTTACTTCTTTTGCTTTCGGTGCAGAATGCCGACAAGGTACACCCACAACCTGAGCCATTCGACCAACGATTGGAGTTGATTAGCTTGATGGCGGATCATATTGCCGCTAATATTCCCATCACAGTTGCAATTGGACTAACCAAGCAAGCGATGTTTGTGAACAAGTCGTTATCGATTTTGAACTACCTTGATGCACAACAGCAACAAACAGTTCAACCGGGATTCAAGTTGACGTTTTTAATCGGGTTTGATACTTTGATTAGGATACTCAATCCGAAATATTACTTGCCGGACAAGTTGTCAGTCTCATTGGAACATTTCATGAAAATGACGGATTTGGTGTGTTTAACAAGACACAGTGAGACGGTTACTATAAATCAACAACTGGTTTATGTCAAAGAAATTTCGCTTGGACAACACGAAGAAATCCCTAGTCATTGGTCGAAGAATATCTTTATATTGAGAAATATGAATGACGAAGTGGCTACGTTTAGTAGTTCAGGTATAAGAAAAGAAATCGAACTGGGAAACCCGGAATGGAAGAAGCAAGTTTTGCCAGAAGTTGCTGAGTACATTGAAGAGCATAATCTTTACAAAGAGAAGGAAGCTTTGGAGAAAACATAAAACAAAATTGTATTTAAGGAGTAAAAAAAGAGAACAGAAAACTAGAAAAGTAACCAACTCAACTGGTTAAGTTCAAATCAATACTGCAATGTTGATAGCAGCAATGGAGAAGAAAGCATAAAGTGAATAAAATGTATCCCAGTTGTGGGAGGAAGACGAAGATTTCGTAAACTTGTCATTTCTGGAAGTCAGAGTCTTATTCCTGGAACCGTTGCCACCTGACCTGTTTTCAACTTGACTCAGTTTCTCCTTTCCTTTATCATTTCCCTCCTGCTCCACTTCTTTTCCTTTTTCGACTCCTTCTTCTTCGTTTTTAACATCACTTGCTTCAGAGCCATCTTCTTTTGTTCTTGAGGTCACCTTTTCATTATTGGCATTTGTGCATTCAATCTTGCCACCTCGAACAACCAACCCAATCTCCAGTTTAGTCCACTTCTGACAATCAAACTGTGGTGAAGTTGACGTAACAATTGCGCTACCTTTAACCAATTTCAAATTTTTAAATGTCAATTCCGTAATCTTCCCCACAATTTCTAAAGCACCACCAATAATCTTCAAGCTGGGGAAGAAATTCACCCTTTCAATCAAGTTGTTATTGATAACCATTAACCCACCTTCAATCTCATCCAATTCGGGAAATTCAACCACTTCCAATTTGGAATTCTTGGAAATATTCAAAGTACCACCAATATATTTCAACTTGGGCAACTTTATGGAATGCAACAAAGAACTGCTCAAACTCATTGATTTACCAACTCTTTCCAAACTACCCAAGTTCAAAGTGGCAACATTATGAATACTCAACTCTTCAACCTGTTTCAAATTGGGCAATTGAACTTTAATTTCATTGGAGTTTGCAGAAACATGCAACAACTGAGTCACCTTCTCGACATTGCAGTCAATGGTATCCAAGAACCGGTTGTTGTTAATATCCAAAACTTTCAAGTCACTAGCAACAAATCCAGAAAACCCAGTCAACGACGTATCAGAAATGGTTATACTTTCAATTCCCTTAATTTCAGCATTGAATTGGACATTGCTCAAGATGGGTAAAATCTCCCATTTCAAAGAAAGAACTCGTTTCAAACTAGGTACACTAATCAAAGCCAACGAAGTCAACTCGTATAATTGAAATTCTCCACTAATACTTTGCAACTGTGGACTCTCAATGCGCACCAATTCTGGTGACTTGAATATAGATAAATCACCTTTAATCTTGACCAAGTTGGTAAATGTAATAATAGGATAATCAAATTCAGAAATGACAACGTTTCCAACAATGGTTTCACATTCAATAATAGAGTTCAAGTCACCCAATGAATGAATAACAAATTCATCACGTTGACAATGCAAGGGGATACTACCATCAACCTTGGGCCTTGAGTTGTCGCTAGAATCACCATCTTTGTCTTGGTCATTATCGCCATTGTTGTTGATTTTGTCACTAGAAAGGGACGACCACTGCTGAACATAGTTTTGGTTGAACTCTGGTGGGAGGAGGCCATCAAAAGATGGAGAATGGGAATCTTGGACTTTAGGAGCAGTTACGGCCATACTGACCAAATCGTTTTCATTGATAACATCTATTGGTGGGAGGAAATGTTAGTATTTTTTGGTCAAAGAAGCATTTTACTTTGGTCTTGGGTTAATACATACTTATGTTCCCATTAGAGGCACTTATGCGGTGAACGCAACCGCTGATGAGCAAAACAACAATGCAGAGCTTCATGTTGGGCGTGGTAGAAAACGTGGGCTTTGATGTTTGGGAGTGTGAGCAGTTGGATGGCGCAAGGGGGAACTCTTGCAAGATGGATGCTTTTGTTTTTTTTTTTTGTTTTTTGTAATACTAGCTCTAACTTTCGTCTGTATATTTATAACTATAAACTCTAAATCAAAAGCGTAAACATCCTTGTTTTATACAAATTAGCATAACAAGATTCTTCCAATTGAGGAGTTTGAACGACCTATCAGTGGTGGATCAATATTCAGATTTTACAAACAGAAAGAATAAAAGGTGACGCAAAAGCTGAAGTAAAAATTCAAACATAACAGAAAACAACAACAACAACAACAACAACAACAACACTAGAGTTCTGAAGACAGAACAGATCATCAACTTGTATATCAGTTTGGAAACGGGATGAGAACAACTCTAAGAACCGAGCCTTGTCGCTTACATATACGTCAAAGTCCTTGACTTGTTCAGTTGGGTCTAACAACGACAGAATTCAAACTAAACAAAAGCCCCTACCCTATGTTGCTACATGTAATTAGAGATGACCTATAAGCTACCCACTCTTCCCTAACTGCGGCAACAACCTCTCTTTCTCTCTCTCTCTCTCTCTCTCTCTCACGTAGCCGTTTGTTTCCGTCCTCTTACGCTTTTGCAACCAAAAAAAAGTAAGTAAACAGAAAGTCGTGCGCAACGGATAAAATATTGAATAGGGACCACGAGAGAAAGAAAAAATGTGCCTATCTAGCAAACCAACAACCATCATTCAAGCCAAATTGACCAAAAGACAGACAGTATCACCCCGCCGCAATACACATACAATTCATTTGCATACACCTCCGTCACAATGTCATACATAACACCATCCATAGTGACGCTCTCACTCTTGACAGTAGGTGGCTACATGCTATTTACAGGAGCAGGTGAATCATTCAATATTGGCGAATTTTTAGAAAGCACATCTCCCTACATGTGGTCCTCATTGGGAATTGGCTCATGTATATCCTTTTCAGTAGTTGGTGCCGCCTGGGGTATATTCATTACCGGATCGTCAATCATTGGAGCTGGTGTAAAAGTTCCACGAATCACAACCAAGAATTTAATTTCAATCATTTTTTGTGAAGTTGTTGCCATTTACGGATTGATTATGGCTATTGTTTTCAGTGCCAAGTTGCAGAGCGTAGGGAAGGAGGCATTGTACTCAAAGGAGAATTTGTATACTGGTTATTCGTTGTTTTGGGCTGGTTTAACTGTTGGTATTTCGAATTTGATTTGTGGTATTGCCGTTGGTATTACTGGTTCGACTGCTGCTGTTTCTGATGCTGCCGACAGTTCTTTGTTTGTCAAGATCCTAGTGGTTGAGATTTTTGGATCGGTGTTGGGATTGTTTGGTTTGATTGTTGGACTCTTGATGACTGGTAAAGCACAGGAATTTAGTTGATTTAGCCATTTAGCATTTAGCATTTAGCAAAGAACAACACTATCTGCAAAAAAATAAAGGCAAAATATTTGAATGAACAAGTTTTACATCAATGGAACGTTACAGGTTCTCTCCTCTATTCTGTCTATACATACTCACCAGCTCAAGAGTCTATGTCCATAAATTCGGGATTCTTCTTCAATATAACAACACCCTCCAATGAATTGCTTAAGCTAATCCACTCATCATTTTCAAGTTCGGCACGCTCACCATAGTTTAATAGCACTGGTGTAGATTGCGTGACCCATCCAGTGATAGTCTTGGGCTTACCGGCCTGACCAACAACGTCAACCGCTTGACCAACTCTTACATTGACTTTCAAAGGCTTCAAGTTTTCATCAACAGTTACCAACATCTTTGGTTTCACTGCTGGAATCAAGTAGTACAACAATTCATGACTTGTTTCCTGTGTTGAATCATTCAAAATAAAAGCTCTTGGGTCTAATAATGCCACCGACACTGTCAACAAAGAAGCCAATGCCGTATTGGACAATACTGTTCTCTCCACATTGAACGGAGACAACGTCAAGGTTCCCTTACCCAAGTGCAACAAACCTTGAGCGACTCTAACCATAAATAAAGTGTCAGGTGATTTGATGTAATACGACGCCAATTGTCTCAACAATTGAGCCAATCTGGCATTATTGGTACCAGCACCAACCAATCCCATGGCGTAGATGGAGTTTTGGGCAACTTCCAAATCAGGATCATGTGAGTACCTGGACAATGTTTCGAAAACCTTAATTTGTGGGTTCGATATCGAAACCAATCCCATAGCCAATGGAACTGATCGACGAATTAAAGAATTCCCGTAGTGCATCAAATGACCAAAATGACGCAACGACATATCTTGACCAATATCCTCACCCATTGCAATACAAGCCAATCCTAAAACGGCAATACCTTGGTATAGCTCCTCATCTTCATCTACTTCGTCATCATCATCGGCATCGGCAGCATCTTCTTTGTTTTCAGCCTCATTGGCTTTGGTTTCTGACGAGTCAGCAGCAGTAGCAGTAGCAGCAGCAGTAGCAGTGGTGTTTGCATCAGCAGTATCTTGAGTTTCGTTAATATCATCTCTGGCATCTTCCATTTCAGCATCTCTTTCACCCTCTTGTTTAGCATTGCCTTTTTCTTCAGTTTTTTGCTGGTCTTCCTCAGACTGTTCCAATCTTTTCTCTTCATCAAGTTGATCTTTGGGTTTAGCAGCACACATTTGTAGCAAGGCTTGTATTTGCAAAACGTTACCAGTGCCGGCATAGGCACAAATATTGACCAAAACTTTCAAAGTTTTGCTAATTGGATGCTCAATTGCATCTATAGTCTCCAATACATCTTCCACCTGTTCAGTTTTACCCATGTACAAAAGCCCCAAACCTAATGCCATGAATTTAATAAATTTATTGGCCAATTGATTGAAATCTCTCTCCAACAATGTTTGCAAAATAGTTGAGGTTATATCACCATGGCACGTTCCAACAAATGTATGACCCAAAGCTAATGCAGCCAAACACGACACTTCTAATGGTGCATCCAGATCTGACACCAATGGTAATAACAAATTCAACACTTCTTCATTGGCAGACCCAGCAAATGCAATACCTAACCCATTGATTGCTGCTGTTTGGTATAACTTATTGGAATCATTGACATAGTCTTGCAATAACGCAAGTGCTGCATCAACATCGTCGTGCACGTTGGCTGATACAATACCGGTACCCAACAAAGCACCAGCCTTGACTTCTGGATCGTCAGAATATGTATATTTATCCAATACCTGCAACCCTTCATTGACATCCCACTGGTGAAATGAACCCAATGAGGCTGTAGTTGAAACCATGCCTTTACCCTTTGTTCTGTAAATCCAAGACTTGTTATCTTCCTCTGATTTAACCAACTTGTCTTTACCAAAACCAAGATTCAAAAACGCATTGACAAAAGCAGCGGCAAGATTTTGCTTTGCAGAATCAATGGATCCAGAAGTTCCCAAACCAAATTTCGAATTTTCTAAATGTGATTTGTAAACATCTTCGGGCACTCTTGGATCCAATAAATTCAACTCTTTGATCAAATATTGAAAGTATTCGCCTAGTTTGACATTACTTATCGTATCTTGAACTTCCTGATTCTCTTTGGGTAATTTAAAATTACTAAATTGTTGCGACAAGATGAAACCCAATTGTTTATGAACCAATTCATCGTTTGTTGAATTGAAAACTTGCTCAATCAACTCCTTGTCATCTAATTTGATGGCAATAGTTAACGCTTGTGTCAATTGACTGTGGGATAAGTATATAGCAAATGCAGTATTCAAAAAGGAAATATCATCAGGTGGAGCCAAATATGGAACCATACTTGTAACATAAAGACAAGCTCTGGCGTAAGTATTGTCGTCAACAAATTGGGGCAATTTATCAATGGACTCGATTTCCGACAACAAATCGACAGCATCGGCTTCAGCATTGTGCTGCAAAAAGTACGGAACAATCTTCAACGCCAACTGGGTTAACCTTGACACCAAATCTTCGTCTACACCCAAATTTTCTTGATAGGACTCACCGATTTCCAAAGCCAAGTGACGCAAGTACTCATGTCCCCAATCTTGGATAGTGTCAGTATTTGACAATAATCTATACTTTACTGACTCCCTTTTGTTTTCGTTTGAGTAAGTCATTGCCAACACAGACAAGATGTCGGCCAAACTGGATACAATGGGAGATTTTTCGCCATACTTTTTACTCCACTCATCATAAACTTCAGTCAAACCGGGGTAGCTGGGTCTCAAAAACTTCAATGGCTTTGGGACAGCAGTCATGGAAGTAGTAGAGTCTTGAATGGATCGTTTCAAGGAATCCAAGTACTTTGCATATTGATCTTGCGATTGATTGGGTTGTTTCAACCTTTCCACAGTCAGTTCCAACTCCTCTTTCAATTGCTGGTCCTCTTCGGATAATTCTTCTTCTTCTTCCTTAGCTACATTCTTTTTATTTTGTGGGATCTCTGTTGCATCTTTGGCAACCACCGACGATGACGATGTTGGTGGTTGGTTTTCTTTAGATTCTTTCTGTACCGGTGCCATTCCTCTCTATCCAAAAAAAAAAACTTGTACAGTTTGAAGGAAAAAAAGCGAAAAAAAAGAGGGGGGAGGGGGGTGGTGGGGCGGAGAAATAGTATGAAGTGATGATGAAACTGTTGTGAGTTATGCGGTGATATTTGTTGCCTTCAGACGTTGGATCACTCTTCGTGGCTTCTTGTAGTCAAGATGTGTCTTTTTTCAGAGAGTGGCAAAAAGAAGGCGAAAAGAAAAAAAAGAGCTACATCCTGCATATACTCTGTACACATCACGTGCACAGAATTATTATGTCGAAGTAGTAGAGCATAGACACAACACCCACTTACGAGACATTAACAAAGTGGCGTTAAAAGTTAAATAAGAAGTAGTAAATAAGAAGAGACCAAAAATAAGTGGAAGTTTCTGTTTATTTGTGGTTGCTTGAGACAGAATAGAGCACAAGACTTTGAAAATGCTGGGCTATACAGCGAGAGGCAGAATTGAAAAAGAAAGAGACATTTGGGTTATTGAACAGAGGAGGTTGCTTGTCCAGGCAAAAGCGAAGCAGTACTCCAACAAGGGTGAGCAGCTCCTTGATATATGTGTTAATGTGATGATTTGCTGCCACCAACCTGTTAGTTTTACTTTCCCAAAATGGTAGCTGAAATAGTGAAATCTAGCCTACTCGTTGTCTTCTTCCATGTCAACCATTCAAAAGAAGATGGTTACACATAAACATCAGACGCAAGGAAGAGTTTTGTTTTCTCATTTTGTCTTTCGTTAACTGTATCTGCCTGAGGTATATGGCACGTGATATAAAACTGGTGCTACCACTTCGTTTGTTTACTTTTGGCTGCCAACAACAAGATCAAAAAGGAGAAGAAGATTTTGAAAAANTTTTTTTTTTTTTTTTTTTTTTTTTTTTTTTTTTTTTTTTTTTTTTTTTTTTTTTTTTTTTTTTTTTTTTTTTTTTTCTATTTTCATTTTTCACGCGTAACATCTCTAACCAGTGCCATAAAATACATGGCCAACTTTAGAACCCAACACACCATAATTGAAAAAAAAAAAGGGATTTACGGAACTAAAGGAGTTTCGGTGTTTGCTCTATTCAATAACAAATCCCACTACCAAAGAAACAAAGCAGTAGTCATTAGTAATTCAATAGAACATTGTCGGCAATGGATAGAATATTTTACAGCTCACCCTTGATTCGGGACCCTTTGACAAATTATCCCATATATATTTTCGATACTTCATACTTGCCACCCACTGAGTCCATAGACTATGACACACTAATACCGGTGCTAGTTCAGAAGCTTCCATCAAGACCATATGTATTGGTGATGTTCTCATCTGGTTTGAACAAGATCAGTTGGGTTTGGGGGTTAAAGTTTGTCAAGAGCTTCATGAGTAATGCCATCAACTTGAACAATTTGGTCAAGATTTTCACGGTCCACGATTCATGGTTTATCAAGTCTGTTACTTCAGTCATACACAACTACCACACGACAAAACACAACATCGGAGCCATCAACTACATGTTGGATGCATTTGCTATTCAACCAAAGGGACAACGCCATACGGATGTAGTACATTGTCGCACATTGAGTGAATTGAGTCACTATTTGAATATCACCTTGTTGAAAATATCCTTGAATATCTTCAAGTACGATTTGCAATTGGAGAATGAGCTAAGTTTATCATTTAAAGTACCACCAGTCATCAACCCTCATGTTTTATTATCTCCTCAAACAAACCCTGCATTTTATCACCATGTCTATCAACTACTCAATATTATTCATACCCACTGTTGTAAAAAGGAATTGATTTTTTACGCTCCAGGGAAGAGAGAAAATATAGATATTCTATACCAGTGCATAAAGCGGAATCAACTCGTTTGGATCAATGATTGGGACTTATATTGCATTGCCACTGTCTTTAAGAAGATTTTGCTGGACTTACCATTTGCTCTTATTCCATACAAGTTTATATTACTACCGATACAAGATGATTTTGAGTATACCCAAGCAATATTCAACGCCATCATAACCTCACATCAACAATATACCAAAACCATCAATTACGATCAGTTATTGTTGCAAATATTTCAAATTTTCTCAGTACTAGTGTCCAATGAGGAATTGACAAAGCATAATACTACTACTATAGCCAAATCTATGGCTCATTGCTTATCTCATGAAATTGTATCAACAAACACAAGCCACGTTCTCGTGGTTCAACGATTCATCAAGAATGTGTTGCAATACTGGGATGAAGTAAAAATTTCATATGATTTCCCATCGATTACAGAAGTCCTTAGTGGAAAAATCCAATCCAACAACATGGAACTTACTTATGAAATGAGCTACGAGGTCACATATGATGATGAGGATGAGGATGAGGAAGGAAGCAATTTTGAGAACCAGGTCCTATTCAATACGAGTAATATTTTGGATCCAAACTCAGATTTGCAGCTAGATGAATGCAAAAATGACCAATTACATTTTGATCGCGAAAATAGATTAGGCAGGATGGGATCACGCAAAGGTTCTGACAATGTTGAGAATCTTGTTGATAACGTCTTATCAAAACCACCTCGACCTCCTCCTAGAACTAACTCAACCACAAATAGAGACCTTTCACCTAGCAAAACTCGTCAACCAAAGAGCATGCCACCACCACCACCACCAACACCACCGCCAGCAACAACATCAACACATATTCCCACGTCAAGATTATTCAAGAAGGAAGAAGCACTTACGCTATTACCTCTAGATATTAGCGACGAAACACACCACAATTCAAACACCACTACCTCTGAAGTTTCGACTAGACCCAAGGAACATTATGATAGCATAACGAATGATGAAAATGTTGCACCTGAATCAGTGTTCCATGGCAACCACCAACTCTTGCATCCGCCACCGCGACTGCCTAGATCGGCTAAACTGACATCAACGACGTTGTCAAATGTCTCCAATCTTCAATTACAATTCCCACCTCAAAAGTATCATTTCACCAAACCAAAACTGACAACTCGTGTCACAACTGGTGCAATTGTTTCTGCAAACGCAGCTACTACCACATCAGATACATCACACGTCAATCCACAGGGGCAAGTTGACCTTGAGCTTCAAGACCTGGCTACAGCATCCTCACTTCAGAAGAAGAAAAAGAAACCGGTGATTAGGGGGCGTAAAGTCTCCCAATTGGCGAAACTATTTGAAGAACGTTCACAAGGGTTGGAAATATTGAACAGTATGTGAGAAAAAAAAAAGTGGGAAGGAGAAGGCAGATGGTACTCGTGGGGTGGTTGTGACCTTGGGTGCTGCACACGTATGCGTATCTTGATAGGGGTTGGAAAATGGAAACAAAAATCATACATTATATAGAGATATATATATATAAAAGAAAAACAACAAAAGAAGATAGCATGCTATCACAATTAGCTCAAGCTAGATTCAATATTCTCACTCACGAGAGTGCAATCACGTCTCTTCTCCCCCTTTACTCTCCAACTAATCGAGAATCAATATTATCCATTGATAAATCACCACCATCTTCATACGGATTATGTTGATGTTGTGGTGGATGCTGATGCTGATGCTGATGGTGCTGGTGCTGGTGTTGACCTCCAACATGCCCGACGTTAGCAGCAACGGCAGCAATCGCAGCAGCGGCACTTCCGTCAGAATCATTCAACCCGTGATGATGGTGATGTTGCTGATGGTGATGGTCTTGCAATTGTTGCTGGTATTGTTGATATTGCTGGTCATCGAGGTGGTGTTGTTGGGCTTGTGTCGCTGCGACAAATTGACGTTGAAATTCCTCTTGTTGTTGAGCTTGGGCTTGAGCTTGAGCTTGGTCTTGGGGCTGATTTGGGGTCTGGCTTTGAGTTGGGGTTTGATTTTGTTGTTGTTGTTGTTGCTGCTGCTGCTGTTGTTGGAGTTGCTGTTGTTGGAGTTGCTTTTGTTGTTGTTGTTGCTGACGCTGTTGCTGTTGCAACTGATGATTACGTTGGCGTTGTTGACTCTGTTGGTTTTGGAAAGCTTCATAGTTGGCAATATCATGGCCATCGCCCAAAAATGCATTGGCGTTGGCTGCAGCAGCAACAGCAGCCACAGCATCGGCCGTATCGTTACCACTTCCCGACGCATTTCCAAGAACTCCTCCATTACCGGAGGCGGCGGCGGCGGCGGCAGCAGCAGCAGCAGCTTGAGCTGCTTTCTTTCTATACTGAGCATTTGCAATTCTTGAAGGGTTATTGAAGCCAAATCTTGAATTTTGTTTCTTCAATTTACGCTTGTAGCCTCTAATTTCATTATAGATATCTTCACGTTTGATAATTAAATCCGGATACAGTTCTCTAATCTTGGATTCAATATGAGATGGTTTAGTTCCCAATTTGTACAAATCCAAAATCAACACATTCAATTCATCGCTTCTCTTGCGAAGCATGGGGTGATTACTCAACGGATCCAATTGCGGATGATTATGTTCATTACATGTGGTTCTCAACGTCCAAATGCCAGTAGATTTCTTGTACGAAGCAGTCATAGAATAAGGACATTTCAATTTCTTGGTCTTAGTATCAGGATCCAACATGTAACCTTCACCAACATCAACTTGCTTCAGCTCATCAACTCTTTTCGATTTCTTGTGGCGGTATCTTCCACCCAACTCACAAGTGTAATAAATCGCCTTCTTGTTGGAATGGGCAATGACAACACCGAATCCATTATCCCTCGCGAAATCAGCAATAAATTCATTCAAATCATCACGACTTTGAAAAATTTGGTCAGGGTAGGGTCTAGTAATCAAATTACCCTCGGCAGTAATGGTGTTTTCCTCAACGGGGTAAATCTTCAGCTTGTTATCAATAATTGGTTCAGGAATTTGAATATTGTACTCGGCCAAGTCGTCAGCGGAAGGGCCAGACAAATCTGGTAATTGTGGATCACCAGCACCTCCATGATGCAGGCGGGATACATGGGGATTTCCATAATGATTCAAGCCCGCAGCAGCAGCAGCAGCAGCAGCTAATGCTTGTTGCTGCTGCTGTCTCACAAATTGCTCAGAAGTTTGCTGAGCTTGCTGTTGCAATTGGTACTTTCTAAACTCCTCCTCATCTAAAGCAGTTTCTTGGACTTGAGTCTGATGATGCAGTTGGCTAGGCAACGTGTTTGCAGACACTCTGTTGTTTCTTCTGGTTTGGCGTTTCAGTTCTTGCTTTGCCAGGGCAACAACAACAACAACAACAACAACAACAACAACAACAACAACAACAACAACAACATGATCCACTTGCAGTTGTTGTTGAGGCAGTTGACCTTGCTGCAGACGCTCTGCTTTTGATGCATCAGATACGCCTGTGGCGTGGGCAATATCCTCCAACTTGATCCTGGGATCTGTTTGGGATTCAACATTATTGAGTAATTGTTCGTCAATGTTACTGGCGAAATCGTCTTCAGCGGCGGACATTGTTCAAAATAGTAGTTTACCAGAGTTTGGTCCGTTGATATATCTTGGGGACGTAGGTTGCAAGTGTAAACAAAAAAAGATCTGTATCCAAGTATGTATGGGCTTTTTTGCAACTTGATGATTGATGCACTACTTTGGATACTGGTACACACCCTTTTTCTTTTGGTAGGTGAATTTTTTGTTGTGACTTCAGAGGGAGAGGGGGAGAGAGAGAGAGACAGAGAGGAAAAAAGGGGGGGGGTGTGTTGAAGTGTTCAAAAATTTTTCTCACTCACTCTTTTATTTTTGTGCTTTGTAATTTAGTGGAATTGTGCGTTTGTACACTACTTCCACAAGTCGTGTGAAGTTCAACTAATTGTGTACCGGTAGCGCAGATTCTATTATAAGTACTCGATTTCTTTGCAGCCACTTTCTAACAAAACTGGGCCTGGTAGGAGATCAACTACGTGTATGCATTCTCAGTGACTTCAAGTAGTTGTTTCCGATATTATACATACATACGATGCTGCGCTGTTCACACGCTTTCGCCATCCTGTTCCAAATAATCCTGTGCCCAAGTAGGTAAGATAAATGAGCTTTGATGGACGAATTGATTATAGTATTTGAACAACTGGCCTTCTTTCCTCCGATCAAAAGTTCTCAATGGGGCTGTCAAGTTCAAGGACTCATCAATCGTGGCCACCAATAATCCCAACTGTCCCGAAGTATAACTGGGCATATAACATTGACAAAATTTGACATTGGGAAACACATACTTGCACTTTTTGATCAAGCTTCGGAGATATCTTATGTTTAGCCATATATTCTCCAGTGATTGCATTATTACAATCCCTTTGTCATTTAATGCATTGCGTAACAACTTGAAATAGTTGACTTGGAAAAACTCCTCCGCTGGACCTTCAGGATCAGAAGAGTCGGTTATAATTACGTCAAATTTGAGTTTAGTTTCACGAAGGAATTTGAATCCGTCCTCAATTATCAAGTTTAGTTTTGGGTGATTATGATATTTCGCCATTTGTGGTAGATATTTCGTCAGCAATTTGATCACCATATCGTCGATTTCAACCATGGTTATTGATTCCACAGTTTGGTCCTCAACATGTTTCACTAGTTCGCGGATAACACCGCAATCTCCTCCTCCTATAACAAGCACTTTTTTCGGGGATGGATGAGACATGATTGGTACGTGAGTTATCAATTCTTGATACGCAAACTCATCTTTTTCGGTGCATTGGATAATCCCGTTGAGAACCAACACATTGCCAAATGTTGTTGACTTGAGAACTAAAATATCTTGGTATTGTGATTTGGTGTGGTACAAAATTCGATCCACTTGCAAACCAAATGCTTGTCCGGGGAATGCGTCAGCAGACTTTTCGTAAAACCAGTAGGCCAGACTCTTTGAGTCGTATGATATTGTCTCGTGGTTGAATTTGGAGATATCTATTGGCGGATCCTGGTCAAATGTGGAAGCCACAGAGCTTCGAGGTTTGAGATCATGCATGGCGATGGCGATGGCGATGGTTGTGGCTTGTATTTGAGGGAGTATACGGAGATGTCGCTGGGGCTATTGCCATGAAAGAATCGGTGTTAGTTACTTAGCTCTATTGTTCTCCCCATGGATCAACCTATCCGAGAGAAATACCGTAAATACGATAAGGATGTATGGATGGCCCCTGATAATAAGGAAGAAAAAAATTTTTTTTTTTTCTTTTCTTCCTAGTGTGACTTTGTACAAACATTTTCCCAATTAGTTAACACATCTTGTGCTGATAATAACGATACTGTTTGAGCTGACACGAATGGTATTCTCGCTCCTGTTAGGCGTGAAACAAGTTTGTTCATACTTGAGACATGTGACCTTGCTTTTACCAGACGGAAATGTACGATAAAATAATAAATGTGGAAGGTCTCTTTGATGTATTTTTAATACGGTGATGATAATCCCGGTAAGGCGGCAGAAGTGTATCGAGTATCATAGATATTACTGAAGTGGAATGGTCTAGATAAAAGAGAACTTCGGTTTCGATGAACATGTTGACCAAGGCAGAAGTCAGAAGCCGAGTCAAAGAGAGTAACAGTTCTTGGTCTTACCCCTCTTTTTTCTTCGGTTTTTGGTCTGACTGTGTTACCAAATTCATATCTCGGTTGCAATCGGCATTTGAATACTTGTTAAGCTTTTGGTGCTTCTCTGACACTCTAGTTGTTAGTTGCTTCACAGCGAGATTCGGTTTCTGAAGAAAGCTTAGGGATACAATACTTGAAAACTTCCCCTTTCAGCAAAATCCTGTCATCATATTTACATAGACAGATATTAGAAATTAGCAAGCACTGGCACATTAGCTCTTCCCACATACCCATATTCTAACAAGTGCAGTGTATTTTTTTTTTTTTTTTTGAGCATTGAGCGAGTGTGTACACACATCTTCTGCGGGGGAAGGAGGATTTGTGTTCTATTACGTCTGTCCTAAAAGTTACGCGGGGATCAGCTAGCTCTATATGTGCATGGATGTGAACTTACCAATCGTTTCGATTATATATATATGTATATATTTTAAACCTTAAATAGTGTGTAAGTCGTGTACTAGAATACAGTCTTGAACAATGCTCTCGTAAAACAACTTTTACTTCGGAGTTCTGTCGGACGGAAACGAGCTAAAGTGAGATATGTAGAAATGCCTACGCACAAACCGAATGAGGAGCTTCAGGTGGTATATATATCAGGTCGTAATAGACCGGTCTACGCATTTGAGCCCTGATGTAACAAACTTCTCTAGGGTTCAAATGACCTAAAATGATGGCCTTTTTTTTTTTCGGTTTTATTGGCTCCGCTAAGCCTCGGTAACTGACGTAATAGGCAAATAAGGAAAAAGATACGTTTGCATCCATACACCAATACTGTGTTTTTATTTTTTATTTCATACCAATGCGACATAATAATTCATACCAACGCGACAT